ATATCTGGCTCCTGTGTTGGTGAACTAGCCTCCTTCTCAGGGGAGTCCCATGTCCCCTCCTTGGTGGAGACGGTGTGCTCTGTTGCTTCCAAGAAGAGCTCCAGCTCTCTAATTCTTTGGAGCGTAGCTACACGTTCCTCCAGTTGCTGGACTTTGTCTTTTAAGAGGGCAATCAACATGCAATTGCTGCAGGTAAAGCTGCCTGCAACCTTTGGCAAGATGGCAAACATTGCGCAGGAACCGCAGGCGACTGCAGCTGTTCCCTCCCCCTCCATCTTGAGAACATGTCGTTGGGGGTGGCTACAGCGGTCCTCCATCATAAAAAGCGTGCTTGTTCTGTACTTAGAAAGCAAGGGCCCAAGCAGTTTCCCGCTTGTCCTGGGCTTTCTAGGTATGGGCCCAAGCAGTTTTAACTTTGTACCGTCTCTTTTCCCTTGGAAAACTCGCTCCTTAGAGGTAAATCAAAACAAATGGCAAACTGCGTAAAACTCAGTTGCCGTTTGTTCCCATTTGGCGTTAAAACAGGTGTGTTTCTCCAGGAGAAAGCAACGTGGCAAATGGAAGTGTGGATAAGCATTCACTTAGATCAGCCTTTGCCAACCAGGCGTCCTCCAGATTTTGGGACTACAACTCCCATCAGCCCTAGCCAACATGTGTTGTACAGAGGTACCTCTGGTTGTGAACAGGATCCGTTCCAGAGCCCCGTTCGCAACATGAGCAGAAGGCAACCAGTGTCTGCGCGTGCGCGGGTCACGATTCGCCGCTTCTGCGCATGCGCGTGACATCATTTTGCATGTCTGCGCATGCGCGAGCTGCGAAACCTGAAAGTAACCCTTTCCAGTACTTCCAGGTCACTGTGGGATGTATCCTGAAGGTAAATAATGGTTATAGCGTTATTGCAGCGTTTGTGGTGCAGCCGAGTCCTTCTGGCAATGACTGTTGGTGGGTGATCGGAACTGTAGTCCGGCGACTACAGCCTCAGTTTCCCCCCTGTGTACAAAGCAAACCATTAAGAACATAAGGAGAACCTGCTGGATGAGGGATCCTGTTATTACAGTGGCCAGTGAGATGCTGTTCCCTTGGCAAGTGTTACTCTCTTGGCTTGGAGTCCCGAAACTGGGTTTCTGGCACTCCACTGCAGAGATGAAAGCAACCGAGTTGCACTCCATTTACCTGTGCAGCTGCCGGTGGGTTGATTCTGGCTGGCTCCCTGGTAAGGTATTGATGGGGGCTCTTCATCACCATGAAAGTAGTGTTTCCTGCCTAGAATCTGAATGCCACTGAGGAGGAAGGGGGAAGGCAGGAGTTGCTCAAACAAGACAAGCCGCCAACTTTGGTCTCCACACCAAGGAACTACCGGCAGTACCTAGATAACGATTCTTAATTATTAACCCACTTGATCATGAAGGAACTGTGGCCTCCAGCCTCTTAGCTGGAATGTGCTGCTAGGAATCATGTGTGTAGCAGTGTGTGTGTGTGTTGAAAACAACAGCAGCAACCCATGCCAAGGGCTTCCTGATCTTTTTCATTGCAACAGTCTTGGGAAGTAGGTCAGCAATTTGTCCCTTGTTGGGCTATGTTGTAAACAAAATTGCCCCTTTCCCTTATGGGGTATCCAAGAGCCCATATAGGATCCTTACATGGGTTCCCTATTGGTAAGAGAGAATAACAGAGGCCAACCAGAGAATATTGAGAAGCAAAGCAGCTAGTAAGCTTGATCTTTATTGATCTGTTGCAACAGGGTGCCCCCCTCACCACACGCAGGAGAGGAGGAGGAACCCAGAAAAATGCCGCTCAAGGCCTTATAAAGACTTTTGAGATTACCACCCTGTAGATCAAGACCCCCCCAGAAACATCATACATACATCACAGAAGGGGTGTAGCTCAAGACGCCCCCCCGAAACATCATACCTACATCACAGAAAGGGTGGTCTACAGCAGAAATCTGAGTGCTTTGTTTACCTCCTGTCTGCCAGGTTACCTGTTTAATGGTCACTTGATTGGATTGCCTGGGGAGCCTGGCCAGTCTTTTGTAATGATAAATACTTGGTTCCTGGGCCATGTCACAGGCTCACACCCTATTCACATCCCAAATGTGCCCCCAAGACAGGACCCAGAGGAGGAAAGAGACAATGGGAGGTCTCCCACTTCGACCCCGCAGAGAAAACACTTGCTCAGTTTAGGAATCAAAATGGTTCCAGGTCCGTCTTCCTGTGCTGATCTATGTACGTGCTTGGTTGGCACACTTATGAACATTACCATATATCTAAGACCATAAAACTCCTATCACAGCTACCAGAGCCAGATCCTGATCTTTTGCTTTTAAGAGCATGCAGGTATGAGAATGTGGTCAGAGGCCAGAGGAGAAGGTGCGTAGGAGCTGTCTCTCGTCCTCTCCTCCCGTCACTCGCCAGCAATTATGGGATATTTTGGCAACGGGTCCTTGCACATGTTCAGATATGTCTGTGGTGACTCTGGTGAGGTAGAAATCTGATTTATTTATTTTTTTACAGTGATCTTTTCTTTTAAAGTTTTTACTAAGTTTTACAAACAAACAATAATAACAATGGCACAGTAACAGATTACAGGCAATTAACGCAAGGTCAAGAGCACGGGGTGAAGATGTCATCTGGGTATCAGTGACAAAGAAGGGAAAATCAAAGAAACAAGACATTCGGACTCAAATAAGAAATGAAGAGAATAAGCCAAGATCAGTTATCCACAAATCACCACAACTTTGAGGTGGAATAAACTTGCTTTCTTTGTTAGTAGTGAATTTAATAAAATGATACCACATTTCTCCAAATTTGTCTGACTCTTTTGCTTTCCTTAACGCTTTTGGGATTTGATTTTTGTAAAATAATAATAATAATGTGGTTTTGGTATGAATAATAATAATAATAATAATGCTTTATATACTGCTTAATCATAAAAAACTTCTAAGTGGCTTATGCACAACAAGGAAATATTTTCAAATTATTGACAAAAGTATCAGCTGATTAGATGTTTGGCTTTAATGAACTAAAAGTAAAAGTGAAATCTACCACCACTCATTTGTGGGGCTTTGCAGAACCACAGTGGAAGCCACAGTGGAAGGCTGCTCCATTCCATTTATTTTATTAAAAAATAGTTGTTGAATTTTGTTGCATTTTCATTTTTTTAATGCAAACCACTTAAGAGATATTATATCTATATCTCTATATCTAACTTGTAAGAGTCACATCCCTTGCTCGGCTTACTTTTACCCCTGGCCCTGCCTGCCCTTGGCATGTGGCCCTAGAAAGCTTCCCACAAGGGAATGTGGCCCTCAGCTGCCAGATCTTCAGTAGATGACCCTGTTGTCACTTAATATAGTCACAATCCCTCTTCCTCTCTGAGAGCTACAACTCTCAAGAGGGATTAAGGGTTAATCCACTCTGTGAAGGGACTAGGGCCATTGCTTTCAACCTGTGTGCCCTGGCCCCTGGGGTGCCTTCAATGATGGTCAGGGGTGCCGCGGGCAACACTGGCCTCTGTCCCTCTTTCCTTCCCTCCCTCCTCTGATGCCCTCTCGCTTCTCGGCCTCCCAAAGGCTTGCACAGCTGTTTGTTGCAGCAGCCCTGGCTACAAGCTCCCCAGGCAAATGGTGCGTCTGGGGCTGGCCAGGGGGTGCTTCCCAGGCCCCTGTGGGGCAGTGGGAGGAGACACCTCTCTTTGGGGTGGGGGGGGCAGCTCAGAGATCAGGGGCAGCAGCTGCAGCTGCCCAGAGGACCCCCAAGTCGAGGGGAGGAGGCTGAGGGAACCCTCCACAAGGGAGGGTGTTCGAAAAAGGGTGAGGGGCTGCCAGCTCTGCGGGCAAGGGGGGACATAACTGGGCTCCTGAGCCCCACAGGGCTGCCGCAGAAAGAATGTAGTTGGTCAAGGGAGCCGTGGACTCAAAAAGGTTGAAAACATCTGGAACAGTAGTTCTCCCAACAACTCACAGCACCCTGAACAAACTACACTTCCCATGATTCTTTGGGGGGAAGCCGTGACTCTTTAAAGTTGTATCCCAGTGCTTTAAATGTAAGGTGGCTTTCAGGTCTACAGCAACAGTTTGTGTTCCTCTGCTTGAGTTTCCTTCGCTTCAGAGTGCAGTTTGGTTGCTCCTCAATACGAAACAATCAGCTAGCAACGCAGGACGAGAGCACGCCAGTGAGGAGGGGTGTGGGCCTGACTTGCTGCTTTTCTGCGTGCAGGGATTTGGGCGGCGGGGATTCCAGTTGTGGCAGCCCACCACCGCCACCTGCGTGCAGCGATCACACATGTTGACAGCCTCGGTAGAAACCGAGCCGAAGCTGGATCGCGAGGAAGCGGCGGGTGAACACCCCGCTCCCCACAAAATCCGTATTAAAAGCGGCGGCGGCGCGTGGTCTCCCCGCTTTCTTTCTTTCTTTTTTTGCAACGTCAAGCAGCAGCAACCGTCATCTTAATAAGCAGAGGCGGCTCTCGGTCGGTCTCCCGGCCGCCTCCGCCCCCCTCTCGTCGAAGATGGCCGCTGGAGCGAGCGGCGGAAAGGCCGGCTTTCCCCTCCCCGAGGCGAGACCTCCCCTTTCTGGCTCCACCAGCGCGGCTTAAAAAAATAAAATAAATAAATTGCACGCACACATACGTTGGGAAAAAAAATGCACATAGATAGACCAACAAGCAACCAGCCCTCCTTTTCTTTTTTTATAGTCGCTTGCAAGAGGCGGAGGAGGCGTGCCGGCTTAGAACGCCGCCTCCCCCGTCTCCTCCTCCCGGTTTGCAACTGGCAACGCCGGGCCGGCCAATCAGCGCTCGAGCCGGCTCCGGGCACCGTTCCATTTCGGAATGTTGATACAGCGAGCGGGCCAATGGCGTGCGGCGGAGAGAAATGTGTGTGTGTGTTAGTGCGCGCGTGTTTTTTTTTTAACCCGGCTCCCTCCGCTTGCACGAGCTCCGAGGGGGCGGGAGGAGGAGGAGGAAAAGCCGAAGGCAGCGCGGGCAGCAGGCGGTGGGGCAGGAGAGGGGGGCGTGGTCCGGGGGGAGCCGCTCTCTCTCTCTCTCTCCCTCGCTTGGCTGGCTGGCGGGAGGGAAAGTCTGGGAGGCAGCGCGGGGGGCTTCACCCCGCACAGCTTCTGCGGCGGCCCCCCTCGCCCTCGGCGGGGAAGGGGGCTTGCAGGCCCCCTCCTCCTCCTCCTCGCTCCCCCCTCTTCCCGATCATGGAGCCCAAGCCGCGTCTTTTCAAACGCCTCGCCTCCTCCGGCGGCAGGATCTGCTCCCCGCCGCCCGGCTTGACGTCTGCCGTACCCTGTTGCCCCGACGGCAGCCCCCCGGCGCCCGGCTTGTGCTGCGGGGTGATCTCCGCCTCCTGCAAGCCGCTCGCCTCCCCGTACCCCCCTTCCTCCTCCTCCTCCGAGGCAGCCAGCAACGCCGTCTACACGGTGCTGGTGGAAGATCCGGCGTCGATCCGAAGGAGGTCCCGGCGCAGGAGCTGCGAGGACGGCGCCGGCAGGAGCTCCCCGGCCGGCAGCAAAGGCAGGCTGCAGCTTTTGCAAAAGGTAAGAAGCGGCGGAAGGCGGCGGCGGCGGCAACTTGGCTCTCCCGCCCCGTCTGGTCCCGTCCCGTGTCGCTGCTGCTCCCGGCCTCGGCCGCGCTGTCGGATCTGGCGAAGGAGAAGCGGGTGGGTGTGTCCCGCCATGGCGCACAGGAGCACGGAGGGCGGGCGAGAGACGCAGGCGACTAGCTGAAGTTGCGAAGACTCGACGGTCGTGGGCTTCGCGGCGCTGCTGCTTCCTTCGTGGACTTTTGGGGCGGGGAGAGAGATACGGCCGTCCTGCGCAGGGGAGGCCAGGAGTGCGGGGCGTGTGTAGGGAATATTATTTTTGCAGAGATCGGAAAAAGGAGAGTCCCCAACGCGTTTGGCAAGAAACTGCTTAGAGCCTTGGAGGCGGATTTCGGTTGGGGGGGTGCATTATATTTGCAAACGGGGGGAGGGGGAGGGGAACCACCCGGAGCCATGCATGGCAGCTGGAGGGTGGGACCGGGAAGTTGCATAGGGAGGGTGGGCTGGAGGAGCGGCCCTTACACGAAGCCACCGAGAGCCGCCGCGCTTGCTTGCAAAATAAAGAAGCCCCGGGTGGGTTGGAAAGACCCGGCTTCTTTGCAGACGGCACCCGCGCGCGCACCCTTTTTCCCTAGGCTCGGAGAGCGGAAACTAGCCGCGCAGTGCGATCCTTGGAGCGCTTTACTCGGCCGTCAATTCTAAATAGTAGTTGGGGGCTCCGCTAGGCCCCCGAAGCAAAAAGGGCCCGTGCCAGCGCCGAGCCCCTGCCACGCTGCGCTTGCAAAGAGAGACCGTGCGCGCCGTCGGGTCCAGCTGGCAAACCCGAGAGGCGCCCGGCTTCCCCGGCCTTGCAGCAACCCCGGCGAAAAGTTAGATTCCCCTTCGCGAAAAGATGGCGCCTCTCGCTGCTTGCTTTGCTTGCGCTGAAAGTTTTTGATCGAGGGGAGGGAATTGCAATGGGCCGGGACGTGGAGCGGAGCTGCAGAGAGCCGCCTTTTCTCTCTCTCTCTCTTTCCGCCCGAGCCCATCCCCGCCCCATCGGGTCTCCACCCCTGCATGGCGGGGCGCGAGCTGCTCGGAGGGACGGGCCATCAATCACTCTGCAGAACAGGCACCGCGCTGGGCCAGGAGGGGAGGGCCCACCGGGGTGGGTGGGCTCGGCCTCGGTTTGTGGGTGGGGGAAAGAGCAGCGCTCGCCTCCGGAGCGCTTCGCTGGGGATTCGCACGTGCGCCGTGCAGGGGGCGGGGAGGCGTCGCTTCTGGATCCTGCTGGGAGTCCGAAAGGGCGAGTTGAGTCGCAGGCGGCGGCGGGCAGAATCTGGAGCTCGTGGGAGTTGGAGGCCAGAACATCTGCAGGGCACCTGCTTGGCAATGTTGGGCCTTGATTATTCCTGCGTTGCGGGAGGGGTGGACTAGATGAGCTTTGGTGGTCCCTTGTAGGAAAAGTTGTGCTGGACCAGGCCGGTGGCCCACTTTGCCCAGCACCTTCTCTCCTCCTGCAGTTTGCAGTGTCCTATTTGGAATAGTAAAGGTAAAGGGACCCCTGACCATTAGGTCCAGTCGTAGCCAAATCTGGGGTTGCGGCGCTCATCTCGCTTTATTGGCCGAGGGAGCCATCATACAGCTTCCAGGTCATGTGGCCAGCATAACTAAGCCGCTTCTGGTGAACCAGAGCAGCGCACGGAAACACCGTTTACCTTCCCGCCGGAGCGGTACCTATTTATCTGCTTGCACTTTGACATGCTTTTGAACTGCTAGGTTGGCAGGAGCAGGGACCGAGCAACGGGAGCTCACCCCGTCGCAGGGATTCGAACCACTGACCTTCTGATCAGCAAGTCCTAGGCTCTGTGGTTTAACCCACAGTGCCACCCTCATCAATACCTCATCACAAAAGGCCCTACCTGCCCGCGGACTGTCTCACCAGAGTGGTGCATGCTCTAGTTATCTCCTGCTTGGACTACTGCAGTGCACTCTATATGGGGCTACCTTTAAAGGTGACCCGGAAACTGCAATTAATCCAGAATGTGGCAGCTAGACTGGTGATGGAAGCGGCCGCTGGGACCACATAACACCAGTCCTGAGAGATCTGCATTGGCTCCCAGTATGTTTCCAAGCACAATTCAGAGCGTTGGTGTGACCTTTAAAGCCCTAAACGGCTTCAGCCCAGTAGACCTGAAGGAGCATCTCCACCCCTGTTGTTGAGCCCAGACACTGAGATCCAGCTCCGAGGGCCTTCTGGTGGTTCCCTCATTGCGAGAAGTGAGGTTATAGGAAAACAGACAGAGGGCCTTCTCGGTAGCGGCTCCTGTCCTGTGGAACACCCTCCCTTCAGATGTCAAAGGAAATAAGCAGCTATCTTCTTTTTAAAAGACATCTGAAGGCAGCCCTGTTTAGGGAAGTCTTCAATATTTAATGCTGTATTGTTTTTAACACTCGATTGGGAGCCGCCCAGAGTGGCTGGGGAAACTCAGCCAGATGGGTGAGGTATAAATAATAAATTATTATTCTATTATTATTATTGTTGAGTTGGAAAGGGGCAAGTGAAATGATCGAGCTGGTGGAATGAGAAAATGTTCCAGTGTCTGGGACTTTTTAGTTTAGAGAAAAGGTGAATAAGAGGGGATATGGTAGAGGTGTGTGGAAGCATGCACTGCATGTAGAAGGTGAAAATAGAAGTTTTTCCTCCCATCCTTACACTATAAATCATGGCTATTAAAGGAAGCTGAAGGTTGGAAAATTCAGGACAGATAAGACAATCCTTTGAGCAGTGCATTGTTAAACTGGAACTCTCTATTTTATACTGGGAAGAGGCAGATTGGGGGCCACCACCAAGAAGACCTCTCCTTTGTTTCCAGCCTCTGAACATCACTTGTAGGGGGGCATGCACAAGTCTAAACAGGCTTGAAAGTGTCTAGGCAAATTTCAAGATCTAAGGGGAGCTGGGAGGGATTTTCCAATGAGCTGGAGCTTCCATGTTGCTTGGGAATCCTTCCTGACCATGTTCCAGGAATCTGTTTTATGCAGAGTCATATCACTCGTCTATTCAGCTCCATGGTGCCTATGCCATGGATGAGAAATCGGTGGCCCTCCAGCTGCTGATAGGCCACACTTGTCCGATTCCTTGACCATTAACCCTGCAGGCTGGGGCTGATGGGAGTTGGAGTCCAGTAACATCTGGAGGGCCAGAGGCTCCCCATTCCAGGTCACAGTGTGGTTGCACCTCTACAGAATTTTGGACTGGAAGTTTGTTTATTTTTATTATTTGCATTAATTTATTAAATTTATATACCACACTTCACCACAATATCTCAGGGCGGTTCAATACAAGTTAAAAACAAGTAAATAACTAAAACAAAAAGAACTAAACAATTTAGCCCCCCCGCCCTTCCCACAGACACACTGTAGAATATTAATCAGCCAAAGGCCTGGTTGAAGAAGAACATGTTCGTCTGGCGCCTAAAGACATACAATGTGTGTTTAGGGAAGTTTTTAATGGCTGATGTTTTAATTTATTTTTAATCTTGCTGGAAGCCGCCCAGAGTGGCTAGGGAAACCCAGCCAGATGGGTGGGATAGAAATTAATAATAATAATAATAATAATAATAATAATAATAATAATAATGGTCCCCGGCTAGCCTCCCTAGGGAGAGCATTCCACAGACGGGGAGCCACTGCAGAAAAGGCCCTGTTCTCGTGTTGCAGCCCTCTGGACCACTCACGGAGGCGCAGGGCCTCAGATGGTGATTGTAGTGTCCGGATTGGTGCATATGGGGAGAGGCGGTCCTTGAGGCTTGGCGGTCCTGAGTCGTTTAAGGCTTTATAGGTCAAACCCAGCACTTCGAATTGGGCCCAGAAACTAATTGGCAGCCAGTGCAGTCGGGCCAGGATCGGTGCATGATGCTCAAACCGTCTTGCTCAACCTGGCCTGCTGAACTCTGCGCCGGCTGAAACTTCCGAACCGTCTTTGGAGGCAGCCCTACGTACAGTGCATTGCAGTAATCTAGAGGTTACCACTGTGTAGACAGGGTTAGGCCAAGGTGCTCTGTCACTGAGGTGCAACCCCTCTCTGAATGGTGAGGGTTGCCCACCCCTCCCCGAAGAAGTGAGGGGCAAGGTTCATGGGTGGAATCGCTCTCTTAGGGAACCGTCGTGTCTCAGGGTCTCCAAGCAGAGATGGGAGGCTGGTGGGTCTGGTGTTTTAACAGGCTCCCAAGGCCAGCCCCAATGGGATTCGTTGGGGCTTCATGGCTAGGGCTGGGTCCCTGTGATTTAGTGCGATGGAAGTTCACCCAAGCCTTGCTACCTTTTGGGTTGGAGGCCGGGTGCTCTTGAGAATAAGCAAGGTTTCGTGCAAGAGTGGAGAATCTGCTACCTTTCAGATGCTGTTGGGCTGAAGCTAACAAAAAAGTTACTATAATATCACACACACACACAAAACGTGTGTTTATCCTCACACACCTATAAACATAAGCACCCCTATTAAACCCTTAATAAGCCAGTCCTAATATGCCAAACATAATAACACTCTTAAGCCAAACGTTTCTTTGGTACTGCTCTGGTGTGCTGTTGAAAACATTACAATTCTACTAATACAAATATTTCAAGGTCAGCCCTTCATCAAAACAGCCTTTTTCTGATTCTCTCCATCTGCCCCCAAAGTAATTTGGGGAGGGTGTCTCTTTTTCAACCTCTTGCCCCCTAACTTCCATCCTCCCTGGTAGGGCTGGGTGATGTTTTTCAGCATCATGATTTTTCACCAGCTAAACATCACAATATATCGATATATCACAATGTATGAAATAAGGATGGAGGCTTCACGGTTTTCCCCGCATTGTGATTTTTGCATAGCATAACACACACTCACACACCATGATTCATAATATATATCCAGGTCTAAAATCATGAAACCGATATCACAATATGGACCAGTTTTGGACAATATATTGCCCTTGCCTGCTGGTGCAGATGGAAATGGGATTCTAGCTCCTATTTTAGCAGGTCAGCAGTACCACTGAATGTCCACTAGATGGACGCTGCTGCGATTCACTCATGGGACACATATTTTCTCCCTGGGCTTTTTTAAAAGTGGGGAAATGGTGTGGAATAATTGGCTTTGAGGCTGGAGGCAGAGTCATGCACACTTCCTTGAAATTTCACCTTGGTATCCGTTCTCCAGCCTTAACCTGACATGCAACAGGTTTCACCAGCTTCGTAGTCATGAGGCCTAGAAACTTGGTGGTGTGCTTTTAATTGTTTTGTTAAAGTTGAGGTTCTAGAGTTGTACAACCGCCGCTTGGATGTGCAAGGGCGCCTACATCACCGGTCAGAACTTTGGAACCGGTGCTGAGGGCGGTCCAGAGAGGTCCAGTCTGCTGCAGTGGTCGCATTCTGTAGACAGATGCAGCCCTGGTTCACTCTCCTGTTTTTAAGAAAGAAAGCTCTCTGGGAAGCTGACTCCTTGCAGCATTGAGTTCATACCAGCAGATGCCCTCTGTCAACAAGCAAGGCGCTCGTCTGAGTTTGAGCTGCAGAGTGGCAGCCGAGCGTTGGAGAGTTTTCCAATTTGGTGTCGTCTACAAGTAATCTCTTAGTGCGGAGTGAGATAAGCTATAAAGGACAGGAATTAAGACCGGGGTGGGGAGGGAAGGTACATTTATTATTTGGCTATTTAGAGCATTTGTAACCTGCTCCTCAGCCAATAAGGCTCCCAAAGCAGCTTACATCATCATCATCATCATCATCATTTGCAAACTTTATATACCGCCCTTCATCCGAAGATCTTGAGACTGTTCACAAGATAAAAATACAGGATAGAAGCACAAAATAAATAGCAAAAACAATTGCCCCGCAGACATACAATCTTAAAAAACAAACAAACCAGAAACCCACAGCACACAAGGAGAGAGGATCAGGGAGGGAAGAGGAAAACAAAAACCCAGACAACAATTTCTGAACAGTTGTTCCTATAATATCCAGGTGCAGGATGTGCCTGATGGACCTCTTGCAGAGCAGGTGGAAGGAGCCTTGCTTCCCAGCTCTCCCACCCCCAAGTGATGTAGCAATAGTTTCTGCAGGTTACAGGAGGGTGGGGTGTCCTCCCAGCCCTACTGGGAGACGCTGGGAATGGAACCTGGGACCTTTTGCATCTGAGGTGTGTGCTCTAACATTTTGCTGCAGCCCTTGCCCAGCCAGGTGTTGCTGGCTTGCCCAGTGAGTGTCATTTCTCGCAGCCTCGCTCTCAGACTGCTGCAATCCAGGGCTTTCCTGTTGACCTGGGTTGGCTGATATCAGGGATGGGGAATCCCTTTCTGCCCCAGGGCCGCATTGCCTTCCAGACCATGTCTGAGGGCCACATGGCAGGGTTGAGCAGGGCTTTGGGGGGGGAAGTGGGTGGAGTATCGAATGCAAATTAAATGCTTAGTTTCTACACATACTGGCCAATGGGATTTTATTTTTTTTAAGATTTCTGGGACCCATCCCAGTCGCCCTCAATGGCAGGTGTGGGGGGTGGCCTGTGGAGAGTGTCAAGGGCCGGACAGAGCATCCTGGGGGGCCACATTCAGCTGCAGGGTCTGAGGTTCCTCACTAGGGCTGGGCAATATCTGGTTTTCAACATCGTGATGTTACCACAAGCTAAACATTGCAATACAGTCATACCTCGGGTTACAGCCGCTTCAGGTTGCGTTTTTTCGGATTACAGACCGCCGAAACCCGGAAGTACAGGAACGGGTTACTTCCAGGTTTCGGCGGTTGCGCATGTGCAGAAGCGCTGAATTGCAACCCGTGCGTGCGCAGATGCACAGACGCAGGTTGTGAACGCTGCGGGTTGTGAATGTGCATCCCACATGGATCCCGTTCACAACCCGAGCACCCGCTGTATAGTGGTACCTCAGGTTAAATACTTAATTCATTCTGGAGGTCCGTTCTTAACCTGAAACTGTTCTTAACCTGAAGCACCACTTTAGCTAATGGGGCCTCCCGCTGCCGCCGCGCCACCGGAACACAATTTCTGTTCTCATCCTGAAGCAAAGTTCTTAACCTGAAGCACTATTTCTGGGTTAGCGGAGTCTGTAACCTGAAGCACATGTAACCCGAGGTACCACTGTATATCAATATACAGTGGTACCTCTGGTTGCGAACGGGATCCATTCTGGAGCCCTGTTCGCAACCTGAGCAGAACACAACTCGTGTCTGCGTGTGCGCGGGTCGCGATTTGCCGCTTCTGCGCATGCGCGTGACCTCATTTTGAGCACATGCGCAAGCGGCAAAACCCGGAAGTAACCCTTTCCAGTACTTCTGGGTCGCCGTGGGACGCAACCTGAAAACGCTCGACCTGAAGCAAACACAGCACGCGATATGACTGTATCACGATGTCTGAAATAAGGGTGGAGCTAGGCAGAGGCACTGGCTTCACAGTTTTTCCCACGTTGTGATTTTTGCCAGCGCCTGCTCTTTTGATTCGTTGCCTCCTGCAGGAGAGAGGGGAGAGCTGAACTAGCACAGTTAACAGGACCTGCAGGAATCGGAGAAGCATTCACAGGCTTCCCCACATTGTGATTTTTGCATGCACCCCCCCCCCCCCAGTGATTCGCGATATATTGCCAGGCCCAAATTGTGAAACCGATATCACAATATGGACTTCAAACCTGTTTTGGATTATATATTTTTTTTAAAATTATATTTTTATTAGTTTTCAAATACAAAAACAAATTTATACATTCCATACATCTTAATTACATCTTACTTCTCTTTTTTGACTTCCCTCAGTTTGTCTGCCATTCCTTCCTATTGTTACTTTTTACACATTTCTGCCTTTTTAACCCTTTCCCCTCACAGAGCTTCCTTAAAGCTTACAAACGTAATTTTATTATCACTCAGTTTTTGCATATATTGGATAAACTTTCCCCAATCTTCTGTAAATATTTGATCTCGTCGATTCCGGATCCTTCCTGTCATTCTGTCCAGTTCTGCATAATCCATCATTTTAGTTCTCCATTCTTCTATCGTAGGTAATTCCTCCTGTTTCCATTTCTGGGCCATCAATATTCTTGCTGCTGTCACTGCATATAAAAATAACTTCTTTTCTTGTTTTGGATTATATATTGATCTATCACCCAGGCCTTTCTTTCCCCCAATTGATATGTTGGTTTAATCCTTAACTATTTTTTGCAAAAGCAGTTTTGCCACAGGTTTGCCGGGTTACCCTCCTCTTTCCCCTCTGTTCCTTAAAGTAAAGATGCTCAATATTTGTGGCATTTATTAGACTTGCAAGCCAGAACTTAAGAGAAAAGCCACAGCAAAGGGAGCACTGGGTAGTTTAGCTGACTCTGGCTTTCCTGGTCAGCCCCTGCAGAAGTGGATTGGTGTTCTAAAGGATTACAGAGCTCAAAAGCCTATCCAAAGATAGATGGATAGACCCCGGAGGTGCAACTGAACTGCCCGTCCTTGTTTCTGAGCTGTGCTCCTGCTGCCTGGTGTGAGTAGATTTTTAGCGCCAGTGCAGAAGAGAAATCGGCCTCCATGTTAGAACACGCTTATCAGTCCTGAACGGGCTTTGCTGGCTGGGGTAGCCTGGATTTCAGTTGCAATAAGGCCAAGCTTGCTCACTTCTTTTGTCTGCACCTGCTCTGTTTATCCAAGATAAAGCCAAGGGCTCCTGTGCTTTAAGAACAGAGCCAAGCCCTTCCTGGCTGCTCACATGCATGACTGGGGTGGGGAGGGAGTTGGAGGTTGGGTTCTTTTTTTAAAAAGAACACCAATACAAGCAGAACCACAGAAATAATACATGGCCACGTGTAATAATAATAATAATAATAATTTATTATTTATACCCCACCCATCTGGCTGGGTTTCTCCAGCCACTCTGGGCGGCTTCCAACAGAATATTAAAATACAAAACCTATTAAACATTAAAAGCTTCCCTAAACAGGGCTGCCTTCAGATGTCTTCTAAAAGTCTGGTAGTTGTTTTTCTCTTTGACATCTGGAGTTCCACAGGGCAGGTGCCACCACCGAGAAGGCCCTCTGCCTGGTTCCCTGTAGCTTTGCTTCTCGCAATGAAGGAACCGCCAGAAGGCCCTCGGCGCTGGACCTCAGTGTCCGGGCAGAACAATGGAGGTGGAGACGCTCCTTCAGGTATACTGGACCGAAGCCGTTTAGGGATTTAAAGGTCAGCACCAACACTTTGAATTGTAAAAGAAGAGAGAGAGAAACAGATATTTTCATCACAATTATCTTGGGGCCCAGAGCTGGATGTCAAAATAAGGTAGCAACCTTTCACTACCCTGCTGTACTGTGTGACAATCTGCGGAACTCGCCGCCACAGGACAGGATGTGGTGGCAAGCGATTCTATTGGGCTGAAAGGAGCTGGGCAAACTCTCTCAAGGGTTATGGCCAGCTGTTGCTGTTGATTTGCTACCTGCGTCCGGCATCAAACGCCTCTGTGTCCTTTTCCAGAGTCCTGCCCACTGCAGTGGGAAGGGGCTTCCGGCGGAAGCGGAGCCGATCAACGGGAGGCCGAGGCACCTGTCCGATCCCTTGGTGCCGAAGCGGCTGGAGGATGAGGCGGCAGCACTCCGACTGCTGGATCAGGGTCCCCTGCGTCATTCAGCCTACATCCCAGTGCCCAGGCAAAGGTAGGGTCGTTGGAGAAAAGTTATTTTGGGTTTCTGGAGGGAGCAGTTCCTTTCTGAGTCTTATTTATTGCAAAGCTCATTGAATGGTGGGAATTGGAAGGAAAATGCACCGGTTTAGTGAAGGGCTGGTATCTTCTCCATCTCTCGCAGTGGATTGCGTTGCTGCATTTAGAAAACCTTCGGGTCGTGTCGTTGGCCTTGAGCGCTGGAGATTTCCCTGAAAACTAGTTTGGTGGCCGTAGCAGAGGAGCGCAGCTTGTTTTTGCTGCAGGCATTTCTTTTTCCAACTCCACTGCGAACATATTGACACCTGTTTTACAGGACGGCTTGCTAGGCGCTTCATTCCTCTGGAGGGTTTTGTCACCCTTCTGTTAAACCGTGGGTAGGCAAACTAAGGCCCGGGGGCTGGATCCGGCCCAATCGCCTTCTAAATCTGGCTCATGGACGGTCCGGGAATCAGCGTGTTTTTACATGAGTAGAATGTGTCCTTTAATTTTAAATGCATCTCTGGGTTATTTGTGGGGCATAGGAATTCATTCATCCCCCCCCCCAAATATAGTCTGGCCCCCCACAAGGTCTGAGGGACAATGGACCGGCCCCCTGCTGAAAAAGTTTTCTGACCCCTGTGTTAAATGTTGATCAGGATGGGGCCCAACTACGCGCAGCTTCCACTGCTGTTGTTCTCAACTTCTTCGTGTCTTTGGTGTGTGCCAGGGGTCAGCAAACTTTTTCAGCAGGGGGCCGGTCCATTGTTCCTCAGACCTTGTGGGGGGCCGGACTCTACTTTGCAAAAAGAAAAAAATGAACAAATTCCTATGCCCCACAAATAACCCAGAGATGCATTTTAAATAAAAGCACACATTCTACTCATGTAAACACACACTGATTCCCGGACCTTCTGTGGGCCGGATTTAGAAGGCAATTTGGCCGGATCCGGGCCCCAGGCCTTAGTTTAGCTACCCATGCTCTAATTCAACCCCTGGTTGAAGCAGGGACCTGGGAGAGCTTCTTTGCCCTCACACCTGGCAAGAAGTGTTGCGATACCAAGTTCTCCATTCCGGAATCCCGGACAGCCTTTTCCAGGACGCTCCCTTACCCCCTCTGGTTTTCTATTCCCTCTTCGCACCCCAGCTCACCAGAACCAAACACACTCATCAGTCTGCGGCGTCTGAAAAGGAGTTTTCTCTTTGTATTTGTGGTTAAGGTACATAGACTGTTGCTGTGATTTGTTGGAAGGCGGTGGTTTTTATTCTGATGGAGCGTAGAAGAGTTGTACTGCCTAGAGGTGGCACCTTAGAATCCTACCTTTGTTTACCTGGAGCAGCTGAGTTTTGCAGAATCGGGGACGGTGGGGATGCTATCTTCAGCCAGGGTACGATGAAATTGCTTTCTGGAGACCATACACCTCTGTGTTGAAATTTGCCCTCTTATCAATATCTGCCAGTCTCGTGGCCATGCCAATCGGCTTCATGCCACAGCTGATATTTTTTCCTCCGCTGATGTAATAATATGAAGAAACACCCTCAATGTTCAAAGTGCACCCCACACTTTCACACCTGCGGCTTTTTAAACTTGTAAGGGTGTGTGGGGTGTGTTTGTTTATTATTACGTTGCGCAGTTTTGTGCTTTATGTTGTAAACCGCTCTGTGATCCTTTGATTAAGGGTGGTATAGACTTTGAATAAATAAAGTAATAGTAAATAATTAACTTGTTGGGTTCTTAAGAAGCACCCTGGAATGTAGAAGGAGATATATAATATTTCTGGACGTATGGAAAAACGCAAGGAGTGGGGTGAGTGAGTGGGTGGGTGGGTTGGAGAATCAGATTTTGGAAGGGAAATTGACTTTATGCAAATATATCCTTTCTTATCATATCTAAATTTCCTCTTAACATTTGGTGTATAGTGAATAACTTGAGTCAGCCTCTACGGTTGTACTGTATGGTATATTTATGGAATTTTTAAACTTGTAAATCTTGCATATTTTTATTTAGAAAATTTATATCCTGACTACTGATGGAATGATCATCGACACAGTTTGCAATACACTTTAGTACCATACGTAAACTCCAGATGGAAGGAAGTTAGACTTTCTGGGCTCTGTGGGGCTTATTTCCAGGCAGGTGTGGAAAGAGTTGCAGCCGTTGTCTTACTGAAACAATAATTCTAAATTTATCACATGTCTGAGATGAAACTGCAGGTTGCTGCTCTAAGTATATCTTAGTTCTTGCCAGTAGGAAAAACAGAAATGATGAACGTTTCGATGAAAATGGAAAAAGAAAGAAAGGGTTACCTGGGCTTAGAAACAGTATGCAAGAATGCAGAGATGGAAAATAACTAAGGATGCATTGACACCATAGATATATAAACATGGCTTTCCCAAAAGAATTCTGGGAACTGTAGTTTGTTCAGGGTTCTGTGAGTTGTTGGGAGACTCTTATTCCTCTCCCAAAGCTACATTTCCCAGAGTTTGTAGGGAAGAGGGATTGACTGCTAAACCACTCTGAGAATTGTATATCTGGGAGAGGAATAACAAACTACACTTCCCAGAATTCTTTGTGAGAGGGGAGCCATGACTGCTTAAAGTGTAATCACAGGGCTATAAATGCATGGTCAGATTGTGGCTTACATTCAGAATAGCTGGTTTTTGCCGCAGTTTCCATGTTTACTCGGGAGCAAGTTCCACCAAGTTCAGGCATGTCCAAAGTCCGTTTTGGGGGCCGAATCTGGCCCTCGGCCGGTTTTATGCAGCCCCTGTGGCAGTTTATTTATTGTAGTCAAATCCTAAAAAAGAAAATTCCCCCCAAAATTCAACAACTTAAACCCTAAAAAAAGCTCAACAACAACTTCTACTATTTCTTCTTTTTTAATATAATTATTTTATTGAACAAGCAGAGTCTTAAAATACATGCAATACCAGCAAACAAACATAGAAATTATTGAGAGTATACATACAAAAGAACAAAAATAAAGCAAAATAGAAAGGGGGGGGGAGAAAAGAAAAAAGAAAGAGGAATAAAAGTATGAGTAGAGTAAAAAACATAGTAGTAGCTCATATTTCAGTCAGCAAAGAAAAGAAACTTCAGACTATAAAAAGCTCAACAACTTTGGTCGGCCCTCATGCATGTTCACTTCATCAAATCTGGCCCTCTCAAAATTTTGGGCACCCCGACCAAGTTCAATGTACCTCACTCACAAGTGTTGCCTGTGCGTAACGACGCCAGTGAGATGCAAAATGTTACTAGAAAGCTCAGCTAAATATTCACAGTGTATTCCTGCTCCTTGGTTAATTTACACAAATGTTTTGCTTTGTTTATGTTCTACTCCACCTCGGAAAATAATGCGTTGGGTCCCGGGCTTTGCGAGCGAAGTTCCCCTTGCGGAATGGGACTTCCCCCTCCCCTTATAGACCTCCCCCCCAAGCTTTGGGGAAGGTTTTGAGGGTGCACAGAAGGGGAAGTTCTGTTGTGCAAGCAGAAGTCCATTGCACGAGGGGCTCTGGAAAGGCCCAGATTTATCCCTGGAAAATGTGAGCGCAACTCCATTAGTCAGCGTCCAAAGTATTTTGATTCTGAACTTCTAGGGGACTGGGATGTGTTGTAAAACAAAAATCTGACCTTTTCCCCTTATGGGGTATCCAAGAGCCCATATAGCTGGGTGTTCATCAGTATGCAGATGACACCCAGCTCCACCTCTCTCTTAAGTCAGAACCAGTGAAGGCGGTGAAGGTCCTGTGTGAGTGCCTGGAGGCAATTGGAGGATGGATGGCGGCTAACAGATTGAGGTTGAATCCTGACAAGACAGAAGTACTGTTTTTGGGGGACAGGGGACGGGCAGGTGTGGGGGATTCCCTGGTCCTGAATGGGGTAACTGTGCTCTTGAAGGACCAGGTGCGCAGCCTGGGAGTCATTTTGGACTCACAGCTGTGCATGGAGGCGCAGGTCAATTCTGTGTCCAGGGCGGCTGTCTACCAGCTCCACCTGGTACGCAGGCTAAGACCCTACCTGCCCACGGACTGTCTCGCCAGAGTGGTGCATGCTCTAGTTATCTCCCGCTTGGACTACTGCAATGTGCTCTACGTGGGGCTACCTTTGAAGGTGACCCGGAAACTGCAATTAATCCAGAATGTGGCAGCTAGACTGGGGACTGGGACTGGCCGCCGGGACCACATAACACCAGTCCTGAAAGACCTACATTGGCTCCCAATGTTTCCGAGCACAATTCAAAGTGTTGGTGCTGACCTTTAAAGTCCTAAACGGCCTCGGTCCAGTATACCTGAAGGAGCGTCTCCACCCCCATCATTCAGCCCGGACACTGAGGTCCAGCACTGAGGGCCTTCTGGCGGTTCCCTCATTGCGAGAAGTGAGGTTACAGGGAACCAGACAGAGGGCCTTCTCTGTAGTGGCGCCCGCCCTGTGGAACACCCTCCCTTCAGATGTGAAGGAAATAAGCAGCTATCCTATCTTTAAAAGACATCTGAAGGCAGCCCTGTTTAGGGAAGTTTTTAATATTTAATGCTGTACTGTGTTTAACATTTGATTGGGAGCCGCCCAGAGTTGCTAGGGAAACTCAGTCAGAAGGGCAGGGTATAAATAATAATAATAATATTATTATTATTATTATTATTACTTACGTAGGTTCTCTATTGGTAGGAGAAAATAACAGAGGCCAACCAGCAAAGCAGCTAGTAAGCCTGATCTTTATTGATCTGTTGCAACAGGGTGCTCCCCTCACCACACGCAGGAGAGGAGGAAGAACCCAGAACAATGGCGTGCAAGGCCTTATGTAGACTTTTGAAATTGCCACCCTGTAGATCAAGACCACCCCCAGAAACGTCAAACGTAAATCACAGAAGGGGTGTAGCTCAAGACCCCTCCCCCAAGATACATTATACCTACATCACAGAAAGGGCGTCTACAGCAGAAATCTGAGTGCTTTGTTTACCTCCTGTCTGCCAGGTTACCTGTTTAATGGTCACTTGATTGGATTGCCTGGGGAGCCTGGCCAGTCTTTTGTAATGATAAATACTTAGTTCCTGGGCCATGTCACAGGCTCACACCCTATTCACATCCCAAATGTGTCCTTAAGACAGGATTTGTGAGGAAAGAGACAATGGGGAGGTTTCACACTTTTACCTTGCAGAGGAATCATTTGCTCAGTTTGGGAATCAAAATGGTTTTAGGTCGGTCTTCCTGTGCTGATCTATGTATGTGCTTGATTGGTACACTTATGGACATTTAACATATATCTAAGACCTCAAAATTCATATTACAAGCCCGCGGGTCCCTGCGGAATAAAGGAAGGAGTCCAGCCACCAACCGGAGCAAATAGCTGTAGACCAAAGTTTATTGCACAACAGGTTCAAAGAGGAATTTTGAACCCTGAGGATGGGGTGACAAGGACTTTTAAAGGTTTCCCACCATATCCCAGAATACAGTTCGTACAGCATCTGTTATGTACTGAGTTGAATAGGATCCAAAAGGCAGCAGTCTGATTGGTCATAGAACAATAGGATTCAGAATGCAGCAGTCTGATTGGTCCACAGGAGCCACCCAATCCAGCTCCAGGTGGAAGTGAATCCGCAACCTGATTGGCCTACAGGTGAACCCCAGAATTAACCAATCACGTGGTGCCTATTGTGTAAATAATGTATATAAAGCAGACATTCTGGGGGAACTTCCATTCCTCACTACTATGAACTGAATAAAGAGCATGAAATCCACTCTCAACTCCGAGTATATTTCAGCATCATTGATACATCATTGCTACATCACTGACATGTCACAAAAGGGGAGGGGTAAACAGGGATTACACTAGTTTAACCTGGGCAAACATGTCCAGACAAGTCCTTGGTACAAGATTAGCATAAACAGACATGTCAGAGCAAGACCCAGGGTATAAGATTAGCATAGGCAAACACCTTCTGAAATCCCACCACCCAAAGTACAATAGAACTTCCTTTGCTGTCTGGACCCCTTGGCAAGTCCGATGATAGGATTAGGCTTTCCTTGGCCAACTATCAGCTCAGCAATTGTCACCTCTGGGCACTTCCTGGGGTTGGAGGTGTGTATACATGGAGGAAAAGGGGACCCGGGTGGCGCTGTGGGTTAAACCACAAAGCCTAGGGCTTGCCGGTCAGATCCCCGCAACGGGGTGAGCTCCTGTTGCTCCTGCTCCCTGCTCCTGCCAACCTAGCAGTTTGAAAGCACGTCAAAGTGCAAGCAGATAAATAGGTACCGCTCCGGCGGGAAGGTAAACGGCGTTTCTGTGTGCTGCTCTGGTTCGCCAGAAGCGGCTTAGTCATGCTGGCCACATGACCCGGAAGCTGTACGCTGGCTCCCTTGGCCAATAAAGCGAGATGAGCGCCACAACCCCAGAGTCAGACACGACTGGACCTAATGCTCAGGGGTCCCTTTACATAGAGGAAACTGGCAATAAAATATCCAATTTTATTTATTTTTAAAAAATCATTGATTTTTGTCCACCCTGATCTCCACGTTCAGGTTCCCAAGGCCTCCAGGTCTCTGAACTCCCCCTTCCTCTGCCCCTCCTGCACAAGCTGTCAGCCCCACGCTTGTGGCAGGCACTCTTGGCTGCAGCAGGCTTGTGCAAGCCATGCCCAGCGGTGCCGCTTGTGAGCTCCCCGAGCTGGCAGTGCGGTGCACGCTGGCAGGCTGCGTCACTTTCCGTGCCGGGGGAAGCACCTGGGCTAAAAATAGGCCTTAAAGCAGGCAGCAAATTATGCGTGTGTTTAATCTTCTTGGATTACAGGCAGAGGAGGCGCTGCTTCGCTTTGCTGTCTGCCGGAGCCGAGAGCGGCAGGACGCCACTTCCTCTGCCCGCGGGGTGTGTGTGTGTGTGTGTGTGTGTGTGTGGACTGCTGTTAAGCAAGGTGGCCATGGCTGGAGTGCCACCTGGTGGTATGGCGATGCCCTGCCTCCGCAGCTGGCGATAGGAGAGTTTCATTGATGGGAGAATTTTGATAGGAGAATTTTGGAACGGCCAACGGCAGGAATGCACAAACTCCCATTATTTCCAAAAAAACAGAAGGGGGGGAGGGACAGATTGTGTAGATGCTGGAGCATATCAATCTGCAATTGGTAGTTTGCTGCGTTCGAAAAGCCAACTTGGCAAGTTGGGAAGTGAGTTTTCAGGCACCTAAGATTACTATTATTGCCAGCAGCAGGTACCAATGCCTTAGGTTTATGCTGTTGTGTTTATGGTTTGCTCTTAGTCTGTATGCTGAAAGGAGACTGTAACTGAAACTGCATTAAGTAAAGGTAAAGGGACCCCTGACCATTAGGTCCAGTCGTGTCTGACTCTGGGGTTGTGGCGCTCATCTCGCTTTATTGGCCGAGGGAGCTGGCGTACATGCATGTGGCCAGCATGACTAAGCCGCTTCTGGCGAACCAGAGCAGCGCACGAAAACGCCGTTTATCTTCCCGCCAGAGCGGTACCTATTTATCTACTTGCACTTTGATGTGCTTTCGAACTGCTAGGTTGGCAGGATCAGGGACCGAGCAACGGGAGCTCACCCCATTGCGGGGATTTGAACTGCCGACCTTCTGATCGGCAAGTCCTAGGCTCTGTGGTTTAACCCACAGCGCCACCCGCGTCCCTTGAAACTGCATTACACTGTCGCTAAAGCAGCTGTCTCTTCCTAGTACAACTGTTTGGCGTTTCTCTGTTCTTTTGGCACACTCTGCTGGCATCAGCAATGCTTCCGAATCCTGGTTTGCTGGAAAACACAGGAGTGGAGGAAGGGCGATTGTGACTCGGGTCCTCCTTGCTGGTTCCTGCAGTGTGGGTCCGTTGCGAGAGCACTTCAGCTTTCAAGTCTATAAGGAGATGTTTTTATTTTGCATTACAAGTCAGCTTTATAAAGAATAGTACAGTGGACGCTCGAGTTGCGAATGTGATCCGTGTGGAAGGCACGTTCGCAACCCGCAGCAGCGCGTCTGTGCACGCGTGGGTTGCAATTTGCTGTTTCTGCGCATGCGCAAAGTGCAATTTAGCGCTTTTGTGCATGCGAGACTGCCGAAACCCGGAAGTAACCTGTTCCGGTACTTCCGGGTTTTGGCGGGTCCGTAACCCGAAAACACGCGACCTGAAGCATCTGTAACCCGAGGTATGACTGTACATGGCAAACCAGACCTAAAGCAAGCTTGTTTCCTCCTGCTCCCGAGGGTAGGACTCGAACCCGTGGCTTCCAGTTCCGAGAAAGGAGATTCCGACTAAACATCGGGAAGTAGTTTCTGATGGCAAGAGCTGTTCAGCAGTGGAACGGTCTCCCTTGCAAGGTGGTGGAGCTTTTAAGCAGAGGTTGTGTTTGTGTGTTTGTGCATTTCTCAGCGATGCTTTAGTTGAGAAATTCCTGCACTGCGAGCAGGTTGGACTAGATGGCCATTGGGACCCACTCTACAGATTCCATGAAAGTGATGCCGTTCTTACGTTTACGTGGAGGGCTTGTTGAACGGTGGAGGCGGTTGAGCTGCGCACCATACAAGCTTTTGCAGGAAGGAAGCAGTGTCTGGGCCAAAACTACCCGGTTGCAAAACGTCCTCTGTTCCCTTCCTCCCTCTCCTCTCCATTGCCATCCCGGACTTTGGCTGAGGAGCACATTTCTGTAGCTGCTAAGAGAGGGGTGTGTGTGTGTGTGCGCGCGCGCACACACATGTGCCCACCAGTGCAGGGCGGAAGGACTGAACCCTCCCTTCCAAGGACTGGGTAACTTGATTCTTGGCCGTCCCGGAGTGCTGTTCATCCCAGAGGGTTGCCTCTGGGCGCCTGCAATGCAGAGCAGTCTAGAGAGACCTGTTAAGGCATTGCTGTGTGGTAGTAAACAGCTCACCTTGGCCCCTGGCCCACTTGGCTCCCTCTGTCTCCCTGCTCCCGCCTGGTGCGCTGGGTGTGTTTGCGCGCTGGGTGTGCAGGCTCATTTTCCTTTTGTGTGCCTGGAGGGTTTGGGGTGGGGAAGGAAGCAATTTATTCTCTCTCTCTTTCCCTCCACTGCAAATCCCCCCAAATCCACCTTTTCTTTAAACCCTTAACTCCAAAGTTCCTAAACATATGTGGAACTGCAATGCCACGTGAGCAAGATGAATAAACACCCAGCAATACAAGATAATGGGAAAGGATTTACCCTGGCAAATTATTGGTCAAAATTGGAAATACCCAAATACAGACGGTCATTTACCCTCGCTAGATTCACCGTGCTGCCATCTGTCTTATTGCAGGGCAGATTTGAGGGTAAACCGTATGTGGAACGAGTCTGCCCCTGCAGCGTGATGGAGGTAGAAACTGTCTCTCATGTCTTGTTACGCTGCTGTTTCTACGGGGATATACGCTCGGCATTTATCACTCCTGTTATACAAAAATCTCCAAATGGGTCCGAACTTCAATGTCTAAAACTCCTGGTAGAGGACAAGGATCTAGAGATCACCAAATTCTGTGTGACTGCCATAGAACTTAGGGAACAAGCTGTACTACAAAAATGATTAAGGTTTTTCAGTGACCATTTTAGGTTATATTTTAGTGATCAAGATTTAATACATATTTTTAACTGCCGCTATATCTGTATTGTTTCTGTTGTACCCAATTGCAATTCAATGTATTCCTGTGGTGTTTTTTATGATTTTCCTGATATTGTAAGTGAGTTGGAACTGGTCAGTGACCGTAATAATAAAATCATTCATTCAGTTCCTAAACATTCGACAGCTAAGCCTAAGTGTGCATAACTTGGAAGAACGAGGGTGTTACGGGTCTGTTTTGTTCTTGTTTTTATTACGTATTTTGTGTTCTTGTTTTGTGTTTTCATTCTGCGAACTGCCCTGAGTTCCATGCATGAAGGGCGGTATGCCAGTTTATGGTAATAAACAAACAAATAACTGCCCTGAACTGTGTCTTCCCCTGTGTTGAATGGAAGACTTGTAAGTTCCTTGGGGAAGAGACCTGTGTGTGCCTTCCAGAAAGTGGCGTGTAGTTGGATGGTGCCCTCTCTCTCTCTCTCTCTCTCTCTCTCTCTCTCTCTCTCTCTCTCACACACACACACACACACACACATTCCTTTCAGGTCAAATAAGGGGTTGGCATTAATCCCATGGATACATACCCTGAGCTTATTAAAGGAAAGTAGATGTGTGTTATAATCCTGGGAGTTATAGTTTTAAGGACACTGAAAGTTGTTGGGACACCCTGCTCCCGGAGCTACAATGTAATAATAATAATTTATAATTATGGTCAAAGAGCAGTTCAGGAGCTCCAATTCTCAGAGTGGCTTAACTGTTCATCCCTCTTACCTGGAAGTAAGCTCTGTTGAACTTTGCCATAGGATTGGTCTTCGTGTCCTGAATCATTTTTGGACAGCTCTTTACCGATGAGAGCACTTGTTGTGGAGTTGCAAAGCAGTAGAAATCGCCCCTATGTCACAGCAGGTGATCAGGCTTCTAGCTTTCGGCCATTTTCAGTTTAAGCTGTAGGCTTTTTTCTCTCCTTCTCTCATAACACTAGAATTTGCGGACGGCCAGGAAAGCTGAAAGTTGGAACGTTCAGGGCAGATAAAAGAATTTCTTCATGGAGCATGTTGTGGAACTGCGGAACTCTCTGCCACAGGAGGGCAGTGGTGGCTGCCAACTTGAGATTGCCGTAAAAGATGATAGGGCAAATTCCTGGAGGAGGGGGCTAGCAATGGCTTCATGCCACAGTTGGAGGCAGCAACGCTTGGACTACTGCAATGCGCTCTACGTGGGGCTACCTTTGAAGGTGACCCGGAAACTGCAATTAATCCAGAATGCGGCAGCCAGACTGGCGACTGGGAGTGGCCGCCGGGACCACCTAACACCGGTCCTGAGAGATCTGCATTGGCTCCCAGTACGTTTCCGAGCACAATTCAAAGCGTTGGTGCTGACCTTTAAAGCCCTAAATGGTCTCGGTCCAGTATACCTGAAGGAGTGTCTCCACCCCCATTGTTCTGCCTGGACACTGAGGTCCAGCGCTGAGGGTCTTCTGGCGGTTCCCTCGCTGTGAGAAGTGAGGTTACAGGGAACCAGGTAGAGGGCCTTCTCGGTAGTGGCGCCCGCGCTGTGGAACGCCCTCCCTTCAGATGTCAAAGAGATAAACAGCTATCTGACTTTTAGAAGACATTTGAAGGCAGCCCTGTTTAGGGAAGCTTTTAATATTTAATGCTTTATTGTTTTTAACACTCGATTGGGAGCCTTTCAGAGTGGCTGGGGAGACTCAGCCAGATGGGCGGGGTATAAATAATAAATTATTATTATTATTATTATTATTATTATTATTATTGACTCTTCTGAATGCCAGTTTCTGGAAACCACAAGAGGAGAGGGCTCTTACGCACGGATCCTGCTTCTGGCTTCCCATAGAGCAGGGATGTCTGAACTTTTTTCAAAGAGGGCCAGATTTGATGAAGTGAACATGCCTGAGGGCCGACCAAAGTTGACCTTTTTTGGGACTGAAGTTGTTGAGCATCTTTTTGGATTTCCCCCCAAAGTTGTTGAGCTCTTTTTTTAGGGTTAAAATGGTTGACCTCCTTTTAGAATTTCACCCCAGGAAATTAACTGTCATAGGGGCAGTATTAAAACAACCGGCAGGCCGGATTAGGGACTTTGGACGTACCTGACCACAGGATGCCAGACCACATGGGCCCTTGGCCTCATCCGGCAGAGCTGCATAGAATCCCAGGATTGCAAGGGACCCTGAGGGATCCTCTAGTCCACCCCCCGGCAATACAGGAATATGCAGCCGCCCTGTAGGGGCCAAATCCTGTGATCTTGGCATTATCTAACCAGCTGGGGTCTTCCAGGGTGCTTGGCTAGCAGGGCCATAACGATTCTGCAGCCTCCAGTCCTAAATACAGTGGTACCTCGGGTTACATACGCTTCAGGTTACAGACTCCACTAACCCAGAAATAGTGCTTCAGGTTAAGAACTTTGCTTCAGGATGAGAACAGAAATCGTGCTTCGGCGGCATGGCAGAAGCAGGAGGCCCCATTAGCTAAAGTGGTGCTTCAGGTTAAGAACAGTTTCAGGTTAAGTACAGACCTCTGGAACGAATTAAGTACTTAACCTGAGGTACCACTGTATGGTCTTAAGAGCGGTGGCAGATGATGCAGGACCCAAAACGAAACCGTTGCAGACGGGCCTCTCTTTTAAAGTGAAAAGCCTGCATGGTTTTCTTTGCAACTTGGTTGCTAAAGGCCTGGAAACAGGACGTTCCATTTCTGGCCTTTGCTTTCTCCAGCTTGGATGTTTGGCAGCCGCTTCCCGCAGCTTGGACGGAAGAGAAATGCATTATTTGTTTGTCCTTTCTGGGATCATGAGCTGCTGCTACAGGAAGTCATGTGGGAGTTGAGAGCCGAGGTTCTCCATCGCTGGGATGGAGGGGAGCCCAGATTTCGCCCTAGGCTGTCAAATCGCTCAAGCACCGCGTTCCCATTGGCTGGTGCGGCTAAGCAGGAGGAGGCGATAGGCTGTGAGTTTGGGAGGGAGGAGCCTTCGTGCCGTTGTTTACACTTCTGTACCGACCGGGGAGTCCTTTGACCCCTTATCTGAGCAAAGCTTCCTGAAGCAGGCCTTTTCGCAAGCCCAAGACGGCTTTGACAGCCTCTGCAGCGTGGAATGTGTGAGCAGGGTGTTGCCTGCTTTTTTAAAAAATTAAATTAAAATAAAATTTGCACCCAGGCAATCCAGACTTTGTGCTGAGCACAGCCAAATTCTGCAAGTGGCAGAAATTAGTTTAGCATAGCGTCTCCCACTTTGCATAATAGGACCAATTCAGCCAGCTAGCCCTGGGGATTATCTAATGCTTATTTCCCCTAAATTGATTTTTGAATTTTATTGTTATTCATGTTTTTATACTGTATTTTATGCTGCTTTTATAGTTAAGTGTTTTAAATTTGTTGTTAGCCGCCCTGAGCCCAGTTTTTGAACCGGGAAGGGTGAGGTATAAATAAAATTATTTATTATTATTATTATTATTAATTATTATTATTATATATTTTGACGGCTTCTAGATTCTCTCTCTCCAGAGCAAGTGTGCTGGGGAGTGTGGCAATGGACTAGGCTTCCTTCCCCGCCTCCCCACCCCCACCAAAATTGCACAGGGACACTCCCACCCCTCCACATTTCCTCCTAGCTTTGTGGTTTGGTGGAAGGTCTGGCTGTGTTGTTGCAGAAGCACCTGGAGTGACTTGGCTGCTCTGCAGCCCAACAAGCAAGCTCTCCCCACACTGATTTTTCTGCAGGCAAGGTATCCTCCTTGGTTATTCAGCAGCCAAACCAGCAAAGGCAGAAGCCTGGCAACCATGATGTGGTGTCCCCCATTTCCAACATTCAAGCATAAAAAACACCCCATATAATGTGAGATGCGCATTCTAAGCTGGTGGGAGGTAGAGAGAGGGGGGAGAGAAGCAAAAGGAGCGCTATAATTCCAGTTCTGCTGCTTGTATGACCTGCCAAGCCAGCCGTAAAGTCAAACCGGTGAGAGAGAGAAAAGCTTCTGTTTCTCCGGCAAATGTCACAAGACAGGAAACGCTGCAGTTGGCTTTGTAACTTCAGCATCTGTCGCTGTACTTTCTGGCCGCAGCGGGGACACACGCTCGAGAGCCGGCCGTGCCATTTGGCAAACCGCTTACCTTGTAGTTCAACTTTATTGGATTCTCTCATTATGAGAGGGGCAAAACCCTCAATCTACTTTCCCCAGATTTCAGGTTAAGAACGGACCTCCAGAACGAATTAAGTTCTTAACCCGAGGTAAAGGTAAAGGGGACCCCTGACCATTAGGTCCAGTCGTGGCCGACTCTAGGGTTGCGGAGCTCATCTCGCTTTATTGGCCGAAGGAGCCGGTGTACAGCTTCCGGGTCATGTGGCCAGCATGACTAAGCCGCTTCTGGAGAACCAGAGCAGCGCACGGAAACACCGTTTACCTTCCCGCTGGAGCGGTACCTATTTATCTACTTGCACTTTGACGTGCTTTTGAACTGCTAGGTTGGCAGGAGCAGGGACCGAGCAACGGGAACTCAACCCGTCACAGGGATTCGAACTGCCGACCTTCTGATCAGCAAGTCCTAGGCTCTGTGGTTTAACCCACAGCGCCACCTGCGTCCCTAACCTGAGGTACCACTGTACAATGGCCAAACTTAAGACTCTAGTACTGACCAACAAAATGCCTCTCATGTTCGCAATGCACAATGTGCTCATTGCTTTCTGCACTTGTTTGTCTTGGAGGAGGTACTGGCAGCAGCGCTAGAAATTCACCAGGCACATTTTGCACCTGGCTATCGGCCGCTTCCAACCGAGTGAAGATGCCCGGGCGGCAGGATGGCATTTGACACCTCCACCCTCTGGAGGTGCATGTCTGGAGATCCTGGATCTTGCCCTTTTTTTTGTACTTGCGATACAAGTTTCTTACCGCCTGGCCCCCAGATGGCAACTAGACATTCCGTTTTAGCGGCTGTAACCCTGGTTTCAGGAGCCATTTAGTGCCTCTCTGAGTTTCCAACACTGAATTGCTGGCGGTTGTGTTTTTGATGTGAACTTTCTTGTTCGCGACATGTGTTACAGAAACGATCTTAAAAAGCAGGCCAGCCCTGTGCGCAGGTGCACCTTCTTGCCCAGGGATCAGCAAACTTTTTCCAGTCTCCCTCAGACCTTGTGGGGGGCCGGACTATATTTTGAAGAAAAAATGCACTAATTCCTATACCCCACAAATAACCCAGAGATGCATTTTAAATAAAAGGACACCTTCTACTCATGTAAAAACACGCTGATTCCTGGACCGTTTGCGGGTCAGATTTAGAAGGCAATTGGGCCGGATCCGGGCCCCGGGCCTTACTTTGCCTACCCATGTCCTTGCCTGGCTAGTGATGGGTTCCGCTTCATTTTTTTAAAAAATTCTTTATTGCAAACACATAGATACATCCATTATACATAAATAAAATGAAAAGAAAAAGAAAAGAGACAGAAAAAGCGGGGGCGGGGGGGACAGAAAAAGAATAAAAACAAAAAAATAGAGCGAACTTCAAAAAACAAATATTTTCAAATTAATTTCAACACAGGGAGTACAAGCCTTCTTTACACAGCTTTGGCTTGACTCCTTAATTCGAATCGTGATGTCCCGCTATCCGTACTTAGTAAATCATTTTTTCTCCATATAACTGTACAGTGGTACCTCGGGTTAAGTACTTAATTCGTTCCAGAGGTCTGTACTTAACCTGAAACTGTTCTTAACCTGAAGCACCACTTTAGCTAATGGGGCCTCCTGCTGCTGCCGCGCCGCCGGAACACGATTTCTGTTCTCATCCTGAAGCAAAGTTCTTATCCTGAAGCACTATTTCTGGCTTAGTGGGGTGTGTAACCTGAAGCGTATGTAACCTGAAGCGTATGTAACCCGAGGTACCACTGTATTTAGATGGTAAGTCTTGGAGAAGCACTCTGATTGCTGGTGGGATTTAGTCTACGCTAAGCCAAGCGATGCCCGTAAGCTTTCTTTTTCCATGTAATTTATAAAGACATCCCGGGTGCAGCTTCGTTTTGTTCTTCAGCCGGGGCTTGTGCCGAACCTTGCCCCCCCCAAAAAACACAAACCCCTCCTGTTGCAGGAGGCATCCTCTCCTTCCGCTTCTCCTCCCTGCCCTGGGGCTGTGTTTATGTTGCTTCCAGCCTGCCGATTCCTCCCGGTCTCTGCAAAAGTTATTTTGGAGTTGCTTTAGGAAGAGCTGCTTGGCTCTGTTGCTGTTTTTGTGGTCATGGTTGGCGGAGTGGGCGTCTCGCCAGCCAATTGGCGTGACCTTCAGTTAAGCGAGAACGCGGGAGGGTGGAAGGGGGGCTGTGGGCAAATTTGGCTGCGGCACCTGTTTATGTTATGCTCGGAGCTCCCTGTACTGTTCGCGGAGGAAGTCCAGCTTCTCCCAGGGAACGCACACGCCCCGCTCTCGGAAATTTGGTGACATCACTTTAGGGGGTGGGTGCTAACATGCGCAAATGTGGGTGTTCCATTTTAAGCCTCATGTGCGCCTCTCCTTCTCTGGAGATGAGATAAATAAAACTTTACTCGCATTAGCCAATGGCCATAGCAACAGTAAAACATTACAGTATACGCAGAAAAGGAAATTTGATATAAGAGCACAATTTAAAGTCCTGAATCAGCAGTCAGTTAGTGGCCCTTATTCTGATTACCCCTGCTATGAACCTAGCAACTTTTGCTGTTATCTGCTCATTTTGATCTGATAGAAGGAAGCACATTATGGCAGTGGTTGAGTGCCCTGAGATGGTTAGTACGAGTGGGCTGATTATCTTGTTCCTCAGGTCTTTGTAGAGAGTACAAGACAGGAGGGACATGTGCCGCTGTTTCGGTGCTGCCATCTCCACAGGGGCAAAGACGTTTCTCAGGCGGGATCTTTTGGAATCGACCCGCAAGTACCGCAGATGGCAAAAACATCCAGTCTTGCAAGTGTAAAAGCACGTCTGTATTTTGGGATGGGACGCAGGTGGCACTGTGGGTTAAACCACAGAGCCTAGGGCTTGCCGATCAGAAGGTCAGCGGTTCGAATCCCCGCGACAGGATGAGCTCGCGTTGCCCGGTCCCTGCTCCTGCCAACCTAGCAGTTTGAAAGCACGTCAACGTGCAAGTAGATAAATAGGTACCGCTCTGGCGGGAAGGTAAACGGCGTTTCTGTGCGCTGCTCTGGTTCGCCAGAAGCGGCTTAGAATCATAGAATCGTAGAATCATAGAGTTGGAAGAGACCACAAGGGCCATCGAGTCCAACCCCCTGCCAAGCAGGAAACACCATCAGAGCACTCCTGACATATGGTTGTCAAGCCTCTGCTTAAAGACCTCCAAAGAAGGAGACTCCACCACACTCCTTGGCAGCAAATTCCACTGTCAAACAGCTCTTACTGTCAGGAAGTTCTTCCTAATGTTTAGGTGGAATCTTCTTTCTTAGTCATGCTGGCCACATGACCCGGAAGCTGTACGCCGGCTCCCTTGGCCAGTAAAGCGAGATGAGCACCGCAGCCCCAGAGTCGTCCGCGACTGGACCTAATGGTCAGGGGTCCCTTTACCTATTTTGGGATAATAAGTTTGTGCAGATATGGGGCCAGAGAATCAAAATGGAGAGGTGGAAAATGAACATACCAAGGGCAGAATTTCCTTATAGTGGCCAGGTTGTTCTGGTGCTCGATATCTTTTAGAAGTTGACCAGTTAGTCTGTTTGCTTTAGTGGGGCCCATAATGAGTAGGTGTTCTGGGGATAGGCCACAAGAGGGAAGTTTTGGATAGACAGTTTTAAGCCAGGCACTTTTATGGGAGTCTTGAAGTACTAGGGATAGTAAACCAGGGTGATTTGAGTTTAGGCGAAACCAGAAGTTAAAAGTTCTTTGCCAAGTCAGTACTGAAGGGAGACTTGCCTCCAGTCTCAATGATGCGTTTGGGATGAATGGTGGTACAGAAAAAACCTGCCTTAGAAACTTTGATTGAACAGCTTCCAAAGTGCTAAGGTGTCTTCTCTGGAGGTGGTGCTTGTTTCTAAAGGCAAATGTGGAATCAGATTGTTGGGTTGCGTGTTGTGGCAGAGACCTGTTCAGAGGAGGCTGTCAAAGCTGGAAGGTCAAGGTTGTGGTGGGGACGGGACATAAAAATAAGGGGATTTTTTTGTGGGTGGGGGAAAATCTGCAGAGTGCAAAATCTCCTGAGAACGTAATCCACAGGTAGGCAAACTAAGGCCCAGGGGCCGGATCCGGCCCAATCGCCTTCTCAATCCTGCCCATGGACGGTCCGGGAATCAGCGTGTTTTTACATGAGTAGAATGTGTCCTTTTATTTAAAATGCATCTCTGGGTTGTTTGTGGGGCATAGGAATTCGTTCATTCTCCCCCTCCCCAACTATAGTCCGGCCCCCCAAAAGGTCTGAGGGACAGTGGGCCGGCCCCCTGCTGAAAAAGTTTGCTGACCCCTGGGCCTCAATCCCTTTGCCTGTGCTGTTCGCACATCTCAACATATCAATGTTTTGTTGAATTTCTGTTTTGAAGCAATTGATCTGTAAGCTGAAAGGGGGGAACTGGTTGGTTGATAAACCGGACGATAAATATGTGTTGTGTTATAAACATCGTTTTATTTATTTATTTATTTATTTATAAACCCATAATATAGAAAACATCATCCTTGAGGGCTAGAAAAGTCTTAATTCCAGGAACAGCAGTTTTTCACTTGCATGAAGGCTACTCCTAGGAGCATTCATAGATGACTCCAAGGCAGCCTTTGCCCAGCAGTGAGCAGCTGTTGCAAGTTCTGTGCAGGGATTTATGCTGGAAGTTGCTCTTCTTGACAGTGTGTTGTTGTTGTTGTGTTTCCTCCCCTCTGTCCTGCAGAAAGTTGTCTGAAAAGGCGGGGATTGACGAGGTCATAGCGGCTGCAGTCCTCACGAGCCTCTCCACCAGCCCGGTTGTGCTTAACAACCCACCCAACGGTTTCAGCGCAGGTATTGCAAAGACGCTGGGAGGAGAGGGGAGGTTGGGCTTTGAGAATGGCAATGCCTGCTTCCTAATATTGTCCTGGATAATTTTACAAGGTGTTTCTCCCCCCTTTGGGTTTCTGCAACATGTCAAGTTTACGGTTTACAGCACATGTATGGCCGACTTTCTCTTGATCTACTGTGCCGTGTCTGCCAAATGATTTATATTTAAAATACTATAGATATAGATACATTCACTGCTTGATTGTAAAACAAACAAACCTTCAAATCAGTTTGCGAAAAAGATAAAACAATAAAATGATAACTAAGAAAAAGTAACAACAGAAGAAAGCTTAAATAGACTAAAAACACATGAAAATTCGTACCAACTTTCTGAACATCAAGATAAGTAAAGGGACCCCTGACCATTAGGTCCAGTCGTGGCCGACTCTGGGGTTGCACGCTCATCTCTTTCTATAGGCCGAGGGAGCCAGTGTACAGCTTCTGGGTCATGTGGCCAGCATGACTAAGCCACTTCTGGCGAACCAGAGCAGCGCACAGAAACGCCGTTTACCTTCCCGCCAGAGCGGTACCTATTTATCTACTTGCACTTTGACGTGCTTTCGAATTGCTAGGTTGGCAGCAGGGACCGAACGATGGGAGCTCACCCCATTGCGGGGATTTGAACCGCCGACCTTCTGATCATCAAGTCCTAGGCTCTGTGGTTTAACCCACCGCGCTACCCGCATCCCTCTGAACATCTAGATAGCAGGTGCCAAAAAGAGTAGTTAGGGAATCCTAAAGTTTAGGTGCTGCCACACCAAAAGACTGAGTTGTTATAAATGCACCTGTAACAGTGCCAACTTCGATTGAAGTGGTCAAGTGGGCGCATATGGGCAAGGCGATCTAGTAGGCAAACAAGTTGTCACTTGTTGACACCCATCTGTCTTAAGAGACAATGGAGTTCACCTCTGGGGGTGAAGTCAGATTGCTGCTTTAGCAGCAGCAAAACGACCTCCCTGGAGCGCAAAGCCTGAGCAGTTGCCCTCTTGGCCTTGCTGATGGGGTCCAAAGGAATCGCAACAATACACGAATATGCAAGTTGTTAAACAAGGCTTTGTATACCTTGAACCTAGCCTGGTAGCAAATCGGCTAGCAGGACAGATCTCTGAGTCCAAGTGTTATATGCTGAAAAGGCCTCACTTCTGTCAGCAGTTGGGCAGCTTCCGTAGCAATTTTTATTTTTTACTCTTTAAGCCACCACAGGAACATTTGGGGTGCCTGGCAGGAAGCCCTGTTCCATGCCAAGCTCTTTTCACCCTTAGCTTAGCCTTGTTCACCAGGGTCTCTGCTTGCATAATAACAATAACAATAATAAATTATTATGTATACCCCACCCATCTGGCTGGGTTTCCCCAGCCACTCTGGGCAGCTCCCAACAGAATATTAAAAACACGATAAAACATCAAACATTAAAAGATTCCCTAAGCAGGGCTGCCTTCAGATGTCTTCTAAAAGTCTGGTAGTTGTTTTTCTCTTTGACATCTGGTGGGAGGGCGTTCCACAGGGCAGGTGCCACTACCGAGAAGGCCCTCTGCCTGGTTCCCTGTAACTTGGCTTCTCGCAGTGAGGGAACTGCCAGAAGGCCCTCAGCGCTGGACCTCAGCGTCTGGGCAGAACGATGGGGGTGGAGACACTCCTTCAGGTATACTGAACCGACGCCATTTAGGGCTTTAAAGGTCAGCACCAACACTTTGAATGGTGCTCAGAAACATACTGGAATGGAGCATGGAAAGAGGTGTGCGTAGCTCTGACTTTTGCATGGTTGGAACGAAACCTGCTTCATCGACTGCCCTGCTGGCTCTTCACTCTGGCCCTGCTGGCATCTGGCCCTTGGAAGATCCTGCACAAGGGGCTGTGGCCCTCGGAATGAAAATCGTTCTGACACCTGGTTTGGTTTTGGTGCTCCAAGGTGTTTAGGCATGCTTGGGGTGGTGTGCAGTTCTGACGTCTTTTTTTTCTACCCCGCGGCAGAAACCAATGGTGATGTTTGGAAGGAAGTACCGGCCATGTCCTCCAGCTGCAGCAGCAGCAGTAACAACAGCGGCGACTGGAGCTGGGACCCTCCCAGTGACCTCTCCACCCCCTCGACGCCGTCTCCACCGCTGTCCACGGAGGCTCCCGCCAGCTTCCTTCCCTCGCTGCAGTCGGAGCTGGAGGAGACCGAGACGACTCACTTTCTGTTTGGTGACCCCATCCCCAGGAAGAGGAAGGTGAGAGAGTGGGGCAAGGGGGGCATCTTGGGAAAGAATTGTAGAATTGGAAGGGACCCCAAGGGACTACTGTATTTTTTGCTCTATATGTTGCACCCGACCATAAGACGCACCTAGTTTTTAGAGGAGGAAAACGGGGGGGGGGGGGATTTCTGAATCTCAGAAGCCAGAACAACAAAATGGATCACTGCGCAGCGAAAGCAGTGATCCCTCTTGCTGTTCTGGCTTCTGGGATAGCTGCGCAGCCTGCATTCGCTCCATAAGACGCACATACATTTCCCCTTACTTTTTAGGAGGGAAAAAGTGAGTCTTATAGAGCAAAAAATACGGGGGGAAGGAAGGGACCCCAAAGGTCATCCAGTCCAGCCCCCTGCAATGCAGGAATCTCAGCTAAAGAGTTCCTGACGGGTGGTCACCCAACGTCCGCTGAAAGAACTTCAAGGAAGGAGAGTCCACAACCTCCAGAGGGTGACCGTTCCACTGCTGAACATCTCTTACTGTCAGGCTTGTTGAGTTCAACCCCCAATGGAAAACAATAAACCTTTGAATCTGTGATTCTACAAGTCACTGATTGCGGCTGCTTGGTAGCCTTTTTGCCCAAATCTTCCAGGGCTGAACAGGTTTCTAGTCCCCAGGATAAGCCTTGAGACTCCGAGGTAGCCCTCAAAATGGTCCTTTCTCCCGTTTCTTACAGAACTCCACCAAGGTGATGTTCAAGTGCTTGTGGAAGAACTGTGGGAAGGTGTTGAGCAGTTCGTCTGGGATGCAGAAACACATCAGGACCATCCACCTGGGGTAGGTTTGGGCATCCTGCTTGGGCCTGGTGGGCCTATTCAGTTGCTGGCACCGTGGGCAGGTTGGAATTGCAGTGGGGAGAAATGTTGACATGTTGCATGCTTAAATGAAGAGGGAAAAGAGTTATGTGTTTAAAGGTAAAGGGACCCCTGACCATTAGGTCCAGTTGCGGACGACTCTGGGGTTGCGGTGCTCATCTCGCTCTACTGGTTAAGGGAGCCGGCATTTATCCACAGACAGTTTTTCTGGGTCATGTGGCCAGCATGACAAAGCCGCTTCTGGCGAAACCAGAGCAGCGCACGGAAATGCTGTTTACCTTCCTGCCAGAGCGGTACCTATTTATCTACTTGCATTTTGATGTGCTTTCAGACTGCTAGGTGTGCAGGAGCAGGGACCGAGCAACGGGAGCTCACCCCGTCGCGGGGATTTGAACCGCTGACCTTCTGATCGGCAAGCCCTAGGCTCTGTGGGGTCATGAAGAGTCAGACATGACTAAATAACAACAAGAAGAAGGAAATCAGCCCTGAGTGCAATCTTTCTTCACCCCTAATTCCAGTGGTTGCTGCTAGCCCCCCTCCATTTATTTATTTTTTTACTTCCGCCAGGAGGAAAGCTGACCTGGATCAGAGCGATGGGGAGGAAGACTTCTACTACACGGAGCTGGACGTCAACGTGGACTCCTTGACGGACGGCCTGTCCAGCCTGACGCCCGTCTCCCCCACCTCCTCCGTACCCCCGGCCTTTCCCGCCTTGGAGGAGCTGCAGCCAGTGCCGGGGCCTCCTTCGTTCAGTCCAGACATTTCCACGGCGCCTCACCTGAGCCAGCCGACGCACATGGCCATCCTCAGCCAATCGGCGCCTACGAGCGTCTGCCACATCCAAGCCGACCATGCGTACCAGGTGGGCTCTCCGGATTGGAGCGCTGTCTGGAGCTTGGGGCAGGGGCGAGGAGCCTTTTTCAGCTTGGGGTCCGCTACACCTCATTCGCAACCTTCCCTGGGCCGCTTGGCCAGAGAGGCAAAGCGGGACAGAGCAATGAATAGGACTCTTACCGTTGCACCTTAGATTACCGTATTTTTTGCTGTATAAGACGCACCAGACCACAAGACGCACCTAGTTTTTGAAGGAGGAAAACAAGAAAAAAAATATTCTGAATCTCAGAAGCCCAGAACAGCAAGAGGGATCGCTGTGCAGTGAAAGCAGCAATCCTTCTTGCTGTTCTGGCTTCTGGGATAGCTGCGCAGCCTGCATTCGCTCCATAAGACGCACACACATTTCCCCTTACTTTTTAGGAGGGAAAAAGTGCATCTTATAGAGCGAAAAATACGGTATATTCCAGCTGTGCAAAAGTCAGAGGCTTCTACGCGTAACACGTCTCTCTATAATGCTTCCAGGCAAGCAGGATTATTTATTGCAATTGTATCTCACCTTTGCTCAAGGCGGCCTGCATACTTTCCCCGCGTTTTACCCTCAAAACAACAACCCTGCGAGGTAGGCTAGGCTGGGAGTGAGCGAATGGCCCAAGGCCACCCAGTGAGCTTCATTGCTGAGCAGGGATTCGAACCCAGGCCTCACAGGGTCCTAGCCCAGCACTCTATAACCACTACGCTGCCACCACTGGCTGTCAAGGATGCATTAAGCACTCGGACAGGGTGTGGCCCCTGGGGAGGGGAAAGGGCTGCAGAGAGAAATCGGGTGGCGGGCAGCAATTGGCCCACCCAGGCCGGATGTGCCCTACCCCAGGTTTAGTGGGGGTGGGATATGAATTGCTGGGGGAAATGCTCACCGAATAAGGATGGCTCAGGAACCCCGATACGGGGCAAAACCAGGTTTTCCTGTGTCCCCTCCCCCAATACTCAAAATTGGTGACCTTTTGTTTCTAAAAACAAAACAAGAAATGCCACTTTGCTTTGATTTCCAGGCGACGGGTCCTGCTGGCGTTCCGGCCGATCTGAAAGCGCCACCCACTGGAATGGAAATCAGCATATCATGGCAGCAGCCAACCTTTTTTCCACCTCTGCCCCCTGTCCTTTTTAAAAGCCCCCCGGTAAGTAACCCAGAGGGCCACGCTCGACTCCTCCCCTCTCCTCTGCCAGTGTTGTGGAGTGGTTAGAGTGTTGTACTCTGATGACCTGGGAGATCAGGGTTCGAATCCCCTGCTCAGCCAGGAAGCTCTCGCTGGCCTTTGTTACCTTGGGTCAGCCACCTTCTCTCAGCCTAACCTACGTCTTAGGGTCACTGTTGCGATGGGCAAGGGGGAAAACGGTGTACACCTTTGAACTCCTTAGAAGAACAGGTGGGATATGAAGGTAATAAATATAAATGGGCAGCTATCTGTCCTGGATGCTTTAGCTCAGATTCCTGCACGGCCGGGGGTTGGACTAGATGACCCTCGGGTGCCCTTCCAACCCCACAATTATTTGAAATGAATAAATAAATGCGGCTGCTGGCTACAGAGATCCATTGGTGTAGTCACCACCCACCAACGAATTTATTTTAGAATGCTGTGTTACTTTTATTGTTGTTAGCCGCTCTGAGCCCGGCTTCGGCTGGGGAGGGTGGGATATATATAAATAATAATAATAATAATAATAATAATAATTATTATTATTATTATTATTATTACAGTGGTACCTCGGGTTAAGTACTCAGTTCGTTCCGGAGGTCTGTTCTTAACCTGAAACTGTTCTTAACCTGAAGCACCACTTTAGCTAATGGGGCCTCCTGCTGCCGCTGTACGATTTCGGTTCTCATCCTGAAGCAAAGTTCTTAACCCAAGGTACTATTTCTGGGTTAGCGGAGTCTGTAACCTGAAGCGTATGTAACCCGAGGTAACACTGTATTATTATTATTATTACAATGGTACCTTGGGATGCAAACAGGATCCGTTCCGGAGCCCCGTTCACATCCCGAATGGAACGCAAGATGCAACGGCACGTCTGCACGTGCGCGGGTCGCGTTTTGGCGCTTCTGCGTGTGCACGTTACATCATTTTGACGGTCTGCGCATGTGCGTGCGACAAAACCCGGAAGTAATGCGCTCCGTTACTTCTGGGTCTCTGCGGAGCGCAACCCGAATTTGCCTAACCCGAAGTGTATTCATCCCAAGGTTTGACTGTATGGTCTCTAGTTAAGATGCCTCTCGCGGGTGGGTATGTCTTTGGCAGCAGAAGATGCAGCTGTCCCATGTTGGTCTCTGAACGTAAGACGACCACAGCAGGATGAGGCCCATCTAATCCAGCATCCGCTTCTCACGGTGGCCGACCACAGGCCTGTGAGAAAGCTGCAAGCAGGATTCGAACACAAGCCCTCTCCGGTGGTTTCCAGCAACTTGTATTCGGAAACATTGCTGTCTCTGACTGTGGAGGCAGAGCGTAGCTGTCATGACTAGCAGCCTTCGATAGCTGTCTCCTCCTCTGCTGCTGCTGTCGCCCCCCCCCCCCCCCCCGGGCCCAGAGTTATATCGCTGTTGCTCCGATTGCTGCAAAGTTAGGGCACAATGCACAAAAGTAATATTTTTTCTCCTTTCCCTCCCCCCAGGGCTGCCTAACCCCTATCCGGCCTGCTGACATAGGAGAAAAGCGCCCACAGGTCCCTCCTGTGCCCGCTGCCAAGGGGCACCCATCAGTGCCCTCTTCCATGCCAAAGCCTGCCACGGGCACAAGGTGAGTTGCCAGCTGGTGCTCTTGCTTACGTCTCCACCCACCGTTTGGTGTCTCTGTTTTGAAAATAGAACGGAAATTTGCATCGCTCCCCTTTAGCCTCTTAAAAAGTTTTGGTTTTCACACTCGTCTGTTCAGGCTCTGCTTGTGCCCCGAGAAACTCATTTTAAAATCTAGGGTGGGGGTGAATTTAAGGGGAAAGGAGTTGTTTCTCGCATACTGTACATTGAAACTTGCAGGTGTGCCTCTGGAGTAGAACAAGCACCATTTGACACTTGAGGTGCTTCCAGAGAGAGAAAGTGGAGCTATCCCCAACTGAGGTCTGTTCTGCTTTAAGCTGCCCGTGAAATAGCAACTTTCCTTCCAGGCTTGGAGGACCCACATAAGCTCCTGTAGGCAGTCCACCTTTTCCTATCCCCAAATGTGCTGGTGATGGTGGGGTTTTCACTGGGGCTATGGGGTGGGAGGAAAGGGTTAAATCCTTCTGGACGCCCACCCACCCCAACCTCTCTCCATCCTGCGCTTGTGACCAGGGTTACAGCCGCTAAAACAGAATGTCTAGTTGCCATCTGGGGGCCAGGCGGCGAGAAACTTGTATCGCAGGTAGAATTCAACGGGGTGTGTGCGAAAAAAAGGGCAAGATCCAGGGATCCCCAGACATGCACCTCCAGAGGGTGGAGGTGTCAAATGCCATCCTGCCGCCCGGGCATCTTCACTCGGTTGGAAGCGGCCTGGTTAATTTCTAGCGCTGCTGCAAGTACCTCCTCCAAGACAAACAAGTGCAGAAAGCAATGAGCACATTGTGCATTGCAAACATGAGAGGCATTTTGTTGGTCAGTACTAGAGTCTTAAGTTTGGCCATTGTACCATTGTACTGTGGAGAGTGTATTAACTTATGTGTGTGGTTTGGGAGCTGCACGGTCAGGGAAAAAACAATGTTGTCCAGGGTTGTAAAGACTGTGAAGAGAATAATTGGGTGCACTCTTCCCACCTTGGATCAAATCTATGCTTCCAGGTGCCATAAGAAAGCTGCAGAGATAGTGCAGGATAGTGCGCACCCCAGAAATGATCTCTTTCAGCTTCTGCCTTCTAGAAGAAGGTACAGGGTTATAAAGACTAGGACTAGTCGTCTGAGAAACAGTTTCTATCCAAATGCGATTTTGGTTTTAAACGCAGTGCAAGGTAGTCTCTATGGGAGTAAAGGTAAAGGGACCCCTGACCATTAGGTCCAGTCGTGGCCGACTCTGGGGTTGCGGCGCTCATTCGCTTTATTGGCCGAGGGAGCCGGCGTACAGCTTCCGGGTCATGTGGCCAGCAGGACTAAGCCGATTCCGGCGAACCAGAGCATCATACGGAAACGCCATTTACCTTCCCGCCGGAGCGGTACCTATTTATCTACTTGCACTTTGATGTACTTTTGAACTGCTAGGTTGGCAGGAGCAGGGACCGAGCAACGGGAGCTCACCCCGTTGCGGGGATTCAAACCGCCGTCCTTCTGATTGGCAAGTCCTAGGAGTATATAGTATACCTAGGAGTATATTGTATTTAATTATGGGGTATCTGAGTTTTTAGGGCGCTAACCAGGCTGGGATAGCAGACTTGTTGGGTTTGAATGTCTGATGTCATTTTTTTCAATTTCGTTGTTCTGTATGGGACAATGACAATAAAGATTATCGTATCGTATCGACCTGTCCGCACAGGGAGCTCCTCCTCTCTCCCTCTCCTTCAACGGCCTTTTCTGCTCTGCCTCTTTGCAGGAAGCCTCGCGGCGAGGCCAAGAAGTGCCGCAAGGTGTACGGGATGGAGAACCGCAACATGTGGTGCACGGCCTGTCGCTGGAAGAAGGCCTGCCAGCGGTTTGTCGACTGAGCCGAGTCCCCCTGCGGCCCAGCTCCGGGGAGGCTGCCCGCCCGCCCGCCTGGGCTCTTCCCCCTCCTCGTCGCGCGATTTGCACTTCTGTGCCTTCCAGCCTGACCTCCCTGGCCGTCCGCCCCCCTTCCTGGCAGCACCTCCCTCTCCCCGCCCCCCTGCCCCCACCCAAGGTGGGGACTCTCATCTGTGCCTTGGCTCAGGAAAAAGGAGATTCTGCTGCGGACGGTGGCAGTGTAGCAAGGAAGGAACCCCTGCCTTTCCCAAGATGTGCACAGCCCAGGCAGGCTCTCTCGACCCCCACAATAGGAACACTCTGGTGCTTTTTCCCCCTAACCTTTTTTTAAAAAATACCTGCCACCAATTTTTCTTGGCCAAATGGCAGCTTTTCCCACATCCGCACATGTGAAGATTGAGCCTTTTTTTCTGTTGGGGGGGGGTTCTGTTTGAAATAAGCTATTTCTTTTCCTTCTCCCTGTATCCTTTCCTCCTCCCCTTTGTAGCCTTAAGGTCAGGGATGGGGAGCCTATAGCCTCCCAGAAGATGCTCATTTCAGCTCCCAGCATCCCTGGCTGGGGCTGATGGGAGTTGGAGTCCAGCAGTCCTTGGAGAGGGTCCCCCACCCCTGCTCTCTAGGGTCTGAGGCGAGGGGGGGCAGCAGCCATCAGTGCCCTGTGAGAAGGCTGCCAAACCCAAAGAGCTAATTCGAGGCAGGCCAAGCCAATGGTAGCTCTTCCTGCCCTCAGAGGAAAGGAGAACAAGTTTTTATCCCATGGCTAACGGAGAACACAGACTTTTGCACCTGGGCTTTCCTCCTCTTCTCCTTGTGCATTTTCTGTTTCATTATTTTGCTTCGGTGAATCAGGCATTCGACAGAAAGGAAAATGCCCCCGTCTCCAGCACCTTCAGCTGTTTTCACGTATCGGTTGCAACACAACTTTCAGAAAGAGAAAGGTGTTTTTGTCTGTTTTTGTATAGGTTTTGAAGGTAGTGAGTCTAATCTAGGACTCTGATGCAGTTGCCGGCGGGGGGGCGTTGAATCTGTAGGGTGTCCTTGGAGCCTGAGAAGTTTTATCTCCTCGTCTTCATTCACTACCTGCCTTCTCTCTTCCACCTCCACCCTCCAAGACACGGAGAAGAAGGCCGTATTATAAGAAACATCCAGACTTTTGCAACCTGGCTTAAGAATGGTCCCATGGTGGATTTGAATACCTTGGTCTCTTGCAAGAAATAAGCTATGCACGGGAAAAGGCAGCCTGCTCTTTCCCCCCCACAAGAGCCAGAATGAATTTGCATTACAAGTTACTCTGACCACACAAAGGAACACTTCAACTCCCATACGTGCAATCCCAGACTCTCTCGAATTTTGTGTGTGCCGGCAGGTAATCAGGAAATGGATCTGCGGCAGGTTTTGACTTGGGTGCCAGATGTGGGTGGCAAAGTTGAAATTTCAGTGATGAGACTCGCAACTCCCTCCCACCTGACAATTCTGGCCCGAATTTGAATTTTGGAATCAGGATTTTCTGCGTTTCGTATTCGGAGGAAACTTGCCAAATGTCGAACATTGAGGTTTCATTTTGGTCTGTTTTTCCATCTCCCTTCCACCTTCTGAACTGCTGCGGCTTATTTTGGGGGGAGTAATTGCCATTTTGTAGCTGTTCTTGGGGTGGAGTGGGGTCCGAACCAAGCAGTGATGAGCTTGCTTGCACTTAAATGCACCAGATGCCAGAATGATGTGCTTTAAATGGAATTAGTCCAATGCACCTGTGTCACTGGACACACAGTGCAAAGGCATGACCTTTCCAGAGAACTCTACGCAACCTCCCCACCCACCCACCTCAAGCAGTGTCTTGGGTCTCCCTTTCATTTGGGTGGGGAGGGGTCGCTCTTGTGCAGTGGAAGTCCGCATTGCAGCTGTTTCCTAAACCTTTTTTTAATTTGGGAAAGTGAACATTGATTTTTATTTTTTCTCAAGTATCGCACCTGTAAAACATGTTGATATCCTTACCCAAATTTCACCCATCTCCATAAATATTTAGCTAGGCTGTTAGATTTTTTTCCCTTTTTTTGTTTTAGGAGCCAGGTCTTTATAACCAAACTAATCCCGTTAAGGTTTTAAATGTTTCGCCCTTCGTTTTTTTTTTAATTATTATTATTTTCGTGCCACACTTCAACCCCTGAGATGTTTCTTGTAGCTAAATAGCTACTTGTCTGAAAGACAGACCTTGTAAAGTTTGGTAGCTATTAATGGGAATCCATGGTCCTCAGATGAAATCTGCTTTTAGCCAAAATGTACCCAGAGGGAACCGCGCTGAAACGACAAGCAGCGGCAGGAGTGCGTCTCCATTCTTGCGCCGCTGCCTTATTTCAGCGGCATTTGCACATTGTGTTGCACATTTCCAAGGTGCCTGCGCCTGTCGTCCTCATGCTTTGAAAATGAGGACGATCAGCTTTGGGAACCAGACTGCCGGGAAATGCCTCATTCGATCGCCACTCTTTGCACTACACCAAACTGCACAAGGATTTGAGGGTTTTTTTGGTATGATGTTCTTTAAGAAATCAAATGGTAGCAAAGTTTGCATTTTTAAGGCCTGCCTCCCCCTATTACACAAGGTGAATGTTAGGTGGTTGGGGAGGTTATCCTGTTAACTTTCCAAAAGTCTGGCTTCCATTTTTGTAGAGGGAATGAACCTCACTCCCCAACCTGCAACTTACTTTCTCTCTCCCTCTCACTTTAAGCAAAACTGCACTGGCTAGTGAGAGAGGTAGTTCTTCTCTCTCCCTGCCGCCCCCGCCCCCCATTTTTTAAAAAAGCTTTGCTGTGCAGTCTCTTGCCTGCAGTGGAACGGACAAAGTCCTCCCGAGTCGGCCACAATTGTTGTTAACTGTTGGAAGATAATCAGCCCTTTCCCCATCACCCCTATTCAAAGTGGCCTTTTCGAGACGAAGGCTGCGGTCCTTTGTGTGCTTATGGAGCAGGATGCCCTCTTGAGGGACTTGCTTCTGAGTAAGCAGTCAGATTGTGCTGCATGGCAAGCAACTGTGTGTGTGTTTGTGTGTATGTGTGTGTTCAGGAAGCTTTATTTTATATATAAATATATATAAAAGCAGCTTTGGAATCTGTTAAAAAGTTCAGATTATTTTATTGTATGAAATCTCGGGTGCCCCCACCTTGGAGACATTAGAGCGGCAGCTCTCCATTGAATGTAGACTTACTTCTGAGTAAGCGTGGGTAGGATTGCGCTCCAAGGGTCTGAGACTTGTTTGGAAGCACTTGTGTGTGAACCCAGCTGAAGTGAATGGGACTTACCTCTGAGTAAACATGGTTAGAACATGAAACCAACCATAGATGTTCAAGAGAGGAACAGCTGTTCCTGGACAATATCCATGCACATGGGAAGTTTTAAAGGCATGGCAGAGTAAATGCGAAGTTAGAATCTTCCTCACGTGCTTGTTTTGTATATCCAGGGAATTTTCTAACGTGGAACAGCAGCAACTTCCCCTGCCTGCAGTAGCAAGCCACTATAAGTGCCAGCAGCAGAAGACTGTGAAAAAAAACCTAGTCACATGACTTGGCTTGTCAAGGGATGAGCCCCCACCCTTCTCTGTTAAATAGCTGGAGGTCAAGTGGTACTTTGGTCCCAATGACACTTGCCCTAGAGCAGGCTTCTTCAAACTTGGCCCTCCAGATGTTTTTGGCCTACAACTCCCATGATCCCTAGCTAGCAGGACCAGTGGTCAGGGATGATGGGAGCTGTAGTCTCAAAACATCTGGAGGGCCAAGTTTGGGGAAGCCTGCCCTAGAGCAAGCTTTTTCAATGTTGGGTCTCCAGATGTTGGACTGGAACTCCCCATCATCCCTGCCCTCTGGTCCTGCTAGGTAGGAATGATGGGAGTTGTAGTCCAGCAATGTAGCGTAGGGGGACCTAACGTTGAGAAAGGCTGCCTAGAACGTTGCCAAAGGCAAGGAAGTGAAACGAAGGATCTGGTTTATCCGCCATGCCCTCCAGGTCACGGAAGCTGCAAAGTGGGCTGTGGAATTTGAATCTTTCCGGTAGAATCGGGGCTTTTGAGGATTCAGATCTGCCTTCCTCTGAGAGGGGCACCTTTCCTCCCTGGCCTGCCCTGCATATTTCCTGACATTTAAAATGCAAACCAAAACTGGATTGAAGCCAGAATGTGCTTTAAGACTGTTGGCTGCCAAGGGGAGAAGTAGACGAGACTGCCCCTTGCAAGCATTTATTTGATCCTCAGTAGGTGAAGCTTTTCCCAGCCTGGAGGGAATACTTGCTACCTGAAGATCAAGCAGCCGTGTCTGGCACAGAAGTAAAGGGAAGATTTCTTTTTTTTAAAGTTGGCAACCTTACTCCATTTTCTTCCTCCCCGCCCCACTTATTTAAACCAGCAAGCCTCTGCTTTAACTTCAAACGGCAAAAGAAAATATTAAAAGAGTATTGACAGCCTAAGAGGCTAGTGTCTTATGGTACTGGGTTAAATCGGTGGTTTCCTTGCAGTTGTTCCTTCCTCAAGAAACCAACTAAGATGAGGGCTTATCTGCACTTCCTCTTCCCCGGTTTCTCCCCTCCCCCTGAAAACCGCTCTCTAGTGTTCAATTGAGCAAACTGCAATTGGGTTTTCTGCAGATTGCTGTTGGTTGTGTTTTTCCCAGGAAAAGGAGAACCGTGCTTCCTAGGCATTGGAGAAGCTCAAGTGTAGACAAGCCCTGACACAGTTGCATGATATTTGCATATAATAGTTAATATGTATAGGAGCACAGACATGTTGATTTTCAGATTGGGGGATGGATAGGAGTCCCATGGTCAGATGCACCTTGTCTTAACAACACCCCTGGAGGGAGGGCTTTTTGTCCTCAGAAGTTTCAGCAGAAGCAAAACACTTCCAAAACGCAGCCGAGACGCCTCGAGCACCCCGTGGGTGTTTGCACTTCAACTGGGATGTTCACAGTTTGAAATCTTACCTTAAATATTTATCGGTGGCATTTTAGCCCTGTGCTAAAATGCCATTGCTTCTAAATCACCGTAAGCCTTAAAAAAAGAGATAGAAAAACCCATTCAAGTAATAAAAAGTGGGGTGGGAGAGATCAGTGGTTGCCCTTTCCTCAAGTAAAATTTGCAGTGCCCAGCAGTGATATCCAGTTAACATTGCATCTGTGCAAAGATTTAAACTTGTGCACTAGACTGCCCTTCTCTACACCCCCTCCCGGCACACGATCCTAAATTTTCTCTGGGTGGTTGGTGGTGGTGGGAACCCAGAGCATATTTAGGAGAGAGCATAGGGTGGGGGGGAATCTATTGCACTAGTTTAAATCTGTGTGCTGATGGAAGAAGTTCCTTAGTTCTACTTTGTATACACCCCCTGGGCTGCAGGCAGTTGGAAAAGGCAGTCAAACATGCTGGGAGAATAATCTCTGGTTTTTGGCAGTGATGTGACCAACTATCGTATTCCCAAGTCGGGCTTGTTGCTGTGTATTAGATCACTTTCAAGAGAGTTTGCACAAATCTCAAGCCCCATTTTTTTTGCAGTAAGTGGCCAATATTTGTTGGATCTTGACAATGCCAGATACAGTTGGTGAAGCTCCGTAAATACCTGTTTCCCCACTTGAATTCCCAGAATTAGGTTCTGCCCTGTGCATACCTTTTGGGACATTTTAACGTTTGAGTGGGATTATAGCCATTAACTAAATCCTTAAACATGCAATGTTTAAGGGCGGTCAGATAAAACAGAATAAAAGGGTCTTGGGGGAGTAGGTTGGGGGAAATACCAGGTTTTTGACTGGCATCCTATCTGTTAAAAACTCCCTGCAGGTAAAAAGCTAGCACAGCATATAGAGTAGGGCTGCGTGAGATCCCTTCTCAATGTGCTGAATTTCCACTTCCAGGGAGTTGTTTTACGAAGGGGTGCTTTCAACTCCGGTTTCTACAAGCTGCGGCTGCTGCTTGTGTAGGCTAAGTCTAGCATCCATCCAGGGCTTTTATGATTCTATAAATGCCATTTTAATGGCCTCCAAATGGAGGTCAACACAGAGCTTGCAGTGCCTGGGATGTTCCCCTACCCTCCTTTTTGTGAGGGACTTTGGCTTCTTTGAGGAAAGGTTGCCATTCCACAACCTGCCTGAACAGTCTCTTTGCATTAGCAACTGCAAGCAGCAGAGAATGCATGTAAAAATTCCCCAGCATAAAGACGCTTTTAACTTGATTCATATTTATGGCCTTGTCTGTTCTCTACATTGCTTTAAATATCAATCTAGCAAAGCAAAACAACACATTAAAAAGTGGGACAGCTCACTGTTGGCAGGCGCAACAAAATTGGGTCAAATTGCCGGCTGGGCCTTGCATCAGTGGAATGTGGAACATGCCTGTTGGTTCTGGGAATCATCCCTGGCAGGGCTAGACTGTCTGTAAATGAGGATTGGACAGTGTGTCAACTTGATCATAATCTCAGATCAGAGGCAGCCGGCTTCAGAAGCCGTTTGTGGGTGTTAAGCGTTACTGCTCTATTCTGCTTTTCAGAGAATGGCCAGACGGTGAGGAACTGATTTTGCCACAATATCCCAAAACCTCCTTGGAGGTTGCAAGATTAAATTGGCACTTCCTTTTTGTAGCTGGGGCATCTGCAGTTATGGAGAGCGTGTAGTTTTGACATTGAATGTATCTTCCCCATGTTTTGATGACTGTTTTTTTTAGGGCCACAGGCAGACAAATCCTTTTCTAGATCAATGATCTCCCACTTGTGACGCACAGGGGAGCTATGGCGCTATTAGCAAAACACAAACACTTTTTTTCTGTGTGTGTGTATAAAAATAGCAAGCTAAAACATTCCTAAGTGCTGCCACAGCAAGAAATGTATTTTGAAAAGCTTTTTAAAAAACAAGCCAAGAGAAGAGGAAGAAACCAAACTAGGATTTTTGTTTTGCTACGGTTGGAAGGATATTTACACAGCCCAGAATGCGACAAACAGTTCTCTTCTTTGCCTGCCCCCCTTTAAGGAACCTTTTCTTTCAGGATGTTCAAAGTGTGGAGGTGGCGCTTCTTGTACTGACTGTGTGTCTGCGTGTATGTCTGTATGTGTGTGCTGTGCTGTGCTCAGGTGACCTTTGGTATCAGAGGAAGCGTGCCAATCAAATTGAGACTTTTATCAGATATTCAGAGGGGAAAAAAGTTGCTGTTTTTCAAGAATATGCTTGTGTCTTGGTCTTTCTGGGTTTTGGTGTTATTTATTGCATTTATAGCCTGCCTTTTTCTCCAGGGAGCTCAAGGTGATGTACATGGTTTTCTGCCCTCCTTTGTTTAATCCCCAAAACAAACCTGCGAGGTACGTTAAGCTGAGAGGCAGCAATTGGCCCAAGAGCTCCATGGCCAAGTGGGGATTTGAACCCCAGGCCCTATTCTAGCAGTCCAACCACTAAACCACACTGGCCCTTTTGAAGTGGGAGACAACGGGTGGCTTTTATGGGAGGTGGGGCTCTTGGATGTAGATCACTTTCAAAAGTGTTTGCTCGGACCCAGCAACTTCTGCATCATCCTAGCAGCAGCATTGAGGAGAGATCAGTAGATATCTAATGGGAAAAGAATGGAGTCAGCCTCCAGGCTGAGTCTGTAAGGGGTGCTGCCCTCCTAAGAGTGGAGAGCTATTAGGTCTGCTTTGTTTAGTCCCATTAATAATAATTTATTATTTGTTCTCCAGCCACTCTGGGCGGCTTCCAACGAAGATTAAAAATATATTAAAATGTCACACATTAAAAACTTCCCTAAAGAGGGCTGCCTTCAGATGTCTTCTAAATGTCAGGTAGTTGTTTATCTCTTTGACATCTGATGGGAGGTTGTTCCACAGGGCGGGTGCCACGACCGAGAAGGCCCTCTGCCTGGTTCCCTGTAACTTGGCTTCTCACAGTGAGGGAACCGCCAGAAGGCCCTCGGAGCTGGACCTCAACGTTCGGGCAGAACGGTGGGGGTGGAGACGCTACTTCAGGTATACTGGACCGAGGCCGTTCCCAGGTGGAAATAGGCTAGACATCCCAATTCAGTTAATTTCAACATGAAGTTGCTATTATTTATTAAACTTCTGTGCCACCCTCCATCCAAAGACCACAGGGCGGTTTACAATATTATAATATAAAAAGGTAAAGGACCCCTGGACGGTTAAGTCCAATCACAGGTGACTGGGGTTGTGATGCTCATCTTGCTTTCAGGCTGAGGGAGCCGGCATTTGTCCACAGACAGCTTTCTGGGTCATGTGGCCAGCAGGACTAAGCCACTTCTCACACAACAGAACACTGATGGAGACCAGAGCTCATGGAAACGTCATTTACCTTCCTGCCACAGCGGTACCTGTTTATCTACTTGTGCTGGTGTGCATTCGAACTGCAGGGTTGGCAGGAGCTGGGACAGAGCAATGGGAGCTCACCCCGTCGTGGGAATTCAAACTGCCAACCTGATCGGCAAACCTAAGAGGCTCAGCGGTTTAGACCACAGTGCCACCCGCGTCCCTTCATAACAACATGTAGCATAGTAACAAACAATAACACACATGCCCCCATTCATAGTTTAAAAAGGCCATGGATCGTTTAACTAGGCAAAGGCCTGGGAGGAGGAGAATGATTTCGCCAGGAGCCTCAAGACATGTAACAAAGGTGCCTGGCGAACCTCCCTTGGGGAGAGCATTCCATAAATGGGGAGCCACCACAGAAAAGGCCCATTTTTGTGTTGCCACCCTTTGGACCTCTTGTGAAGGAGGCACACACACACAAGGCCCTCGCTGATCACAGATTGGTTCGTATGCAGAGAGGTTGTCCTTGAGGTATTGCAGTCCTGAGCTGCTTTAAGGCTTTTCCTAGGTCAAAACCAGCCTTTGCCAACCTGTTGCCCCTCCAGCCATTTTGGATTACAGTACCCAATTCCCCCAGTCGGCACATCTGCGTGCCAAGTTAGCGAAGGCTGGTATTGGCCATGCCTTGCTCTCAACAAGGGCCAACTGGGAGAGATTAGCTGTGTACGGTATTGCCAGTACTCAGGCTTGCCTCAATCTGCTTCACCCCTCCTGCGGTTTTGCAGAAGCAAAAAACTGCAGCGCAAGCAGGGCGAACGTTTGCTTACCTTGCACAATCTGCACACGTTGCAGAAGGAAGTTCTGAACATCTGTCTCCCCCTAGCAGCAAAGGGTTAGATGTGCATCTGGAAGCAGACAGAAGGGCTGTGTGCATACAGTCGAGGAGCTGGCAATTGACAGTGGATTAGTGCACTTCTCACTGACGTAAACATGTACTAGAACTGTTTTAAGAGTATGGGAATGATGGGCTGCTCCTCTGGGTCAACAGTGCTCCCTGCACATAGAAAGCTAGCACATCAGGAACAAGTGTTCTAGCTTTCTCCCTGACACTTTTCTATATCTAGGTTTGTTTTGTGTAAGGGGGGGGGCATCTATTCCAGTAGTATAGGATACCTAGGCCCGTGAAGCTGAGGCTTCAATACTTTGGCCACCTCATGAGAAGACTCCCTGGAAAAGACCCTGATGTTGGGAAAGATGGAGGGCACAAGGAGAAGGGGACAACAGAGGACGAGATGGTTGGACAGTGTTCTTGAAGCTACCAGCATGAGTTTGACCAAACTGCAGGAGGCAGTGGAAGACAGGAGTGCCTGGCGTGCTCTGGTCCATGGAGTCACGAAGAGTCGGACACGACTAAACAACAGGCCTACGTTGCACTACCTTACTGAAACCTTGGTGCAGTCAAGCCTTCTGAAATTAGGTTCAGCCTTCTAAAATAAGGCTAGTAGAAAGAGTCATGTATCCTTTACACCTAGGGTGGTGGTGGGGCCATATTTTTAAAAATCAGGTAAATGCCTTACTCTTAAAATATTTTTGACTTATTCCTAAGGAAGTGGGGAAAAAATGCTTTACAAATCCTTCATAATCAGCAGGCTGCTTTTTGTGCAAGTTCTTTTCACACCACCACCACAGCTAACATAGCAAAATGCACTAAAATATCCCACAGTGGGTCTCTCCCTCACACCCTGTACGTATTGAATATATTTTCACAGCCATGTTTGATTCTTTGTGCAGGGAGAGAAGCTATGGGAAGCAACTTCATGGGCACAGCTCTCAGTGCTGAAACATGCCAAGACGGGGTTGTGGACATTCAGCACTGGGCAGGGAATAGCGCTGTTACACCCATGTTTTCAGTGCTGCATGTGAGTTTTCAAACCAAATTCTCCCCAACAGACAGGGTAGAAAAGGGGGGTTCTAACACTTAAAGAGGCTTCAAGGTATTGGGTCTCTGTATTTATTAAATCACTTAGGATCCCTTTGAACATGATCTAGCTCCAGATCCATATTTTGGTGTGCGTATCAAATGTGCTAGAGACTGCTAAATCGCACAGCAGTTTTCCCATTTTCCACAAATCTACATGGCATTTGACTATGTTGATATTGCAGGTTGTATTTTCACCCCTTTTCCAAATGCCTTGTAAGATGGAATTCACATTTTTCACAGCTGCTGCAACATGTTCACTGAGTTACCCACTATGACACCAAGATCCCTTTTTTCGGGTTGGTCACCATGAGCTCAAGAACCAGGTGGTCAAGGGATCATGGCTGCAAGCTTCTCCCTGTTGACAGTAGGGGGGGAATGTATGTGCACACCTCCATCTGTCAGTTTTGGGGCTTGCAGGGGAATCAAGTATTCATTTTGATCACACACACATTTTTTTCTGCTATAGGAGTAGGTTTCCATTCACCCCACCTGCCCTATCTGCAAACAGCTCAGGTCAAGAACAGGAAATTGTAAGAAGCGTGTTGAAACTTAAAAATAGAAACCGATACTTTTAGCAGCAATATCCCAATTTATTGAAACAGACTGATTTTTGCAAGTATGTCTAAGTTAATCTCATGACAAAGTAAATGTAATCGGCTTGGCAGACCTCTGGCACTCACCTAGACAGACAGGAAAGTGTGAGATCATCTAGAAAATAAGGTCATAGTTACCTGAACTACAATGACAGAAAATCAGTACAAACACACACTCGTTTCCCAACTGACTTCTGGGTTCTAAAATCTCCCCATATCCCACCCTCAAAATATTAAACATCGGCAATACAAACACAGGTTTATAATAATATATAAAGTCAGTATAATATAGAATATTCCCAGCAAAAAAAATAATCAACAATGTTCAAACACTGCCCTTTTTTGTTTGCTTTAGTTACATTTTAGTAGACAGGTTTAAGCACGCTGAAAAATAAATATATTTATATTTATATATATATGAAAGCACACCCCCACACATACACACACACATGGCATCCCTTCCTATGAAGGAATTCTTTAAAAATAAAAAAGGCAGAAATTCAAACCATACGACAGAGAACCTTAACAAATAAAATAAAAACCCAGTTCAGTATGGCTTAAGAGTTGCACATGTCACAGAATGAACTAAAAGTAGATTATCTTCAATCATATTGCAAAGTTTCCAGTTACTGAACAACTTTATTAGAGCTTCTCTCTTTTTACTTAAAAGGGGGGGGGAGAGATGTGTAACATTGGAAGCATAAGCATGATTGTGAAGAGCCTTATTTGAAGGTAGCCAAGCTTTTTGGCCAGATATGCCAAATTCAGAGGGAATCAAAACATACCAATTTTGGGTACAAGTCAGGGGTATCTCTCCTGTGCTTACCTCATTAAGAAGGATGGGAGTCACACTCCTGAATAACTCCCATTTAATTCAGACACATGTAGGCAGGAGAGCTTCCGGGTATAAACCCAAAAATAAATAAAAATTCATGTTACCCAGCCTGCAGAAATTACACTGCCCATTGAGCCGTACGATCGATGGCCTGAGATGAGAAGAGCCCAATCAACCTTTTTGTTCCCCCTGCTGTAGGGAGATGTTCTCCTGCAGAAGCCCCTTTGAAATGCAGGGCAGCATTCTACAATACACATTCCATTTCTTCTTTTTTGGTAACACAAAACGCCAATTTTAAAATGAGCAGAGCACTGCATGCATGTTTTGTTTCATAGCTCAGGTTCTATAAATGCTAGAAACTTGCTCTTCTTAAAACATGAAACTTGGAATCTCAGGATTATGGTTCGTCAGGGATGGGGAGAAGAATGCTACTCCCTGCTCCTGGTGGATGCATATACTTTGCTTGCAAAAGTCCTGAGTTCAATTCCTGGTAATGCTAGTTAAACAGAGCCAAAGGGAAGACTGCTGGCTGTGGTCTTGGAGGGCTGCTGCCAGTTAGAGGAACAATGCTGGACTCAGTGGACCAACACACCGACCAGCTCAACATCATGATCACAGCAGCATGAATCAATTAAAAAAGGTACAAGCAAAATAATAACAGGAAGATGAAATGATTAGGAGCTCAATATGGTTAAAACTATATATATATATATATATATATATATATATATATATATATATATATATATTGCAACACTGCTCAGATTGTTAATTGCAACGTGCTTCCCACAGAATTTTAAATGCTTATGAAATGCTTAAAATCAATGAAATTGATTTCTAGTACTAGGGTGCAAGATCTTTATAGCTGCTTTACAGCTTCCAAGTCACAAACCTACCAAATTCTAATGTGGGGGAAAGACCGTAGAAAAGTAACCAGCTCATCACCTCATCTGAGCCACATCCTCTACAGCAGTCATAGGCAAACTCCAGCCCTCCAGATGTTTGGAACTACAATTCCCACCATCCCTTGCAAACAGGACCAGTGGTCAGGGATGATGGGAATTGTAGTCCCAAAACATCTGGAGGGTCGGAGTTTGGCCATGCCTGCTATAGGCAGTCTAAGAGACACCACCAAACCTATCAATCATCTCCAATCAGCTGATACTTTGCAGCCTTGCCAGCATCTTCTTCAGTTTACAGTGGTTGCTAGACCCCAAATGGGCTTGCTGTATTTTCTTGGCAGAACAAAGCACTGATCTAATCCATAGAATCGTAGAATTGGAAGGGATTCTTAGGGTCATCTAGTCCAACCCTCTGAAATGCAGGGATCTCAACGAAAGCATCCCCGATGGATTGCCTCCAGGGAAGGAGAGTCCACCACCTTCTGCAGGAGTCTGTTACGCTATCAAACAGCTCTTTCCCTCAGAAAGGTCTTCTTGATGTTTAATCACGCCTACCCAGCATGAAAGCAGCCCAGCATGACCTTGATCCTGTTCTAGCAGCCTACAGGTGAGTGCAGAAACGGGCTTTGTTTAAAGACAAGCACACAGCAGACACCCATTTGAGTAATCAAAATTAAGTGCCTACCTGCAGGGTTGGAGACAATGTCCACTTCCAGATAAAACTACTTGACTAGTAAAGCGACAGAAGAGGGCACAGACCATCAGGAACAGATCCTGAGCAAAACCCAGTGAAGAGAACCAAACTCGTACGAGAACCCAAAACAGCTCAAGCTTCTTTAAAAATCGTGTTTAAAAGAAGTTCCCAAGATCTTTGCAGTTTTTCTGAGATCTCGACACACACATACAGTGTACATCTGCAATGTTGTCACTGAGAAAGCTGAAACATTCACATTTCATGCGTCTTGTTGCTTCCACTTAGTCAAAATAGCACAGAAATGACACTAATAAAATGTATAAAAAACAAGTGGCTCCTAACTCCCTAGTGTTTTAGAGAATCATCTAGGTATAGATGCACCATCACTGTGGAAGGACGTGTGGATCCAGAATTGGCCTCCACAGTCACTTATGGACTCATTGTTAAAACCGTGTTTATGGAAGACAATCTTACTCAGCTACGAGTGATCGCCAAAGAAGAAGATGATGCATGTATGAAGGTCCTTTGTCCCTATTCTATCACACCACACCACATATGAACCAATGAAGACAGCAACATGGAATTGGCAGTCTACATAATAACCAAAGTTCCCAAGGTAGAGTGGAGAGAAGGAGGGGCCAGGAAGGTTCAAGAGAAAGTGAAAATTACTTCCCACCACCTCACTTTCATGGAAGGTTTCCAGCACTTTGGGTTTAAGTACTAACAAGCCAAACTGAGTACACAGGGAACCACTTTGCAGCAAGGGTTGGTTTGTGTGTGAAATCCAACTGTCAAGTCAAGGTGGGAGGAAAATGGAATGTCTTCAGTTCAGGCGTGTGCCCCCCAAACAAAAAAGCTTTATTCATGCCAAACACTAGGACTCCTCAATTCCTGATGTCCTTGGTTCCATACAAGATGATGGCAATGAAAAGGGAGTCAAGAGAAACTCAAATCTCCAGCATTTTCTAGAACTGCTATTAATCCATTGGGCTTCTGTCATTTGGACAGCCAAGGTCTCCATTGTGCATAGCTTGTTTTCTGCAGCATTTAGAAAGGTGTTTATGAAAGTCCAGTATTAAAACATTTGTCTTCCAGTTGAAATAGAATGAGGCTTTACAACAAGCTCAAATGCAAGAAGAGTCTTGGATTCTAGCCCCCGCCCTGCAACCTCCCTTGAGAATATTAAGGTATTTGGTTATTGGCCATGTTTTCCTGGCTAAGTAAAAACAATTCTGTACCCTTGTCTAGCAGCAGAGCATTCCACATTGACATAATAAAACTTTTCTTTGAGCTAGTTAAGCACTAAGAACACGGAGTAACTTCAGCAAGACAGCCTAAAACACACCAGTGAATGTGGTGTTGCGAAATGGTGGGGAGTGACAACGGATGGAGAAGAAGAAAAGAAGTGCATAGAAAAATAAAATGAGTGAATTCCCCTCTCAGTTCTCTTTATTAGCCTGAGATTTATCCAAGGAAAGGAAGCTGAAACATTAACACAGTGATATGACCCATTAATAAAGCACTGAAACAAGTGTCAATGAAATGGTGTGGTTTACACCAGCAAAGCTCTTTAAAGGAAGCTGTACATTAGTGCAAGACCAGATGGAAATTCTTGCATTAAACACTTCAGTGAAGGGTAAGTATCTTCAGTGAAAGGCATTTTAACATCGAAAGGTTGTCACCATTGGGGTTTGTCTTCTTTGGATTCAGAAAAGCTGGCTTTGATGTTCTTCCAGAGGAGAAACATGCATGGTGGTGGCTGTTTTTTGTTTGCATGGTGGCAGGGTTTTGTTTTGGGATTATTATTTTTTGCAAGCTCTGTCCTCAGGCTGTGTACAGATGATAGCCCTGAAGAATTTGAAGCCATACTGTACAGGCTTAGCAATTGCTGTCCAGCTATTTATTTATTTTTTGTTAATCTTTTTTAAAAAAGTTTTCTATGAATATGCTTGCAGATTTCTGTAGTACTTCAAGCAGTGTATGTTTGAAGGTCAAAACGAGCATTAAGCAGCGTGATTGACAACTGCTGCCATAAGGCGTGTGACCTTCCTTAGCACCTAGTGCGATAGTGCCCATGACAAGGAACACTAGTGATCATCTGTGGAACAGTTCTGAAATCAATTGCAATGTGTGTGTTTTTTAATATATGTACATTAAATAATATGCTTATACACTCTCTTTATAAGAAAAAGGAAAAATAAAAAATAGGAAGTGGAATCTCCCTGTCTTTCACAGCAATGGCCTGCTATTCAAGGTTTCATTTGGGAGTTAACTGATGAAAACCAGGTGCTTTTTCATTCTGATCTAGTCGGTTCCATGCCCTTCATTGTCTTATATGGAGAAGTAGCTGCAATTGGAAGTAAATGCTAGGCATTAGTAAGATTTTGCCCCTCCAGTGAACTCCAGTGCAGAGAAGACACTTCCATTGCTCTTTACACAATCTCAGAAGCCTGTTGTCCTTGCTGCACAAAAAAATAACAATAATAGCACCTTTAATATTCAATTTCCTTGCTCTGAAGGCTGCTTCCTGCGGCAGGTTTCAAGCACAATCACATTATTCTGCATAAAAATCTGTTCCAAAGATAAAATGTACAGGCCAGTTTACTATTTAAAGGCTGCACCAGAAAAGCAGCAGTAGCCAACCATGAAACATACAACTCGCCAGTTCTTAGGATCATGAGCCTAGACACTTCTCGGTGGGTGCTGCAGGGTACAAGCCTGCGGCCACAACTGGTAGACAAGATGTGGAAGATCTGCTTGGATGCTTAAATACATAGTCCGCTTTTCCAGATTCAGGGACACAGATGCACCCATGACAAACGGTCTGGCACTACACTTGAAGCACAGAAGCAGTAGCCAAAGAAGGAAGAACTCAGGTCATTTGGGGAGTTTGTGCCATTCTCTTGGGGCTGCCAAAGAAATCTGAAATCTGCCCTTTTCAATGCTCACCTTTCATATTTCTTGTGCAGTTCCTCTCAATTTCAAATGAGGAGGACACAGGGTAACTTCTGGGTGCACCTCCTATTTCCCACTCTGCTGTCCTTACTGGCACCCAGAGTTCTGCCACTGGTGACCTTTCCACCTGGCAGAGCAATCCCTGATTCTTCTGAGGGAACTATGACACCAACGTGTGGGATAGCAGGGATTGGTACACTTGCCACGAAAAATTAATGCGTCCAAACCTGACAAAAAATACCCCACATGGGTATGTCCTAACAGAGCTCGGCAGAACTTGGCAAAGGAGGTGGTACACTGAATATTGCCATATGTCACTGAACAAGAGAGGAAGACAGCCACACCAGAAGAAAAGTGCATTTACAAGACTTGGCCACTAGGGGACACTTTTGCAGCAAATATTCCTGCACAAATCAAACCTCAAAGAAGGGTATCTTTATATTACAAATGCCAATGGGCAACTGAATCCTTTGCTCAATTGACCTGAGGGCAAGTGTCCCAGTTCTAGTGAAGACTATAGACCTAAAAGGCTATTGATCTCTCTGGCTTACTGAAAGAGTTGCATTATTAAAGGGAAAAGTCCTGAAATGCTCACACTGCTCTGTTTACCATGGGGAAGGTAAAAAAAGGTAAAGGACCCCTGGACGGTTAAGTCCAGTCAAAGGCGTATGGGATTGCGGCGCTCATCTCACTTTCAGGCCAAGGGAGCCGCCGTTTGTCCGCAGACAGCTTTCCGGGTCATGTGGCCAACATGACTAAACCGCTTCCGGCGCAGTGGAACGACGTGACGGAAACCAGAGAGCACGGAAATGCCGTTTACCTTCCTGCCGCGGCGGTACCTATTTATCTACTTGCACCAGCATGCTTTCCAACTGCTAGGTTGGCAGGAGCTGGGACAGAGCAACGGGAGCTCACCCCGTTGCGGGAATTCGAACCACAGACCTTCCAATCCAAGCATCTCCAACCTTTGGCCCTCCAGATGTTTTGGACTACAGTTCCCATCATCCCTGACCACTGGTCCTGTTAGCTAGGGATCCTGGGAGTTGTAGGCCAAAACATCTGGAGGGCCGCAGGTTGGGGATGCCTGTTCCAATCGGCAAGCCCAAGAGGCTTAGGGGTTTAGATCACCCGCGTCCCGGACTTTACCATGGGTAAGCTTGTCATGAATCCCTGGCTGCTGGAAGCAGAGTTGTTTCAAAATGTTTTGGTAATTATTGTTTGAGAAGTAAGAGTCCTCCATATTTCAAGCTGACAGTAGAGGAAAATTTGAGGGTGGAAGCGCCATGGGGCCTGCATACAATCTGGTTGGCTCTCACTGAAAGACAAGGACATGATTCTACGCATTTCAGGACCATGTGAAGGGCAACAGGCAAGAAAGTGGAAACGTTTCAGGGGAAATGTTTGCTGATACAGTATCTGGAGGGAACAAATAAAGAGCTTGTTTGCTTGGAAAAAAAAATGCTCCACACACAAGACATTTTTGTATACAAGGACAGTTAGCAAGGCTACTTGAGCTTTCCCAACACAACCTTCCTCTTCCCTGCCCCATCCCAAACAGATTGAGCAGAACAAAAATCCCTAAGAAATCCAAGTGAAATCCTTGTCGGTATCCTCAGAGTTTTCATTCTCCTGTGGAGAGTCAATGTCATCTTTGTCATCTTCCAAAATCACGTCGTCTTGTGAAATTTCTATGTCATCTTTCCATTTTATGTCATCGTCACCCCCTATGTCTTCATCTCCTTCTGCTTTGAGGTCGTCAGGATCTTCCATATATGGGCCTTCTTCTGTGCTGTACAATTCGTCAGGGGAGCCATCTCCTCCGCTGGCATCCAAGTGGCTGGCCATGCCTTGGCCAGAACAATCTGTGCAAATGCCATGGCGGCGGGAACCGTGCTTAATCCCCACGCTGGCTGCAGACATAAACACTCGGTTGCACACCTTGCAGACGTATTTTTTGTCTTTGCTGTGGACCTTGATAAGGGGAGCAAGGAGGAAAGACAAAGTTAAGGCAGGTGGGTCTGCAAGTAAGAGACTTTATGGTGCAATGGCAGCTAGGTCACATTGCAACAACTAGTGAAGTTTTTTGTTTTTCTTTTCAAAGCAGCTGTCTCGAATTTCTTCATTTTGTTCTAACATGATTTCGTCTGCCAGCAATCAGGAATAGATGCAGGAAACCTTGAAAGCATAAAAGCAGAACACGCCACTGTGTTGCCTCTAAACAAGGCTATGAATTTCAGAAGCTATATTTTAGGTACCCTTGCACAGATTAGGATGGCCAGGCAATGCTCATTTTAACACTGGAAGGTTCATAACAAAAATTCAAAATGGACAGTCTCCCGTCTGTGCGCCCCTTTATTGTCATCACTCACACTCATACTGCCAAAAGTGACTAAAAAGTAGAGGTTTGATTTTATAATTTTGAAGAAGTACCATATCAATGTTTGTTCTGAGCTAGGATTTAGTGTCTAGGGTTAAACTAGGTGAGATTTTTTTCTTTTTTTATTATTGTGATGTGATGTTTTGTATTTCTTTAATATGCTGTTTAATTTTTTCTTTTTGTAACCCTTTAAAATTCAATGAATATTATTTAAAAAAATAAATAAATAAACTAGGGGAGATTATTTTAATTGTATTTTGTTTTCAAATGTAATGGTTATTATTTGCCCTGAGCCTCAAAAGGCAAGGCAACCTACAAATTAAATAAAATAACATTTGAAACGACACAAATAAAACAGTGCAAGAAGTCCACATTTGTTCCTTGTGCAGGGTCCCTCCCCTCCCCCTGTACCATGTAACAACAAACTACAGGCCTTAAAAGAATAGGCCAGAGAGAGAGAGAGAGAGAGAGAGAGAAAGAAAGAAAGAAAGAAAGAAAGAAAGAGTAGCTGGATGAAGCTCTGGGGCTACTGAGTGGCATATGACTAACTCCAGCCCAAGGATGCAAATCAAGGGGCATCTCAGGGAGCAACCAGTCTCACGACCAGATGGCTGGGCACTCATCCGAATGGACAAGCATTCACGGAAGGAAGGAGAAGGCAGTGGGGTTTTGGGTACTATGGCAACAGATAACAGGAGCCCCTTCAATATTGCTGCTTCAGCAGTGCAGGCTAGCTGCCCATCTTGTCTATAAATGCTGCCATTTGGCAAACTAAGATGCAGCATTCGTACCTGCCTTAGGCAGGCAGAGGTGTATCAGCTGACTATATAACAAACTTTCCCTTCAAAGGGGAAAAGAAAGTCCTATCAGGAGGCAGCTGGGAGAAAGACAGGTTGTCTGCAGAAAGTACGGCCTGATGTACATTTTGGACACTACAGAGAAGTTCCCTTCACAACTAAAAGCTTAGTTACTCAAGTACATGGCTTCTATCCTTCAATCCTCCTACCAAAAGGTGTAAAAAATGTTTAAAGACCAGCTCTATCAAAGAGACAGTTCGGTCTGTATTTCTGATAACAAGAGAATCCAAATTTCACTTGGACTTCAGACAACAAATTATGGAACCACCAACTTGACCAGAGCCCATATTAGCCAATGCCTTTCTAGAAAGTGGGGAAATCTGCTGAATCTTAAGGTGGCATTAGTGCAGCTGAGGATAACAGTACAATATATTGCACCCAAATAATACAAGTGGGTGTGTGAGTGTGTTAACTGCAAGTGCTAACACAGGAGATGTGCGGTTCAGCTGTGGGAGGGGCAGGAGCACACATCATTGAAATACCTTAAGAGCAAAAATAAGGTCCACACAGAAATATATGAAGTCGCCTTCTTGTTTTTTAGGATATGTGGATGCTCTGGAGCATGCAGCCTCTTAAAAAGCATTTTGATTGCCAGCTGATCGATATGTAGCTTGACAATGACGTTTCTTTACATCCTTACAGACTTTTAACAAACATCACTGTCATCTGTCATGACAATTTCTTGGGCCCAACAGCCCATAAGAAACAGCAGGACAGCATATATATATGCCTCCCTTCAAGACACCTCATAGTGAGAAAATCCATCATGCATTTGGCTCAAGGGTTAACAAGCATAGCAGCAATGTAACGAGAAAGATCTGGCTTACATTTCTATGATTGGTATCAAACTCTTTCATATGGACAGTGTCCAAACACAGAATTGTTGTAAGAGACCCAGTGTCAACTGACCCATCCCATCTCCCTGAATTAAAACATGTCTTCTTCCTTAGAACCATATGGGCTCCCCAAGCAGCTGATTCCTTCTTTCCATGCAATGTCCACAAAATGGGAGGAACAAAGCCTTGAAAGTTCACTTTCACTTTCTCTTCCTTTCACAGACAGAGAAAGGAACATGTGCACATAAAACATCACCTTTCATGTTCTCAGTCGCAAACCACTCCTGCGTTTTCCAGCTGCCCCCTGCCCTTCGGAGCAACTCCAAAGGCGCCAAACTTACCAAGGTATGCCGTTTCATGTGCTCCCGGCGGGTGAATTTCTTCCCACAAATTTCACAAGGATAGGGTCGTTCTCCAGTGTGGGATCGCATATGCCTCTTCAGGATGCACTGGTGCATGGCTGAGAAACTGCAGTAGGGGCATTTGAACTTCTTTCTGATCACCGTGAATTCGTTTACTGGAAGAGAAACACAACACAGTGCAGGTTACAACTCTAGCACAGTCCTGTTCTTCAGCAGACACACAACTAACTGCTTATCCAACAGACCAATAGAAAAACTCTGTTATAATGGGAATCAAGGACACCAAGGGCAAAGCTTCAGAAACTACTTTTGTAGCAGGGCTTTTAGTATTCTTGCTGTAACCTTATAGACTTACACACCATTCCCATATTTACAGGCCCATTCCCATATTTATCTAGAATTCCATTTATTTATTGATTTATAAGATTTCTTACCTACCCTTCACCATAATGTCCCATGGTTGGTTACAACAATAAAATATACAATTATAAACACAGATACAACTATCACAATGATGAATCACAGAAAAACTGCTTCACATGGAACAGAACGATGTGACAGAGCAGGAAGTATGCACTGGTCATCTTAATTGTTGTTCCTTTTGTTGTTGTATACCACTGAAGTGTTCTTATAGAGACGTAACCCTTTATAAATAGACTAAGTTAAGGTTCATTGTCTTTCCTCATGGAAAGTTGGCCAACTCTTATAAAGACAAGCTGTGCTCTTCTGTTTAATGGGTGTGTATTTCATGGGTACAGGAAGGCTCTCACAAATATGGTACTCACAGAATCATAGAAAGGAAGAGTTGGAAGGGATCCCAAGGGTGATCTAGTCCAACCCCCTGCAATACAGTAATCCTGCCCACAACCATCCTTGGGCAGCGTTAGAAACTGAGATATGAAAGCTAGGAGCTAAATGGCACCTTAAACCTAGGTTATGGGCACAACAATGGAATGTCTAGGTGCGCTTTTTTATAACAAAAGTACAAAGCTGAAAATCAATGAACTGCAGCTAAAATATTATGTTCATTTTTCACATGGTATAGTCCTTCCCCAGCCCATTCCCATAATATTCTTATGAGGGTCTCTTTTCTAGTCTTCAGAGAGTAGCTGGAAGTAGGGAGGCAGAAAAAGGTCCTCCTTTCTTTCTACTCTGCAGTTTTAATCTGAAATCTTAGGCCCAGTACAGTGCCCAGAGGTCAGAAACTGCTTGCACTAATGAAATTCTCGGTCGCAAAATGCGTCTCTGGATGGGCTCCAACCACCAACCTTCTGGTTAACAGCCAGATGCACTGACCCACTACGCCACAGAGATTCATCTCAATCAATCTGCACAGTTTCATAACACAATATATTGGGAACCCCAATAAGCTTCCAAGATTTACCAGGGAGAAGACTGTTGGCTTGAAATGATTTACACTAATTCAAAGAGAGAATATACCGTTTTAAAAAATATGAATAAATGCCAGTGGAAGCAGATGAATTTCCCGGGGGGGGGGGGACCACCCGAATCAATCTTTACCTACACAACTAATAATCCCCTGTAACATACAACCATGGAAAAATACTGGGTATTCTAGCCTAGGGTTGCACTCTCAGTGCATGCTAGGCTATAGTGAAGCCCAGAAGGCCTGGCCAGTTCCAAGAATGAAGTAAGCATATACCCAATAATATTTTGCTGTGGTGTGTACTAACACCCGATAGTGGGAATTAGCAAAAATTTCTCAACAGCAGGGGAATTAGCAAAAAAATCTCAACAGCAGATGCTTCCTATTAGGACAGGATAGTCTCAAGGTCTGAAATTCTGTACAAGCAAATGTATTGATTTAAGCTGCAACACCTTTGTACTGGTTAGAAAGACCCATACAGCTATCACCGTGTCAGTGCAGAAACAAGAAGTAGCTTCATCAGAAAGGTTTTTCTGGTGGGACTGTAAAATACCATATTTTTCGCCCTATAGGACGCACCGGCCCATAGGACGCACCTAGTTTGGGGGGGGGGATAAAGAAAAATTTATTTATTCCCCCCCCCCAGCCATGGCTTCAGCGCGCCCTGCGCTCCAGGCAGCAGGCTGCGAAAGCTGCGCGAAGCCCGAAGCTTGGGGCGTGCTGAGCTCAGCGTGCCCCAAGCTTCTGGGTGCAGGCAAGCTCTCCGCTAGCCGTGGGAGAGCTGCGCGACTTCGCGCAGCCCTTCCACGGCTTGCAGAGAGCTGCGCTAAGCCCGAAGCCTAGGGGGGCGCTGAGCTCAGCACGCCCCAAGCTTCGGGCTTCGCGCAGCTTCCGCATAGCTTGCGGATAGCTTCCTGAAGCCTGGAGAGCGAGAGGGGTCGGCGACCCCTCTCGCTCTCCAGGCTTCAGCGAAAGCCTGCATTCGCCCCATGGGACGCACACACATTTCCCCTTCATTTTTGGAGGGGAAAAAGTGCGTCCTATAGGGCGAAAAATACGGTACTTTGCTGTAGCTGCAAATTGTCAATATTGTTTCACCAAGGTCTGATGAAACACCAAGAAAAAGAAGTAAATGTTTGCTAAAGCACATCCTCTGTTACTTGTCCTATGTGCAGGTGCCTGGTAGTTCAGGCAGAGCTCGCCTTAGCAACAATGACCTGATGCTTGGAATCAGGCCAAAAATAACTTGCTGTGAGCCAGTGAACCGTAAATGCAACACACCGACGACTGCATGCGGGACCTCATTTTATAATCCTGGACTAGTCCCAAAGTGAAATGGCGCTTGTGGGGTAACATCGCTATTAACCTTTCAAATGCAGAATCGCGCGTTGACCAAAAAACAAGAAAAGAGTTGCACACTTATCTAATAGCAGCCACCTATAAATCATCTTCACTGCCACAAACGGAGAGAGTGTACCAGCAACAGCAAACAGCATCTTGTGTTAAATTATTTTTCTATATACGATATAGCTCACAATCCCAATTAAATATTGGGATTTTAGTACTCCCCTTTGTGACTTTTTGAATATTTTGGATGAAAAATTCACATAATTTTTTGGACTATCAGTAGTGCTTCTCCTTGTTGTCCTGCTTTTAGAAGAGATGAGCACTCAGATAGACTCTAGGGAAACTGCAGTAACGAGAGCCCCGGGGTCTAATTTGCCAACAGACTCTACAGAGCAGCTGGGTAAATGCTTCCCCCTCCAAATAAGGTTGGAAGTGAAATATGCACTAACTAAACAGGTGAAAACAGCAGCTTGGATCTTATTTATTGAAAGGTAATCATCTATTTAAATTAACAACTTCCAGAGGGATAGCCATGTAAGTCTGCAACAGCAAAAACAACAAAGTCCTTAAATACTAAAAATTTTATTATGGCATAATGCCATAATAAATTTATTAGTCTTTAAGATTTCAGAATATTCTTTTTATCTAAATATTCACTCTCTTCTGTACTGCTTTATCTTAAAATATCACATATTAAATCATGATGGTAAACCTTGATTAAACCCAGATGGCCTTCTCCATAATAGCACCCCTGCAGGGGAACATGCTCCCCTCTAGAGGTTTAGTTGGAACCAATATTATCCAGCTTTAGGCACCAGCTGAAGACTTGTCTTTTCATCAGGCTTTTTAAGGTAGTGGGACGCTTAAATGCAGGAAAGTGAAAGGCTGATTTTATTCTATTATTTGTGTTACTTATGATTTTGTTCTTAACATTTATTACTTTATGAAATTATTGTTTTAACCTGGAGTCACAGGACAAAGAGCAGAGTGTAAGTTTTTTTTTACAAATAAAAATGATAAATTTTACGAAACCAAAGATTTGGGTCCTAATGGTCAAGTTTGGGAGTCTGCAGGAAAAATCAAGGTGGCAAACAAAATAATAATTATAATTATTTATTATTTATACCCCGCCCATCTGGCTGAGTTTCCCCAGCCACTCTGGGTGGCTCCCAATCGAGTGTTAAAAACAATATAGCATTAAATATTAAAAACTTCCCTAAACAGGGCTGCCTTCAGATGTCTTTTAAAAATAAGATAGCTGCTTATTTCCTGGACATCTGATGGGACATCTGATGGGCAGGTAGGGTCTCAGCCTGTGTACCCGATGGAGCTGGTAGACAGCCGCCCTGGACACAGAATTAACCTGCGCCTCCATGGACAGCTGTGCGTCCAAAATGACTCCCAGGCTGCGCACCTGGTCCTTCAGGGGCACAGTTACCCCATTCAGGACCAGGGAGTCCCCCACACCCGCCCGTCCCCTGTCCCCCCAAAACAGTACTTCTGTCTTGTCAGGATTCAACCCCAAACTGTTAGCCGCCATCCATCCTCCAACCGCCTCCAGGCACTCATACAGGACATTCACCACCTTCACTGGTTCTGATTTAAAAGAGAGGTAGAGCTGGGTGTCATCTGCATACTGATGAACACCCAGCCAAAAACCCCTGATTATCTCTCCCAGCGGCTTCATATAGATATTAAAAAGCATGGGGGAGAGGACAGAACCCTGAGACACCCCCACAAGTGAGAGCCCAGGGGTCTGAACACTCATCCCCCAACACCACTTTCTGGACACAGCCCATAGGATGATTACACTACAGATAATGGGAGGAAAAATGCATTTTACACAGAAGAAACTAACAATATTGTGATCAATACGCAGACTGTATGCATTCTGATGATATCTCCTTTTATAAAAAGCAATCCCAATTAAAGACTTGTACAAAGAATGTAAATTTGCACATACAATTGCAAATAGTCCACCTTACAAGAGGTGGGAGTTTCTTGGCAAAAGAAGGGAGGCAAGAGAGAACGAAGATAAAGTTATGGAGACTAAGGGATGAACAGTTACAACAGGGAAACAGAACAGTCACCATGGGAGAGTCTCAGGGCTGCTACACACAATACACACTGAATGTCATACAGAGACCATCTTCAATTGGAACACCTTCATGATTGGCACATATACCTACTTCAAATACTGTACTAATGTTCATGTTTTCTTATCTTATGCTCCCAATGGTTTCATTCTATTCAAATAATATTTGAACAGAGGTGCCATGTGTCAGGAAGGTGATGTAGTTACTGTTCATGCCAACTCTGTAGGCTACAAGGAAGTTCATTAATTAGCATCAAACATGGACCTGAGAGATGTGAGTTCACAGGAGCAACACATTTAATGTCAAATTTCCCCCTAAACCGACCATTTGCTAATTCTCAAATTAAGTGAGTCACCACAAGCTTCAGATGGAAGCTTCAAGTGAAACTAAACTAGGTAGTCATGATTAAAAGAGAGAGAGAGCAGAACTGATGCTTTTAGCACACTGGCTGTTAAATCTCAAGTAAATTGAATAAAATAATACTGAATAATCATACACTTCCTTTTAGAGGTAGACGCTTGGTTTTTCTTAATTTATATACACTTGGGAACCACTATATTGCAGCCCAGTTGAGTAAATCAGTTTCTGCAACAATAGCCCATTCACACAACAGAGGGAGAATAAAGTTAAGATTGTATTCTTTAATCAAGCAGTACTGCAAGCACAATTTGAAATAGATGTACAATATTATCACACCTAAACGCCCGTTATCAGTCAAAATAAATACTTCAAGGATTTATAATTCTATACCAAAGTTTAAGAGTTAATCTAATTGTGCATTCTAATTCTTAGCCTGCTCTTATTTAATGTTTAAGAGATTCATCTTGCTTTGACTACACCCAATACAACCTGTCTTCTTAATATCCAAACACCATTGAAATAATTCACTCTTATAAGGTAGTGATCAGCAAACGGGATCAAGTTATAGTGATAGCCCCTTTCCAGTTGCCCCTCTTCACTAGCAGTGGACTAGACAAAATAAATGGCTTGTATTAGATAGGTTCATAATAAACCAGTTACTAAAAAGTCTAGACAAAATGAGCAAACTATAAGCCGTTCAAGTAAAGGTCACCAAGTGTTAACTACAGCCTGCACTTCAACTTCACTATTTTAAAAACTATTCAGACACAGACACAGAACAAGCAACTTTACAAAGAAAGTAACAGCCATGTAATTGGTTAATTTCTCAAAGCTTCATTAAGACAACCGAGAGCAGAAGGTAGTATAACAGAGCCACGGCTGCTAAGACTGTGGATATCTCATCCAATTATAATCTCTATTCATAGGATTTTCAGGTTTTTGTAGTTTTTCAAAAAACCCGAGAGTGAGTGAGTGAACGCACCATGTGCAAGGGAACCATTCCAATGGCTACTGAAAGCATACCATCTTCAACAACTCTCAAAGCTACTGCTTATATATTTTATTTATTAAATTTGTATACCATCCTTCATTCAAAGATCTCAGGGTGGTTCACAGCATAAAAATACAAAATACAAAATACTTAATAAAAACAAGAACAAAACAATAACCACCTTGCTTCCACAACACATTTAAAAGGACACATAATGTTAATCAGGGAAAAGGCCTGGTTGAAGAGGAACATTTTTGCCTGGCGCCTAAAGATGTACAGTGAAGGCACTAGGTGAGCCTCCCTGGGGAGGGCATTCCACTGCAGAAAAGGCCCGTTCTCGTGTTGCCACCCTCCGGATTTCTCATGGAGGAGGCACACGACAAAGGGCCTCAGATGGTGATCTCAGGGTCTGGGTCGATTCATATGGGTAGAGGCGGTCCTTGAGGTACTGAGGTCCTGAGATGTTGAAGGCTTTATAGGTCAAATTCAGCACTTTGAATTGGGCCTGGAAACTAATTGGCAGCCAGTGCAGTTGGGCCAGGATCAGTATAATATGCTCAAACTGTCTTGCTCCACTGAGCAACCTGGCCGCTGAATTCTGCAACAGCTGAAGTTTCTGAACCTTCTTCAGAGGCAGCCCTACGCATAACGCATTGCAGTAATCTAACCTAGAGATCACCGGTGTATAGATGACAGAAGGTAGGCTATCCCTGTCCAGATAGGGGTGCACCTGGGCCGCCAGCTGAGCTGATGGAAAGCACTCCATGCCGAGGCCACCTGAGCCTCAAGCAACAGCAAAAGATCCAGGAGCACCCCCAAGCTATATAACCACTCTTTCAGAGGGAGTGTTAGCCCATTAAGAGCAAGCAAGCTCCCACCCATCTGGTCTAGGGAACCACCCACTAGCAGTGCCTAGTCTTATATGAACTGAGCTTCAGTTTGTTGGCTCTCATCCAGTTCATTACTGAAGCAAGACAACGGTCCAACACATCCACTGCCTCACCTGCAGATGTAAAGGAGAAGTAGAGCTGTGTGTTATCAGCATATTGCTGACGACAGTTTAACTGTAGATGTTAAACACCCAAGGGGATAACATTGAACCCTGAGGAACTCCACACTGAAGGCTCTAGGGACCAAAGACCACTTGCCAAGCATCACCCTCGAAACGATCATCGATGTAGGGCAAAGCAGTGTCACCTACCCCTAACTGGGACAGCTACTCCAGAAGGATAGCATAGTCAGTGGTATCAAAAGCTGTTGAAAGATCAAGGAGAATTAATAGGGACACATTTCTCATTTCTCTTCCGACTGAGGGCAACCAAGGCAGTTTCTGTGCTGAAACTGGGCCAAAATTCTGATTGAAATAGAATCTCTGTGTGTGCACCCTACATTTGTAAAGTCTGGAACAGAACAGCTGGAACTGGGTTTTTTTATAATTCATGTTGGAACTATGAAGATAGTGCTTGCTTTTAATGCTGCTCATAGCCTCCATATACCACAGAAATGAGCTTGGTCAGACAGCTTTCTCCCATGGCTGGTTTAATGTTGCAGAGCAAGTGTAGGGAACGTGTGGATCTTTATATTTTGCAGGATTACAACTCCCATCATCCTTAACCACTGGCCTTGTGGGCTGAGGCTGATAGGAGTTGAAGGCCAACAGCACCTGGAGAGAACCATGCTGGCCATCCATGCTAAGCTAGACGTGGTAAAAATGTATCACAAGTCAGATGCACCAACTATTACCTATTTACTTACTTACTTGCTGTATTTGCATGTCTGTGAGATGGCTCACAGAAAATAGAAATACACAAACATTATATGACATGGGAAGTTAATCTTGCCATTGGGAACGGCTTGCATGCAGTTGCATTTCACATGGGCATTATTAGACATGGTTGTAGTGCAATGCTATACATGTCTGCTCAGAAGTTATAAATGCAATGAGACTTACTGTCAGGTAAGTGTGCATACGACTGCAGCCTTAACTGACTAGTTAAAATCCAAAGCAGAGTTCTCCACAATGCACCACAGCAGAATCCAGGGAAGAAAGTTCAGTTTGCTGTATTAATTTATTTACAAACCTTGTTTAATCTTTTCTATAAAACACAAGATATGCACAACCAAATGAAAAATACAATATAGCAATTTACGTTTTTGAAAGGCAGATGGGACCAGCAAACTAGACTAGAGAATTCTTTACTATGTACTACTGGTATTTTATTGGTCTAGGTGCTTAAAGTTTTATAATTTCTTTGTCAGCAAAAAGAACTTTCCTCCTCAAGCAAACTTTGGCAATGCATTGGTCAAGGAGAGGCAACAGTTAATACATTTTTCAATTAAAATTTTATTTAAAACAATCCCCATTTCAAATATGCACCTTTGTCTAGCTCTGTAAAACAAGAGCACCACTAGAAATTACATTCATTCCACAGCTTATTTCTGAATTTCACAGTAGTGACAATAAACATATCTGGAAGTATTTAATAGTTTAGTAAAGGTGCTATAGTACAGGCATTTACAGCATACTTTTTGTCTAATGAACACAATTAAAATATACAAGCGATTTGCAAGAGAAGCGATCTGTAAACAGCATTGACTGGCTGGGGTCCTTCATGTCACCAAGAAATACCACTTTTATCCCCTGACCAGTTTCGTGCTCTAACAAAAGCTATTTTTAAATTGTTTAAGTTGATGGATGGTCAGATGCATCCAGTGCTTTAGAAAATAAAAATGGGGATCGTCGTGTAAAACAGGAATGAATGGAAGAAGAAGAAAGGTTCCCTGTCGAAGCAGTGTTTGATTTGCTAGTAGGTATGTACTTGTCTTTCTAACTGTCAAAAAATAAATTGGGCTCACTCCTCAGCTGAAGGGGGGTATCAAGAACTCCTCCACCCATTGCACCTTTCTTTTATCCATCGTTACTTTTGAAAGCACTGGATTTGTACAAACGAATAATTCATTTCAATTGGGTTTGCGTTAAGAAAAGATGCTGCTGCACTGCATCCCAATTAGATTATAAGAGTCATTATCAGTGTCACCAAGGACAAAATAATGATAGAGGAACACTCTGTAAATAGCACCATAATAATGAACATTTATTTACAAGTAACGCTGTTAACCTTTAAAAGGTTTCAGAAATCATTCACTTTGCAAATATATTCATTCATTCATTCACTCACACAAAATGCATACTTTTGCATCTTAAAAGTGTTACTGTTATCAAAACATACAGTGTTCTTATAAGTTCAAGTATTGTTTCTGAGGTACTTTTTATGGCTTTACTTTTTTAAAAATAGAAAACCTCTTTGGTAGAATAATTGTAGCACACTAGATTGGAGCTTTATTACAATTTAAAGTACAACCCTAACCACGTATACTCATAAGTAAGCACTATTGGGGCCGATTCTCAGGTAAATGGATTAGGACTGAAGCCCTACTTATTACTCACGCAAGTTTCTTACTACCAGTAATAATAAACTTTTACTTCATTTTGCAACATGACCACTCTCAGAAGGTTAAAATTGCCTCCTTTATCCTCAAGAGGGCCTAACAGCACAGCCCTAATCAATTAAATTTGATTTGCACAATCAGGACCATAGCAGAACTAAATGTTAAGATGTTTTAAAATATACATTTATTATAATGTATAATGGAGCAGGAATGTTCACTATGCTGCTGCCCTTAATGCACACCTGCTTAACTGACTGAGCAAAGCATGGAATAAATTTCATTGGATTTACTGCTGTGAAATAGCACTTTCCCCCTATAATCTCAATGATAACAGTGGAAACACAAGGAAACAATTCCGGGGTGGTGGTATGCTCAAATTACTTGTACTTGTTCAATGACTCCCCTTAGCTAACCTTTCCAATAGAGCAGGCATAGGCAAACTCGGCCCTCCAGATGTTTTGGGACTACAATTCCCATCATCCCTGACCACTGGTCCTGTTAGCTAGGGATCATAGAAGTTGTAGTCCCAAAACGTCTGGAGGGCCGAGTTTGCCTATGCCTGCAATAGAGTAATCCCTACAATCATATACATCATAAAAATTCACCCAATCTTCTAGTATAAAATGAACACACCAATCATCAAACACAAATCAACAAGTCTACTGTATCAATACACTGTCTGCTATACACTGAATATTTTTCATAAACGGGATTATAAATTCAAGCAATGGATTCAGTTTATAACATGACAGTCTTTAAGAGGAAGCAGGATGGCTAGTGATTATTTGGTTCACTATAGATAGGCAGAGTTTTATTATACACGTAAGAACAGGCCTTCAGAATGGTGGGCTCCCCGTTTACAGAATTCTCTCCTCAGGGAGGCATGCCTGGCACCATCATTATCTCCCAGGCTTTTAAATCTTAATTTCCTGATTATCTTTTAGTGCGGGAGGGATTGAGTTCAATCTACGCATATATAATACTTGTGTACTTAAGATTGTTTTATTCTGTTTTTATACTTGTTCTTTGGAAGTCACTTGGAGTTCTTTTTTCTGAGAAAAGTGAGTAATAAATAACGAAGACAACAAAACCAAGTAGTGTCAATCTAAATGAAACAGTATCATAATACCCTTCTTAGAATTAATGAAAAACTCAGCTAGCTTCTGAATTCCAGCTTTTTCCTTCAAGCTTAATGCTTAAAAAAAGACTAGTTGGCCGGGGTGTGTGTGTGTGGCTGTTAGGGGGTCATAATTCAGTATGTAGCGTCTGAATGGTCATCAGTCAGGGCACTGTTAAGACAAGATGGTGTTTGCCACTTTCCAAAAGTTTCTATGTTCTGATGCCACCTGAAGTCTTTTATTCTGGGTAAATACTATCCTGAATCTTTAGGCAGCAACCTGCCATTTCTGTATCTTTGTTTTGTTTAGTATTGTTTAACACTGAACCACAGAAAGCCAGCTCACAGATTTATGATTTTTTTGATGGTGGTGGTCATAATACAAATATTACGATACTGCTCCTGTCTGGATTGAGTACATGGAATGGCCACCCAGTCTTTTGAGGACACTAAATCCTAGTAGGAACTACCCATTAGGAACATTTTACACACATCCAAGATGCGCTGCATTCAGTGGGATACACGCAGGAGACTTTCATGGGTAGCTATTTGTTTCAGCCACAACACCTTATACTGTACATTGTCTCCTTACTAGCAAAAAATAAGCATCATGCAAGCAAATAAAAAAGAGCTATTCCTTCAGAGACACAGAGCTTTCCCTTTTTTCCCTCTCAACTCCTGTGTGCTGATCTCTGTCTGCCCTGCTGTGCTTTCTTCTCTCATGACCTACTGTTTGTCAAAGAGCAAAGTAAATTATTCAGCAGTTGCCAGACGGTAAAATGGCAGGCTAGTTGTGCTAATTGGAAGAGAAAAAGTATTTGCTTGCACGCTCATGCCCTGCCAAACACAAATTTTTGCTAGTCAAGAAAGAGGTGGCAAGAGAGTTTAGAAGGGTTTTGTTATTCAAAAGGCAAAAGGTCCAAATACAGTTTTTCCCCCAACTGGCTTTGGATTTTTGCCCCCCACCCCCAGCAAGAAATTGTATTTCTAGTGTCACCCAACATAATCTCTGGACTGGAGAGATTAAAGAAGCTCTAGAAACCAATTTTGAGGAATCAGTAGTAACTTATCTCCTTGGTAGTCAGTTTGCACCTGAAGCTAAGACTAAGGTAGGTGAAACTAGAAGTCACTTCTACCAATCACTGGGGCTTCTATGCACATATCACACACTTTTGCTCAATATTCTGTTCTACAAATGATAGGGGTTTGGTTCTTAACATATCTGTAGGTCTGTTCTCCAAGAGGAGAAACAAAAGAGGAAGACATGGGCTGACAGGCAGCAAGAAAGAAAATGACGACTTTCCCCAAGAGCAGGACTTCCTAACAAGACTAGGGTGTGAAAAGTACTTTTAAAATGATTTTACTAGAGGACATTTTTACAGGACCAACAAAAAATGAAAAGCAAAACCAACACCAACAACAACAGCAGCAGCATAACAAAAAACAACATTAAGGGGGAGAGGCCTCTACAGTTGTTCAAAGCAAAGTCAGTAAGCTAATAATCAAGCAGAGAACAGACAATAATTTTAAGTTGAAAAATTCCAGAATTGTAATTGGAAATAACATAGCCTAAGGAGGACAGGATTCTTATTATCATGAGAAATGAATGCCTGCCTTCCTTTTGAACACTGAACAAAAAATATTGAAGCACCTGAGGAATATTTTTATACAGCCATTAAAGGAGAACTGGTACCAACAATAGACAAAGATGGGAAACTAGTTTAATAAATTCTAAATACCTTTGTCCTGAAGACTAAAAATCTTATATTGTGGAGCAAGTTGTAGTTCTTTTCACAAGGAGAATGGGAATATATAGATAAGTAATGTTCAAAATCATTTTTCCTTTGGGGGCTTCCCTTTTCTACCCACCAGTTATTCACTATTAGTCTTCAGGCCATTTCTGGACACCTCCTCCAAGCTTCTATATAATATTCCTCTCAAGCAACTATTAATGGGAAACATTTCTCCTTGGATCATAACACCCCCTGGCAAGTTTTCAGTTTTAGGTGTGCTCTAGATGGCCCAAGATTTGTGCTTGTTTTCACAAGGTGGTTCAGTACCCAGGTCCATCTTTTAGCTACACCAAAAACAAGTTAGTATTTTCATGGCTGTCTCTCATTTATACTGTCCTGATTTCTAGGATTCAAAAGAAGTGTAGCCTACCCGATTGAAGAAACAACAGATTTTAGAGAAATTGGGTTGTTGTTGTTGTTTTTACATTTTTGAAGTATTTCTATGGGAGCTAACTGTCCAAATCCACTTTCATCTAGCTGTATTACAACACTCATTACAACTGAATACAATTCACAGATGGTGAAGGTATTTGAAAATACTGTGGCCCATTTAGTACAAGTGGGGAACCTCTTTTGGCTAGTGGGCCAGATCACTATCTTCTTGACCCCTGGCAGGCCAAAGATGACACCTATCAATCACCTGACATCACAATTAATTTCAGGGGATGCTGGTCTTTGTTTTTGGTCTCCCCACTTTACTCTTTCTAGCATTCCACCCCTCATATACATCCTCATATATACAGGTGTGAAGCTAGGAGTCAAGAAAAGGGATGCTCCTTTAAGTCCTGCTTCTCTAAATTATGCAAATGAGATAACTGGGTTTTTTTTTAAAAAAAGACATAATGCATTCTTAATCTGCTACAATAAACATGAAATTTGCATATCACAAAACATTTACTCTTGATCACTGCATGACACATCATTTGAATGTGATACCCATTTGCCGATATTTGAATTGTGCAACCAATCCAGCAGGCTTCAGCAGCAGGTGACTTCAATCCTGCTTTTTTAAAAAGGCATTTAAAAGATGCCTTTTAAAAACATAGGAAACTGCCTCACATTGTCACATCTTTGGTTCATCTAGCTCAGTGTTGTCTAAACCGACTAGCAGCAATTCTCCAGGATCTCAGGCAGGGGTTTCATCCAGCCCTACCCAGAGATACTGCAGATTGAGCCAGAGGCCTTCTGCATGCAAGGCAGATGTTCTACCACATCTGTGCTGCCAGAACTTTGCTGGTGGTTGATCCAAGTACATTATAACTCTGTCCTACTAATTCAGTTGCATTTTCGAATATATATTTTAATATTGCTGTAGACTGCATTCAGATAATGTGGGGAGAAGGTAGAGAAATGTTTTTAATAAATAATGTGCTGAGAAAATGAATGGAAAACCTTTTGATCCTTTGAACCTACTGTTAAAATCTAAAAGTGAATATCTACCCAGAAGACACTGCAACTCAGGCAGAACTACCCTGGGACTATGGGATGCTGTCTGTAAGAATAATCTTGTTTCGACTACAAAAATGTTTTCTTTAACATTTTCTCTTAAGATTATTACTACTGAATAACAAAATTATATTTGTTCTTTAAGTCTGAAGCATCTCCTAGATTTATGTCTGTCTGAATCCTAACCATAGAACCTGGGGATAAAGAGGTTTACAACTTTCTTTCATTACCTGGCCATTGATTCAGCATTCACACTGTACTGAGCACTGAGACTGCTGACAAATCAGAATGCACTACCCAGTCAAAGCAGCTAAGAAATACACTTCTAAGAGTTTAATCTCACTCTCTCCATTGCCCAACAGTTTTCTTACTCATCATCAGATTCCTGATTTTGATCAATACGATTCAGAAACTCTTCAGATACTGGCTGTGTAGAACCCAGATAGCAAACTTTCATATGAGTACTGAGGTTTTTCTGGGTACCAAAGCCCTTGCCACAAAAAAGACACATAAACGAACGTTCACTGGAGTGCACAGACATAAGATGCCGGTTTAAGTCTGTCTTGTCTCGGAACAGTTTCAGGCAGCAAGGGCATTGCATCTTCTTCCTGTTGAAGTGGATTGTTTTTTCATGACGATCCATGTTGGATTTTAGTGTGAAGCTAGCAGGACACTTTGGACACTGGAAACGGGCAAATTGCCCTGGAGATATGTGCTCAGAAAGGTTAGCCAGTACTGGCCTAGAGTAGTCCACTACATCAAAAGGGACAATCATGGGGAAAGTGTGTTCCTTAATGTGTTCCTTCAGCTTTTCCACACATTCAAAAAATCTTCTGCAGAAAGCACAGCTCAGCCTCTTGTGGCCAGAAGAATCCAAGAACAAACCCTCGTGGACTAAGTCCACATCTTCAGATTGTGATGCATTTATATCTAAAAAAAAGGAAATGCAAAAAATTAAATTTTAAATTTTATACTTTGAATCATTAATATACAGTCTTCCTTCTTTCCATTTACCTGTTTCAGAACTATCTAACTGCCACAGTGTTAGAAATCCATCATAGGTGACCTGCAAAAGAAAAGTGCAATCATGTTAATGATCACACAGGGAACATCAAGTACTTTAACACCTGTAAATTACTAAAACTCGCTGTAATTTTGCTCCTTCCGCAAATCTTCATTACAAATATTTAGTTACTCAAATCAATGTTTCAGTTCATACCTAAAAGTATGCTCAAAATATATAACCAATATATACCCAAACCGCTAATAAGAACTGTTAAGTATCTGTATATTTGTTCATTTTGTGATCTCAAAAAATCTGTGTTCAGTAGATTCTGTACAGAAATGAGAGCTTCACAGGTATGCCATGTCATCGTCATCATCATTATTTATTAAATTTATTGGTTGCTTTTTCTTGCCAAAGGTAACTCAAAGCAATTTACAAACAAAAACCCACTTAGATGCACAAAAAAGCATTAAGACATTTAAAATACATTTAAAACACCCCACCCACCCTAAGAGGCCAAAGATAGTTACAGTGGTACCTCAGGATGCGAACGGGATCCGTTCCGGAGCATCTCGAAGCGAATGTAACCCATGTCTGCGCGTCTGCGCGTGTCACATTTCGGCGCTTCTGCGCATGCGCGTTACATCATTTTGACGGTCTGCGCATGCGTGCGGGGCGAAACCCAGAAGTAACGCGCTCCGTTACTTCTGGGTCGCCGCGGAGCGCAACCCGAATTTGCCTAACCCGAAGCGTATTCATCCCGAGGTATGACTGTAGAGGCTAAAGACCTGGTTAAAGAGGAAAGTACCGTGGTGCCTCGCAAGACGAAAAGAATCCATTCCGCAAGTCTCTTCGTCTTGCGGGTTTTTTCGTCTTGCGAAGCAAGCCCATTAGCGGTTTAGCGGATTAGCGCTACAGTATTAGTGGCTTAGCGGGCTTAGCGGATCAGCTGATAAGCGGCTTAGCGATCAGCTGTTACGCGGCTTAAAGATCAGCTGATAAGCGGCTTAACGATCAGCTGATAAGCGGCTTAGCCATCAGCTGATAAGCGGTTTAGCGGCTTGGGAAAAAGGGGGGGGAAAGGAAAAAAACCCCGCAGGAACTCGCAAGACATTTTCGTCTTGCGAAGCAAGCACATAGGAAATTCGTTTTGCGAAGCACCTCCAAAACGGAAAACCCTTTCGTCTAGCGGGTTTTCCGTCTTGCGAGGCATTCGTCTTGCGGGGCACCACTGTAACTGCTTGGTGCCTAGAATATAGAATGATATAGAATGATGGTGCCAGGTGAGCATATACTTTTCTATTTTGAAGCACTACCATGAAGGAAAGGCTATGAAGCCAAGAAGTAGGCCATGATATGTTATGAGAGACCTTGTTAAGTGAGACCCAGAAGGGCAATTTGTATACCAACATTAATTGATCCTTAGCACCAAACTGTTAAATTCTGGCATTTCCAAAAAAAAATGTTTAACTATCCCCGACCAAAACTATCTGCTCCAGTTTCCTTTATCCACCCCCACCCTTAACTACATTTTAGTATTGTTTAATTTAAAAGGATTAATTACTGGATATTTTCAAGTTTTGAGTTATTTGCATAATATTACTTGTATGCTACACAGTACTTCCCTATGAGACATAATGGGTGATTTAGTTGAGGTGGGGTGGAGATGTAATTACTACTGAATACTTTCATCAAGTTGTCTGTGATGATGAGTTTTCTTTCATTTTTTTAAAATCAGGGAAACAGTTGTTTAACTAATAATAATAATAATAATAATAATCATAATAATAATAATATATGATATATTTTACAAGACCAGATACATTTACAGGAAGAATAATTATTCCTGCCATGCTTTTTGATATTTAGAATAATTATTGCCCAAGTTTTTAAACAGTAGATAAATGGTCCTTAGGAAGCTCTCAATTCTGTACATGCTTGATTCTGGTTGCTAGGACTCTGAAGTATTTTTTCTAGTCCGGCCTTTATGTTTCCTTTAAAAAGTTCAGGAAAGTATTTCTATAATATAGGGATCTGAAGATCAAAACCATTAAGTGTGTTGCAAGAGTTAGTATTACATATCTCCATAAACATACTGCTGTTTGGAACAGAAGGAACAAATTACTCTGTGCATTTTTTGTATTTTGATAGAATTTCACAAAGCAGAAAAGGTAAAGGAGAGTACCACATTACGGACAATACAAATAGCCTAGGTCTGTTACAAATTTGAATAATTCCAAATTCTAAGATACATTAAGAATAGCAAACTGAGCATGATGACACAATTCAGTTGTAAGTTTTATAACACTTAAAAACTAGCATTACCCCCAGATAACTATAATATTACCTGAGTTGAAGGCATCACTCTTTTCACAGTATCTGGTGATATTTCACCAGAAGAGGGGATGATGTTAGTGGGGCTCTGAGTGGCAAGGTGTGATGAAGGCAGCAGAGGAGGAGTTGATGCTTCCACTTTGCCATCACATTCACCCCTTGAACGATTCAAGTTGGTGCCAGACCCTGAGGAACACAGGAAACGAGTCTCACCCACATGAACTAGCACCAGCTGGTGGTTTTACAAAAGGCAGGGAATGAACAGCTGTAGCTTAATCTTCTGTCAGTGGGAGTGAACGAAGTGCCACAGAGATTCCAGGCCCATTGACTGTTTTAAATAGCCTCCCCACCCAAAAGTGTGGTGGGAATTATATCACACAGCAGCATAATGGTCACTAAAGGAAGTCAAAACAAGAAAAAGAACACAAGGCAGCACAAAAATGAGAACAACTTTCAAAAGATACAATGATCCGTTCTTTGTATGTGACTAATTCATTGCCATTTCTTTAAAACTTCAAAAAAATATTTTCAACATAAAAAGGACAAGGATGTTCTTACTGTCATAACAAGTCATCTCATTAGCAATTATGCAATCAGAAAAGGAATTTATGGAGCTCTGCTGCAGCCAGCAGTGGGAGACCCATGCACACATCAGACTCTAATAATGACTAGCATGTTTAAATTAGTCATAACTAGCATTGTTGCTGTTAGAGAAAGTAATACAAAAACAACACACATCCAGCTTAAACATAGCCCACAAAAATAATGCATTTTGGTACGAAAAGTCTTATTTTTTCTGAGTTAATTCACAGAGTTCTGGGACCACTAATGAAATACAGCCTCAAACATAATCTCACGATCAAATACACAAGGTACAGATACTGTATATTTTTGTGTTGAGGGCACTGTAGTACAGTATGCTGGGGACACAAGACATCACTATTCACACAAAACGTGAAGTATGTGTAGCAATTTATTTTCAAATATTTGCAGAATTTAAGTTAAACATACATGATAGAACACTAATTATTACGAAATACTAGACTTAACAGCCTAATCTCAAGACTTGAAATGGTAGCAATAAGGTGAGTAACACAGAGGAACCTATGTTAGGCACACTCTGAACCTGTGTAAGGCTACCAGACCAGTACTAAGGTATGATTAACTAGTTAATTGAACTTTTTCTTACCAATAATGTATTTAGAAAACTGTGTATGTATCAAAATAAATTGTGTGATGATTAAGCTATCAGATAGCATTATACACACACCACAAAACTATTTAAATTCTGATTATAAATGGTGGTTATAAAGAACTTTTATCCTGAACTGCAAAAGCAAGAAAGAAACACAATCCTATTGAAGGCATAGAATGAAATAGCAGTATCAGAGCAACAGAATATATATGTTTTAAATCTTGTTAAAATTAATGTATAGCAAGAAACATGTTCTATAAAAAGTACTTTTGAAAAATGACCACAACACAAACATTTTTCTTTAGCTTTTGAAGGTTTTTATGCATTGACTGTCACTTGATTTATAAAACCTAAGGTCAAATGTACATGTAACCTGATGCATAAGTTGCTACTATAAATAGCTTGAGATGACATAAAAAATAACATGAGGTACTAAACTTAAGACATATCAAAAAGCTATCATAAATAATAAGAGAGAAAATGTTTAAGAACACATCTGAGCCAAAGGATTAGCAACAGTGTTTCCATACCACATTCATCCAAACACCCAATTTATATACAAGATTATTCATTCCATTGAAAAGCCACTCAGCAGGGATGAAGTAACAAAAGTTTCAAGTCTTACACTCTATTCCTTGGGTTCACAGCAGATTATATATATTATTTCAAAAGGTTTCCAGACATGTAATTTCCACATGTTTTAATCTTGAATAGTGTATTGCAAATGCATTGATTTGAAAGCAATTTGACACATTTCACTTTCAGCCTCATATAAAGAACTTATTTTGGTGCTTTTAATTTATTTGCTTATTTTAATAATGCTTTTTTCATGTCATGTTATCAAATACTGGGCCCACTGCTGACTTCCCATGAAGTCCCAATGATATTTTATTATTATTAAAATGATTGATAAATACCTAAATATCATTACACAGATTCCACTATAAAATAAAACAATGACACCATTAAAGTTTAATATTTTGAAGTCCCTCAAGTGTTTAATTGCCCTAGTTAGTAGAAACCTATTCTAAATACAAGCCTTTTGTTTGCAAAAGCCCCAAAACTGTTGGACCTCCTCCTAGAGGAGGTAAGGAAATCTTATTTTAATGTACATACTGCCTTCCAAACAGAATCTGACTTACAAAAAATACACAATACAGCAAAATTAAATGCAGGAGGTAATGGCAGCATCAGATCAAATTAGTTAGGGATGAAATAGTTTTTAAAGCCTGGGAAATTAAACTGACACCAAAAAAGCGTAGGTGCAAGTTAAGTCTCATTCCATCAAGGCGCTATCCCTGAGAAGGCTCTCCCTGTTCGTCACTCACTGTACCTCAATTGATGGACGCATCTGGAGAGGAGTCTCCAAAGACTACCTCAACTGATAAATAGAAAAGTATTTTTGAAATAGTTCAAAGCCTCTTTTCTTTTGCCCTCTTACAAGAGACGTTTAAAAAAAATCAGGTTTTTGGGTAGTGGAGGTGTTAATTTACTGTTTCAAAGTTTTGGAATGTTTCAATAAAATACACAAATAAAAATAAATCTAAAAAATACAAGAAGAAGAAGAAGAGTTTGGACTTGATATCCCGCCTTTCACTCCCCTTCAGGAGTCTCAAAGCGGCTAACACTCTCCTTTCCCTTCCTCCCCCACAACAAACACTCTGTGAGGTGAGTGGGGCTGAGAGACTTCAAAGAAGTGTGACTGGCCCAAGGTCACCCAGCAGCTGCATGTGGAGGAGCGGAGACGCGAACCCGGTTCCCCAGATTAAGAGACTACCACTCTTAACCACTACACCACACTGGCTCCAGATGAGCTTGGATTCACTGCATATGTACTTGGAAGCAAGTTTCACTGAGTTACTCATGGTTACTTATGATTGCAACCTTAATGTGTTCCAGTGGATTAAATTATCAAAATATATACAATTTCAGCATATTAAATTTCAGCAAATAAGCAAAACTCAAACATTACTCAAGATATCACCCAAAGCTACATTGCGTTAAGTTTTACCTGTTTTCAAGAATATTCAGAGAACCCTGCTAGATCAGGCCAAGGGCCTATCTATCCATTCTAGAAGTCTGTGCTCACAGTGGCCAATCAGATGTCTATAGAAAACCCACATGCAAGACATGAGTGCAACAGTACTCGTCAGAGACCATGAATCAATAAAATAAAAACCACCCAACACTTTTTCTTCTTCTAATATTAAACAAAAATATCTGCCAAATACCTTCTTAGTTTATTTGTGGCACCAATATCAAGAAACCCATATATTTATCCCTTCTACGTCAAAGGTTCAAGTTCTACATTTTGCTTTCCATTGTGTCACAAACTAAAGCACTGCCATGGCATCCTTTCCACATCAAGTTCCTGAGTGGTCATATCAAAGCAGCAGGAAACATTTAAAATGTTGGGATTGCAAGAGAAATACAAATAAAAAGTTGCTCAGCATACTCGATGAATCTACAATGCAATAAACACTTGAGAAACACTTCAAATGACACGAATCACACAGTGTTATTCTGCCTGCCATACGGTAGTCTCAAAGCTACAAAACAAAAACTGACAGTTTTACCCTATTTGTGCTAGGCAACAGTTCCTGCTGAATATATATTGGTGGGGGGCTTAGTAGCTTAGTTGCATTTGATATCCCATTTAGGTTACCTCATCTCTCTCCCCATTCCTCCTGGTAATGGCAGAACATGGTATTCAGTAGAAGTGAAATTCAGGGAGCACAACTATACAATCAATACAGTGAAGTTGTTTCATGACTGAGTGTGATTTAGCTGGATAACAAACACGCTGTGTTTTTGGCCCACACATACTATCTTCTTTGCCACCTCCAAACTTGTACCATAGTGAAAGAAATTAAATGATGTTTACTTAAGACCTTATGTTTCTGTCATTTAGGAAATACTGAACACACAATCATCTTAATTGTGTCTTTAGCCCCATCTGTTAGTTTTTGATCCCATATCAAGAGTATTATGGAGCAAGGCTTTAAAAAGGGATGCCTTTTCCTATCTGCTTGGTAAACAAGTATGCATTTGATTGGCTAACAAGATGAGCAGCAACACACCAATAAAAACTGCCAACCATCCTAGATTCATAGCCTAGATTATGGATTCACATTATTAAGTAAAAACAAACAGTCTTGTGGCACCTTAACCACTACAAATTTATTAAGGCACAAGCTTTAATATATGTCATTTGTTGTCAGCACTGCCCTTCTGCATTCTATGTAGATCAGTGGCTACACAAAACAAATAAGTGGACATAACTGTGTTCAGAATGTTAATACCCCAAATTTAATAGATTTCAATCAATCAGAGCACTCTAAGTGATCTTAAGGGGGCCATACTTCAACAAGGGAGCTAAAGAAAACTCCAGTGGGATGTGTGAATTAGCTTACCAATTCTTCACCAATGTTGCCTTATTGTCTGTTTTGCTTTCAGGTTCTGCTTTCAACTGTTCTGCTTTCTATTTCTTCTTCTTGCATTTCACTTTCCTCTCACCTCACCCCTCTACAAATCATGTGTATATATGCTTGTCAATTTCAGATTACCCTTCATGAGGCTGATAGGGAACAGATTCCAATTATAATCTACTTACAAATGCCACTATCTGACCAGCAACTTTCGACAGACCAAGGGCCACCTGTCATAAATCTGCTGGTAACATAGTAAAAACCTGTGTCTAGCTACCTTTTCAGATCACAATCTTGCATGACTGAATTACTCTGCCTCACATGAAAAAGATACCTAAGAATAGAAAGCTAATATTTCAGGAGGAAGGCAAGGCTATAACTCTTCTACACGCAGGGTATTTTTCTGTATGGAGCAACACTTAACTGTGCAAGCCCATCATCTGCAATATGAAATGGTATAATTAAGACATAGGTTTTCCACTTATCTGCTGTTTGTGGGAGCTAGGCCCAAGTATCACCTTGTTAAGACTCTACATGCATAGCACTCAAAATAATTGAGTTTGCATTACTTTGGGATGCACCATACAAGGATATAAAATAAGAGTGACTAGAACTGTTTTTTTTAAATAACTCCTTTATGAATGCTTTTAACTTTTAAGTAGTGTACAAAGGAACAGCAACTTACAAGACAGTGAATGTGTGCCTTTGGGTAAGTATTCGAACAGCAGAGAACTTTCCTCTCCCAGCATGTCAGCTTTCAGGGACAACAAGCTGTTTTTGCTCATAAGGGCTGCCCGCAGATTAGCAACTGCTACAGCCTGGAGCGCATCTTCCTTCTCTGGAGTAAGAGGCTGAGAGAGATAACCAGCTTCACCTCCTAGGAGTGCTTCCTCGACATTTGCATAAAGGTCCACTCTCTCTATTCGGCTGTCAGAGTTGCTGGATTCTGCCCCTGTCAGATCCACACCTAAGTGGAAGAAAAACCCAACATTAGTAAACATATCACAATAGAGTCCTCTCAGCCATATGTACATTTGTAGCACTTCCTCCATCCATCATTCCACAGCATCAGAATCAATAAGCCTGCTTAAAATGAAGGAGCTGAGATTACTTTGTCTTTTCCCCAGTTTTTTGATACCTTCATCTGATGCTATAATACAACTGTTGCTATATTTGTGCAGTACACACTTTTGCAAAGTTATGCACTCATTTTGCAAAATAAACTCTCTTGCTGTTAAAATAGTAGCAGTAACATCTGGGGAAATGTGGCTGCTGCTGAAGACACTCTATACCACACTCAATAGTGCAATATCATTACGGACAAACAGAACCTTAATGCCTCCTTTATACTTGCTCAGTTGCAATTATTCCAACAGCATATTGCAACTTCACAACATTATGAATACAGTGGTACCTCGGGTTAAGTACTTAATTCGTTCCGGAGGTCTGTTCTTAACCTGAAACTGTTCTTAACCTGAAGCAACACTTTAGCTAATGGTGCCTTCCGCTGCCGCCGCAGCATAATTCCTGTTTTCATCCTGAAGCAAAGTTCTTAACCTGAGGTACTATTTCTGGGTTAGCGGAGTCTCTAACCTGAAGCATATGTAACCTGAGGTACCACTGTACAACGGACTAGTACATGCTTCAAACGGTGTGCATGTCTCAACAAACTATGCACGGAATATAGTGAAGCCTCAGAAAGCTTGTTTTAGACCCATCTTGCCCTATTCATTTATTTTATTTAAATATCTATACACTACTTCTCTCTGGGGGAAAAAATAAATCACCACCAAAATAATCTGAAAGAAAAACCAAAAGCAATCTTCTAAACAGTTGTAAGATACCAGAGCAGATATTGATCAGATTCCCCAAGAACCAGTACACCCACACAATTGTTCTAATGCAAAATATACACCCACATACCGTATTTTTCACTCTATAACACGCACCTGACCATAACACGCACATAGTTTTTAGAGGAGGAAAATCCGTAGGCATGCCACCCGTAGGCATTCCCTCCGTAACACGCACAGACATTTCCCCTTACTTTTAAGGAGGAAAAAAGTGAGTGTTATGGTGCAAAAAATACGGTAATTGTTTTAGCCTTGCAGATAGAGTGGAGATTAATCAAGACTCCTGGGCAGTTTGAGTGCTGCCACCTACCACTGGTCACACATCAGATATAGAAGGAACAAAAAACAAGTCTCCCCTGATAACTGTGAAGGTGGGTGGGCTCAAATGAGAGGTGGTGATCTTTTAGAAATGTTATCTTAGCCCCAAACAGCTTCAAGGGCAAAGAAGATAGTACTGCGAACTGGGCCTGGAAACAAACTGCGAGACAGTGAAGTTGTACAATGGTGAGTTTGTAAGATTATACTCTGGATGTAGCCAAAGCTTTGCCTACAATCCTGGCCACAGTCACCTTAGAGATATCCAGGAGTAATGTCAGATTTGGAAGCACTCCCAAGCTACACACACACCTCGTTCAGCACAATCTCATTCAGAAGAGCCTGGATGAGACGTGACAATAGTTCAGTTGGTAGATCATGCGACTCTTAATCTCAGGTTTTTGGGTTTGAGCCCCAAGTTGGGCAAGAGATTCCTGCACTGGAGGGGGTTAAATCAGATGACCCTCATGGTCATCTGATTTTGACAATTTTGACATCATCAAGTTTACTAACCAACAGAATACCCATCTCATCCGATTTATGTTTCACTTTATTAGTTTCATAGAATCATAGAACTGTAGAGTTGGAAGGGACCATGAGGGTCATCTGATTTAACCCCCTCCAGTGCAGGAATCTTTTGCCCAACTTGGGGCTCAAACCCAAAAACCGGAGGTTAAGAGTCGCATGATCTATCGTCAGGTCTCATCCTACAATCACCTAGAAAATGAGTCAGGATCTCAACATCTTTCCTAGAAGCAGAAGAAGCTGGATGTAATCAGCACACCTAATGACTGCCCAGCTCAAATCTCCAGACAAAGTTTCCTAGTGTTTTCATGTAGATTATAACAGCATTGGAACAAATTGGAACCCTGCAAACTGCATGCCATGGAGACAAGAAGAAGCTTGTCACCACCACTGTATCCTAAAAAAAGAGATCAGAACCAACATAAAACATTGTTGGCAAGCCCTGTATCTATCACACAGACCAGAATAACATCATATTCAATATTACCAAAAGTCACTGAGGTCTAACAAAACTCTTGCCTGCTCTGGTTCCAAGAGGTGACAGTCATTCAGCAGGAAAGCAAGGCCACCTCAGCCCTAGAACCAGGCTGGGAAACAGGGGAGGACTCCAACATCACATCATGGTCTTCTGATTGTTCTGTTAATTAATGCATTTCTACTTGCCAAATGGAACAATTCTGCTCCTCCCTCCAAGCACAGTTCTGAGTCTCCTAACCATCCAGAAAGGATTTGGGGGAGCTGTGGTGGCGTAATGGGGGGGGGGGAGAGCCCCCCTTGCACTAGCAGGAGTCCTTGTACTGGTTGCCACGAGTGCGCCAGGCTAACTGAATCCAGACCCAGATTTTTTAAAGGATCTAGGTTAGGGAAGCAGAACCTCGTTCAGCCCAAGATCCATATGCTCTCATGGCCTACCTTCTAAGATCCACATAGCAGTGGTAGGCAGGATCAGATGCAAAAATGGGCTGAGCAATGGATGAGAATCCTACCTTTTTACAAGAGATTCCATTCCAGCTATGCAAAAGTTTGAGGCTTCTACACATACACATATACCACATATCCACCCTCCTCCCAGGTATCCAAGAGGCATTATCACAGTTCACAAACACACTGAACCAGACAAAAGCACTCAATCAAAGTGTGGCCTATAGAGGGGCATAGCCTAAGGAGAATCCTGAGGGCAAAACAGAGAGGCCTCTAGGCCTGAGATTTCACATTCCAGATCTAAGAAATCAGTTTCATTCAATAATCCCTGAACCACCCCACTACTATTCTCCCAACCTCCTTTCTTAGCAGGTAGAAGGCAAACAGTTTTCAAGTACATAGTAAACAGCAACCTATCATGGTGGTTGGGCAGAAAAAATGTTTTTAGTTATCCTGCCTCAGCATTCTTCTTCCACACCCACATCATGGAGCTGATGAACCAAGAACTGTACTGTCCAAGATTAAATTTACCGCTGCAATATGAAGAAGGGCAAGTCCATGAACTATGATACAATGCTGATAGAAGTTGACTCAGATAAATGAAAAACTTAATTAAATTGTGGGAGCTGTACCTGAGACATGGCAGGAATACGAATTGAAAACCCTCCTCCATCTGGTACTGTAAGGAGTCAGGGCAGTTATTAACTGGAAACTCAGATTTAATAACCTTAAAATAAAGCTCTCTTTTTAAGATGGGCCATTCTGAAAATTATATTTCTGCTTAGTGCCATCAAATTAAAAACAAAAATTAATACTGCAATATAAACTTAAACTAAACTAAAAAGAGAATAGTGTAATATACAAGAGATTTCACTCTGGCCTATGTGTGCAGCAGAGTGGAGGGAGGCAGAATGTTGCTTTGCACATTTGGCTCGGTATGTGGAAGGGACAGCCATGTAGTGGGTTAATAAACCTTTAAATAACATCCGAATCAGCCCCAAGAATGTTCCCTTGATAATATCACCAATGTATCATCCATATGACAAGGGCATTCAGAGGAGCATTCTGTTTGTGTGGTAAGAATTAGCCAACTGCATTATACTAAAATACAGTCCTGTGCAGGGCTTGATTTTTAAAAATAAACTAACAAAATGTTTACTTCAATAAACCTTATTATCTGAAATAAAGTATGTTTTCTGTCCTGACTAGTTCTACTACATTTTTGTTTCCTTTAGAGCCCAGTTCACATTACTCTTCCTTGAATACTACCAGTGTGACAGGACAACAAAGTAAAACCACAATCCCTGCTCAAAAGGAACATCTGCATCCACATTAAAATCTGCCCAGGAAGCCCAGCTAGGAACACAGCGTGTATATGAACTTCCATCTATGGGCACACCAAAGCAGGGTCTTCCTTTTCGTGGATTAACAATCACAGACTTCCTGGGTGATGTTTAACTAAGTCACATGCTGAACAGGGCATTGAAATCAAGTGACGTCCTCTGATTTCAGTAGATCTGCTCCTGTGATGACTTAGTCAGATACCATCTAATGTCATCTGAAAATCAACATTGCAAAAGCTTATAGATACAAAAACATTTCAAAAAAGGTGCAGGTGGGAGTGTTTGTAGATGTCAATTACCAAAGCAATCTACTTTCTTTTTAATAATACATAGATTAGGTAATGTTTGAGTATTCAAAGGAAAGGAAAGAAAGGAACATGCCAGAAAAAAGCAGAATAGTTAACACACAACTATATTTAAACTTTCAGGTAGGTAGCTGTTTTGGTCTGACGCAGTTGAAATAAATAAAAAATTGTCCAGTAGCACCTTAGAGACCAACTAAGTTTGTTCTGGGTATAAGCTTTTGTGTGCATGCACACTTCTTCAGATTTCAACTGTTCCCATTCTTCCTGTGAAGGTAATTGACCTCTACAGTGCCAGACTTTAATACCACAAAATCCTACAGCCCAGTGGTTTTGTATTTACTTAATCCTATAAAACTATATCCCTAATATATGTGAATGACCCAATAGGAAAAAAATAATAATGCTACTCTTTCAGCAATTCAAAAAAATCCTTGTTTTCATGCATATCAATAATTTAGAAAGATAGTTTTCTGCCTATATTAGCACTGAAAAGCAGACTGAAAAGATTAAAAATAAGCCAGCTAAATCCTTCATTTGATTCTCAACTACTGATATGAAGAAAATCTGCACTATGCATTGGCTTACAAATTTTGTTAAGGAGACCAATGAAAACAATGTATTTTTCCGTGCTTCTTAATTTATGTATATATTTTTATATGGTTGCCTTTTGGGGCCCAGCTCCTTGAAGGAAGCTTACACCATAATAAAGCACCAATCTAAACTGATATAACAAAGGTAGAACCACCAAAGGTACCCACCAATAAAAAACAAATTAAAAAATATAGGCCAGTTAAAATAATCACGGAGAAGTAACAACAATAACAGCAACTAACATTATCCTTACTCATATATCCCCAAGAATGATGTTCAGTTGTCTCTATACTAATGCACAGAGCACGAGAAATAAGATGAACTTGAGCTCTTAATACAGGATGGTAAAAATGATATAAAAGGCATTGTTGAAACGTGGTGGAATGAGACTCATGACTGGGAAAGCAGTAATTGAGGGGCATAACCTATTCAAAAGCAATAGACCAAACAGGAAGAGAGGAGTGTCAGCATCGCCCTTGAGCCAGTGCCACCAACTGGACTCATCCACTTCAGCCCCGACTGGGCTAGGCGAGCTGGGTAGCACTTCCAGAGACCACCTTGTGCACAGGAACAGGTCAAAGTGCTGTGGACTCACAGCTTAGAGTTGTGAGCACCGGATTCACTCCCACAAGAAGACAGTCGTCGCACAGCAGAGTACAGAAGAGTCTAGCAGAGCATATAAACAACTCGGAGAGCAGCTCTGTAGAATATCTTCTTTATTCTATCTACAACTATTATACAACTATATACAGAGCTAAATAGGTCTAAGCATAAATGAATGCTGCACTGCACTGAGTGTCTGCAGCTGCTCTTAGCAGCAACCTTATCTCTACACACGATCTCTAACACTCAGTCTCTCTCTCTCTCTCTCTCTCCGACACTGACTGACTGACTGACTGACTCTGGTGCTGGAGCAGAATAAGTAGAGAGCAGAACACGCCTCCTCCTCTCTGGAGAATCAGCAGACTCCTCAGGAGATTCTTGGATATGGGAGGGGTGAAATCTCCTCAAGGAGGAGGAGCATTATATGTAAAAGATGTGTACACCAGTGAGGAAAGCCATGATCTGAAGCATGAAAGGTAGGTTGAGACTATTTGGGTAAGAACTGTATGAGAGGGAAATAGCAGTAACGTCACTGTGGGAGTCTATCACCCACATTTTATGAAATTGTGGTTCATCCTAATTAAGAGATAACCCTTCTGTGGCTTTTAGATTAATCTGTATGAAATCTATTCAAACAGGATCAAAACTGCAAAATGGTAGGATTTTTTATTGAATCTTTAACTGGTGCTCCATATATTGCACCACTTACAGTGCAGACTGTCATTATACAACACAGAGTTCTAGCCCCAAAAGTACGTATGCAGGTAGTCGTCTGTCAACTGCTGGTGTGTGCAATGCTCAGTGTGAATTAGTTTATAGCATGCTACCACATAGGCTTGCCTTACATCTGGTTGCAGTGATGGACTAAAAGCTAATACACACTGAGCTTGGAAACAGTCTCATACTGTACTTCCTTAATGTAAACTGCTGCAGCTGACTGGCTGTTTTTCGTCAACCACCAAGACTGAAGGAGGCTGACAGAGACCTAAAATTTGAACTGAGCTGATATTCCAAGGTTAACTGACAACACAGTCAGTAATTCCACTGTAGGTATGCCGTGCTTTGATGTGACTGATTTGGGCAGTAATGGAGGCCCTACACACAACCCTGGACAGTTACCAAAGGGGTTACATCTACCTTCTTCAAAATTCAGACTGGAAGAAAGCATTCCGGTAAGTAATCATTTTATTTTCTAAGAGCCAGTGTAAAGCCACAGGAAAACATGTAACACATAATTTACATGGTTATGCTTCACGTTGTATATGAAACAACATTTTTAAGCTTGAAAGTTTCCCAAGATGGCACTGCTGCATAAAAAGACACAAGTACAATACACAGAATTTGAATAAAATCTTCAAGAAACTGAGATGTTGACTATTATATAACAGGAAATGTGTTCGTTATTTTACATAAATGGATTTCCATTTTCAAAGATACTTCGTACCACTGCTACTTCTGAGAACATGTTATGCAGCTTTTAAAAGCTTTTTTTTCTGGTACAGAAATATTTGTGTTTCTCTTGTTAATTTACCTATTTAAGGCCTAATATAATTATTTTTCACAAGTTTTCATTAATAAATTCAGTTACTGGCATTGAGATATATAGCAGCTTGGGAGGGGCTGCCTTCAGATGTCTTCTAAAAGTAAAATAGTTGTTATTTACTTAGCATCTGATGGGAGAGCATTCCACAGGGCGGGTGCGGCTACCGAGAAGGCCCCCTGTCTGGTTCCCTGTACTCTCACTTCTTGCAATGAGGGAACTGCCAGAAGGCCCTCGGAGCTGGATCTCAAGTGAAAAGCAAGACATATCCTTTACACTACTATACAAGTAATCGAACCATTAAAGTTTATGGCCTTTTAACTAGTATGCCACAAATGATTATGCATTCACATGAATGATTATACATATTACATGATATGATTCTACAGAGACAGGAAAAAAAAAATCTTACTTGTTTCACGACTACTGTATGGCCATCCTTGGGCAGATAGAAAAGGTGGTACTGGAGAGCTTGTTCTGCTGTCATCTCCCAGTTGCTGTGTAATATGGCGCACAGTATCTTTGTTTTTTCTGTTCTTTCTGCGCCCAGTAGGCTGCCATCCATCTGCAGCGCCTTGTTCTGAAAAAGTATTCTGCATTGTACTATCTTTGGCAGACTGCAACTCATTTCCTCCATAATGAGATGGAGAGCTCTGTTCCTCTTTGATACGCAAGGATCCATACCCCATATCACTAGACCACAGAGATTGGGATGAAATGTCATCATGACTATCCATTTTTTGTTCTTGATCCTCTTTTCCATATGTGCTTCCTCCTTCATGACAACTAGCAATGGCTGAATCACCAGAGGAGTTTGCAGGACTTGTCCGCCGAGCTAGCCAGGGAGATATGCTCCTACCAGCCACCACTGCTGAAATCAAAGCATCTGTACTACTGCTGGAGGTTGCTCCAAGTTCATAATCAATAAAATCATCTGATGCATCAGACTTAATGCTTATGTCAAGAGCAGCCTTTATGAAATTGTGACAAGCTTGAACAATATCAGTCATCTGGAGATAGCTAGCAGCTGACATCACCTCAATAACATTCCTGCTGGTCAATGCAAGGTGTGCAGAGTACATGAAGTCAATGATTGCTTTAAACCCCTGGGCTGTTACAATATCTAAATGAGTGACCGTTGCCTGGTCAGAAGTCTTCTGCACCTGGCAGTACAGTGTCTTGAAGTAGCGACTGCTCCCAAGTAAAATGTTTTTGTGAGCCTTGAAAATCTTTCCCTCCACTATAATGCAAACATCACAGAGGATGCCATGCTGTCTTTGTTCATTGAGTTCTTGAAGGAGATGACGATAATGGGAGGCAATTTCCATGTCTTCCTTTCGATTATTCATTTAGAAATATTTGTGCTACTGCTTCCACACAGGTCTGTAAGGGAGAAATAGAGGCATTACCACATTAAAGGGGCTGTCATACTATTTAAATCACCACAAAAATTCAGAGAGGCATTTAGCTATCTTTCCAAGTTTGAAGACAACAATAATTAAGGCATTATACTTAGAACAGAGAGTTTATTGCTTGACTTTAATATTGGATTTGCATTTAATAGGCAGGTTTTTAGAAATGCTATTGTCAGGTGGGGGGAGTTGGTAATTATTGAGATTACAGCAGCTGGGAGGAATGATTTAACCCATTCTTCCCCTGCTGAAATCCTCAGGAAAATCCCTCATTTTAGCAGCAATGGGGGGATTTTCTGGCCATGCAAATACCAGCTTCAGATAATGGACTTTCTCAGGCACACAGCAAGGGAATAAAGAGTTAAATTCCCCCTATCAGCTTGCTGTAAACACAATAATTATTACCCCTTCAACTAATGCTATTTGTGCTTTTAAAAACCTGCACATTAAATATAAAGAAGCACTTGAGGTCCTATCTGGCTTGGCCCAAGAGAATAGCCTGCACTGAATATGTAAACTTGGACCATCAATATTCAATAGCTTTGAATATTCTTGAAGCTTTCAAGATAGCATGCCAGGATATTAACCTTTCAAAACTAATCAAGAGAAAGTATGACGTATTTACCACAACTACAGAGAAAAAGAGACTGAGATAAGCTTCCTGTGTTAAGGTATCAAATTTTAAGATCCTAGCAAGCTAGTGTTGATAATTATGTTTGTAGAGGCAAAGCATCCTATAGCAGAAACTCCTCAGGAAAGAAGTTACTAGATCCTGCGCGAGAAACAGCTGAATTCACGTCAACCTCAGCTAGGGCTAAGGGTGGTCAGCGCCCACAGATTACAGTGATTGTTGGGAAGGGAGAGAAAACCAGGCAGATGTCAGAATTAAATGAAGAGTTCAAAACGAAGCAGGGCAAAGGCTAATAGAGTTCTGCCAAGAGAACAAACCGGTCATCACAAACACTCTTTTCCAACAACACAAGAGACGACTCTACACACGGATATCACCAGATGGGCAGCATCGAAATCAGACTGATTATATTCTCTGCAGCCAAAGATGGAGAAGCTCTATACAGTCAGCAAAAACAAGACCTGGAGCTGACTGTGGCTCAGATCATCAGCTTCTTATAGCAAAATTCAAGCTTAAACTGAAGAAAGTAGGAAAAACCACTGGGCTGGTAAGATACAATCTAAATCAAATCCCTTATGAATACACAGTGGAAGTGAGGAACAGGTTTAAGGATTTAGATTTGGTGGACAGAGTGCCTTAAGAACTATGGATGGAGGCTCGTAACATCATACAGGAGGCAGCAACGAAAACCATCCCAATGAAAAGGAAATGCATGAAAGCAAAGTGGCTGATTTGGAGGGGGCTGATGGGAGTAAGCCCACTTTTTGTGATCCTATCTCTTTTCCTACTCTTTTAGATGTGGCAGCCATTTTGTGTTGTACCATGCACTCACAGCTGCCATTTCTGACTGGTGCCCACAGCACTTCAAAATTCCAGATGTGTTCATCAGCCCCAAAAGGTTGGAGTGTACAGATTAATTATAGCTTTATAAGACACTGGTCAATCCATTTTCTTTTAAATTTATCATCAAGTTACTTACAGAACCATTTATACCATGTACTTTCTGTGCTCAGTAGATATCTGCTGTTTATACTTTTCCATTGTTTTAAAAAGCTACTAAAATGCACCCATTCTAATAAATTTCCTTCAATGAAATTTTACATTCTCCTTTTCCTACCTGTACTATGCCTTGTAGATTTTAAACTTTTGGATAAACTGTCTACAGAAATCTCTAGCCAAAACCATGTCCATAGTAAATAAAAAATAAAAAAAATTATGTGGGCCATATTCCAATGCAGCAGCTCCACTGGCACAACAGACTCCCATGCACGCAACAGAACTTCAGTTCCCACATGCTCTCAAAATCAGCTGAGGAGATATTAGGGGCACACAGGGGGAGCATAGGAAACAGAAATTCCTGCACAACAGCAGAACCCCACTGGTGGACCATTGTATAAGAAAGTCTGACTAAAATGCATTATCTGCTGAAGTTATTATCTATTCTGTATACTTCTTAGGAATAAGAGTACATGCACAAGCAGCAAATTGCTGCCAACTTTCCAACACCTAATCACACATGTGAATGCAGTTAAGTAGCTTCCACACAATATGACTTTATGATCCAATTTATTTTTCTATTACACTGTCATGACTTAAGCTTGTTATTAATTCAGCCTCCATGCGAGAAGTGTCCTTCCAATGTCTTCAGATAATTCTTTGTTGACATTATACTCATTATCTTAGTCTCCCTCTCCTTCCCTAGCACTAGATAATTTCTCTTGGAAACACAAAGTCAGCTAATCACACAATGCAATCACCCACCCCCAGGTATTTACCAGCTTTAACCACATCTGGTTCACAGTTACTGGTAAGCATAATTGAATGTCCTTTAGCTGAGAAAGTGTATATCAGTGTGTGTTGGCTGCTTCAGCTATCTATTCTACATTTGGTTATATTTAGTCTTCTTCTATAATAATTATTCTTTTCCCAATTAGCCAACATGAAAAATAAGAGATGAGTCATTGCTAGGTTGACCTACTGAGACTTACAAGTGTCACTAAATTTCCTTGGATTAGGGCCAGGTTCTTTGATTCTATGCTAAAAACTCAATTCTTGCACCAAAGTAGCTCAATATCCGCAAAAGGGAATAATTTATGCAAATGACACAATACTATAAACTTAATTTACATCCTTCACTTTAGTAATAAAAACAATATTTTGATAACCTGGCTTTTAATTGAATTTAAATAAATGTGTACATTATATTTCATAAATGCCTTCGAGGGTATTCAGGCAACATGAGATCACTTCTATCAATCTATCTATTAACTTTTGAAGTAAACACCCATTAGAAAAATATCAATTTAGTAATCTAATGTATAGAATATTCCCAACTACAATCACTTCACAAAGGAATAAATTCAAATTCCATCAGTACTGTGGACGGTCCAGATTTTACAAACTGTATATACATAGATTACAAACGAGCACAGTTAAATGTGATTCAGGGATGAGGAAGCAAGCATTTCTGTGCAGCTAGAAAGGTGACAGACCTTCCAGAATCCTGAATCCCCGAGTTTTTGCTTAGTGTCAACCCCACAGATTAGGCAACAATTTTTAATCTGCAGACTAAAGCTTAAAATGTCTCCCAATGACATCTTCATAGACAGTAGCAGCACACTGGTCTTCATACTATTGCTTCCCAGACAGATGAAGTCCTAAAGGCAAACATCTAACCATAAATGACCACTATGAATTTTCAGAACTTGGGAGCATCCAAAGAAATGAGGTTCAGCAAATGAGCTTTTCACTATGCTTGGAAACTAAGCACAGTTCTCACGGTGAAGCCTTAATGAACCGCATGTTATCTGTTTTACAGCGATAATGGAAAGATAGTTGCCTTCAAGTTTAAGTGAATTGTCCCATTTTCTGCAAAACTGCAGAAAAGTGTAAAAATGCAACTGAAAACAAAAGGTATTTCTCACCACAATTAAGAATATAATCTGTGTGGGAATACCAAACAGAAGTCTAGACTGCCACCACTTAGCAGAAGTTTCTAAATACTATATGAGAAAAACAGAGGGCCGGCTAAAAAAGAGAAATGTTTTAACAGGTGTTCTGTGTCCCATTCAATAGTATTTGCTGATATCAGTAGCTAAATGTACATCAAGAGTCAGGCTTTTTGTGAAATCAGAATCCACAGCAATGCCTTCCAGTGTGGTAATGAGAGAATGTAGGACTTCCACTTCATCCCAACATTCTATTCAAACACAGCTCATCTTTTTATGAATTCCTTTCTCTTCAATATGCTTCACTCCATGCTACAAAATGCCATAATAACAGAACTACTGAATTGTGCAGTGTGGTGCATGCAAAAGAACTACAAAGAGTCAATCAAACGTTGAGAAACAACCTCAACTCTATAGAACTGAAGAGATATAGTTACAATTTAATTACAGTTCTGAAATTAAATTAATGAAGAGAAAGAACAGGTCTTGAAAAATGCAATCCAAAAAATTTCTCAGGCATGGACTATCAACTTTTGCAGGTCAGATTTTCTGGTTCTTACCCCTAATATGAAAGAGGCATCTTACTTTTAGGACACCTAATCTTAATACTAGCTGATATCACAAGGAGGAACCTTTAACAAGGTACAGTAAAGTTGTTACTCATACGGCTAAAAACACAATTAGGAAACCCCATAGAATTATTATTTCATATTGAAATGTTGACCGTGATTAACTGCATCACAAACGAAGAACTTAACAATGTAGCTATGGATTTAAAGTGGATATGCACCTTTATAAGGGGATTATGATGGCAAAAGTATGCATCATAAAGTGGGTTGTATTAATTTCCTAGAGTGAAGAAGTGTACAATTTAAAACAAGCAAGCATGCAAACAGAAAGAGGATGTCCTGAACCCTTTCAACATATATACTCCCCCCCCTAAAAAAATTGCTTCTTCCCCTACAGGTGGGTGTTAGTTCTCTTCAAAGAACCATACTGTGAGCATGGAGAACAAAACATGAGTGGAAGTTTCAGCACTATTCCCCCACCCATGCTTTACTTTCAACACCCCTACATTTTTAAACAGGGAAATAAGTTACATGGGTTCTGACACAAATGTTAGCTGCAGTAACATCTAGTTTCCCTGCCAAGCTAGCAATAGTTCATCAAAATTTATTTCAAGTTCAATTATTCCATTTTGTATATTCCAGTTTTATAAACACAACTTTTTTTCTCATCACAAATCAAATTTATCTCTAGTAGAAATATGATATGTTTAAACAGATCAATTGGCAATGTGTGAAACTTTTAAAACCAGAGCAACAATAGAACATGATATAACTGCAGTATAGGTGTCTGTAGTCAGAAAATTTCTACATCTCTGCTTTGATTATTTTTCATTTTTCTCCATCCTCTACAAGTGTACTTTCTACAGTTTCTGGATATGTAAAAAGTAGGCAGACCCCTGGATGGATGGATAAGTATCACACAATAAAACTGTAACAGTGAATTTTGTTAACGAATTTATGTGCAAAAGCTATTCTGCAACAGTCTTTCAGAAAGAGAAGTGGGGGGAGAGAAAGAGAGATCACAAGATGTCCAGATACAGTCAACCCACGTCTTCTAAGTTCCATTAGACATCTGGACAAAGCACAACAACATTCAATTATGGAAGTCAATGCTCCTTTCTTCCCCACCTCCCCCCGATATTTGAGATGAATTAGATTTGTTAAACCATTACTAAAAATTAAAAATAGAAGCTAGCCAAAAATACTAGCTTACTTTAAGCTATGTGATTATTTGGCAGTATGCACTCCATCAAAGTGACTGTGGTTAGGTTTGCAGCAGGGGAACTAACATTGCATGCAAAAGCTTCCAAGTTCAATCCCTCGTGTCTTCAGATAGGACTGGGAAGGGCTCCTGTCTGAAACTCTGGAGAATGGCTGCCAGTCACTGTCAACAATACTAAGCCAGCTGGATTAAGGATCTGACTTGATATAAAGCAGCTTCCCACATTCCTACACTTCACAGAAATGAGACTTAAAATAGGAAGTATTTGGATTTCTTATCTTCCTTGCATTTTAATAAAGAATATTATCATAAAGCAAAAAAAAAAAAAAGTTAAGATACTACAAAACCAGCAAAAGGGTTCTGGTATCATCCCTACTCATTAAATACCCAGTCCACCTACAACAGGGGTCAGCAAGGTTTATCTTCCTGTGCAGATCCCTCTGTGGGCCGGATCTTCCACGCGCGCCTGTGATTTTTAGTTCTGCACAGATGTGATTTTTGGAGTCTGCGAGTACGCAGATGCGATTTCCGGCGCCGCGGAAGCGAGTCCCCATGCCACACTGGTTTATCACAGCGCGCGAGTGGGCAACTTAGTTCAGGGGCGGCTCATGGACCAGTCAAACGACCTCCACGGGCTGCTTCTGGCCCATAGGCCTTAGGTTGGTGACCCCTGACCTACAATTCTGGTAAAATTCTGATAGCAGAAGTTTCAGTACTTCATCCTACATACTTTTGCTGTGAGCTTTTGGTTCATAGAAAGCACAGTCACACAAAGATTATTTCTTTGGCAGTGCAAGAAAAAGTAGATAGCAGTTCATAATGCATGCAGGTCCCAGTGTGTCAACTTCTTTATAGTTGTCTTGCCAATTGCCACACTTACCGGTAGTTGTCTGTATAAGGCATCGCTGATTTCAACACAATTATGGAAATGAAATTTGACACAAAATGATAGGTGAATGCAAGAGACAGGAAAGGCCCACGAAGCTGTTGGGGGAGAATGGTACTCCAAGCAAATGCAACAGAAAACATTGGAGGACAGAAATGGGAGATACAGTAAATCAAATCTTAAGTTTTGGCATGTAGAGGAATGGAGTCATAGAAGCTGACTTTGTCAGCAAACCTCAGCCACCACATTCTACATTAACTTCCACCACCAGATGTGCATACAAAAAACCATGTTTGCTACTGTAGTAACCATTGAGATGTAGCAATCTGAAAGAGGTCTCAGCCTTCTCACAAAAGTTGTTTGAAAGACTGTGGCTGCTCTAAACTACAATCTGAAGATTAAAATGCCAGGGACATAACCCAAGAATGCATGACCACAGGAGAACCAACTTCAACAGTAACTAGCAAGTTTCTCCTATTCAAAATGGCCTACCAACCAACTATTCTCTGCCTTACGTTAATCTGAGCTTTAACTGGTGTCCCCAAGTTCTGCCTCAACCATGGCCAGAGACTGTAAAGGCCAATAGATCAGGCATGGGTCAGATGAGAATTAAATTAACTACTTATTAAGACTCTCCAAGAACTCTAAAAGGTTAGTCAGGATGCGCCCTTGTGGAAGCCACACTGGTCCTTATGCAGCAAGGCTTCTTCCTCTATATGCTTCTTTAATAATGTTTTCCACCAAGTTTTATGGAACAGATGTTAAGCTAATAGGCCTGTGATTTCTCAGATCCCCCCACCCCACGGCCAGGAGTTTCAAAAGTCAGGACCAGCTTCTTGCTAAATGCCCAATGTACAATTTGTGTCTCTGTGGAACCCAAGACCGCATAAAAGAAAGATGTGTATAAACCTCCAGCAGACATGTCAAACACCAACAATTTTGCCCGTGAGTAGATAGCAAATTACTGTGGATCTAAGAATTTATTTATGGCTCCCGATGGAAGCAGCCTGGATTTATCATGCCACACACCAGTCAAAATATTTTTGCTGGACACTTCCATGTGGATATGAAAGTGAATGCTGGAGGTGAGTCAAAAAACCCTGAGTGGAACTCAACATTGCCCTATGACAAACATTCCATCTGCACAAGCAATTCAGCTTAGCAGACAGAATGATCCTCCTCCCATGAACTGTTCTGGAGGTTCTCTCGATGCCCCTCCCCAAGCTAATTCTGGTGCGGGGGAAAGCACTTTTGTGGAAGTCCTTGCATCGCACTTCCCCGATAAGGCTTGTTAGGAGACTCCTGCCCCTTAATTGTACTTATCTAATAATACTATTTATTTTAAACTTATTCTAACAATATGTAATTTATATACCTCCTTCACTCAAAGATGCCAGAGCAGAATATGTATAAGAAAAAAAAAATAGCCCCAAACTTAACATTGTAGAAACAAAATGAAATTCATCAATTAAATTTACAGTAAAAAATTGCAGGCAGCAGCAACAGCAAAAAAACAAACAAAAAAACCCCTTATACCCAGTTCTACAGTGAATCTCAACACTACCCCTGCTCCACTAGACAAAGAAGTACATCTTCAACTACCAGTGGAAAGCAAGTAAGGCTGAGGTATGGAAGGATAGTTCATTCCATTGGTGTGGATCCACTTCAGAGAATGTCCTGCCACAAGCACCTGCAGCGTGGACCACATTAGGTTTGGGAACCACCAAAAGTATTTGATCTGCAAATCATAGACCAGGGTATGGGAGGAGGTGTTTTTTCAGATATTTGGGACCCAGGCCATTCAGGGCTTTAAATGTCATCAGAAGCACCTGAAAGACAACTGGCAGCTAGTGCAAGTATTTCAAAACAGGTGTGAGCAACCATTGGCACTCCCCAGTTGCAAATTCCAGACCACTGAAGGGCAACTCCACATAAGAGTGTATTGCAATATAATAGTCCAATCCGAAAACTATCAGAGCTATCTCTGTCCAGGAAAGGCTATGTCTGGTGAACCATCAATAACTGGGAACAATCACTTCTAATCATGAAGCCACCTGACTTTCAAGTGACAAAGATGACTCCGGAAGTGTACACATACCCAGGTTACAGACCTGTTCCTTAAAGGGACTATCCCATCCAGGACAGGCTGTCTTACCAAACCCCATAAAAGCCCACCCATAGCATCTCCATTATGTCTGGATTCAGTTTACTGACCCATACCTAGCCCATTACCACCTTGAAATATCAGGTCAGCACCTGCACTACTTCTCCTGATTCAGACAGGACTGAATGGGATTGAAATTGGTGGTGCACCACCATCAATTTCTTAAGCACCTTGCCCAAGGAGCGGTATTTATTCAACAACTACAGGTTTAAAGAAAGTGCCTCTTTTAAAGCCACTGGCACCTTCTCAGCCCTCAACATTAGCTTTTATTAGCAAAGGAGACATGCAGTAGGCTGAATCCCTTTAAGCTTGCCCACATCCTCAGGCCATAATAACTGAAACTGATTCAATAAAACTTAACCAGATGGTGTTCTGGACACATCCACAAGACTAGTCCTAACTACAGTATCTAATTCTGTATGGATTCAAGCAATTTTATCTTCAAAGTGCTTAGCAAATTTGTCACAGAATGCCTCCAATCATCTCCTTCATCGGGACAGATACAAATGGCCCCTTCACTGTGTGTATAAGCTTTTGGATGCCTACTGCAAGCTGCAATGGTGGCAGAGGTGAAGCTCTTCACTGCCACATAGTAACCACAACTGTATGCTCATTAGCTGTGTTCAGTCATATGTGTTTCAGGATTTACCCAACTTGTGCTACACCATAGTCCATCCTGTTTCATTGCCCACAGCTCCCCAGAAGACTATGGAGATCTGTAAGCTCCATAGTGTCTGTCTGAGAAGGCACTTGGGAACAATTGTGTTGAGATCCCTTTCCACTTCAAATACTGTTTTGCAACCAGCTGTGAATCTGACAGTACCATTGTGCAGCTTTCACTGAACCAACGTGCTAACCAAAATATCACAGAAAACTTTTGTCAAGTGCTTTGCTGAAATCAAGCTAAACTGCATCCACATAATTCCCAGTGTCTGCTAAGTTTCCTAGTAAAGTGATACAAGATAGAGATAATATTAGTTTACCGGGATTTATTATTGGCAAATCCATTATGCTAGCTTCTGTGAATTACTACATACTTTCCTAAGAATTTAATTTTGCATTCTTTCCATTTCGGGGGAAACTGATCAATTGATTGGGAAGCCTACTATGTCTTACCTTTAAACTGCCTAGTTTAAGATAAGACAACAACCATTTGAGTACACAACAAATATTCAGCTAATCCTATTGTGCAGGGTGTCAAAGTTTTCTGGCATAGGTACAAAGCTTCAGAGTTCAGGGAATTATAAGTGTAAAGGATAACTATTTGAATTTCAGGGAGCCTTTTGAGATTTAAACTAAGCCCCTTTTATCCTTTTATTTACCAATTAAATTAAGAATATAGTAACAAGGATTAGTTCACACTACAAATAATGCAGGAAAGCCATGTTGCTAAAAGAAGCAAACAGAACTCAGTTGAAAAAAGGATCACTGCTCAGGAGATGTGGGCTGTTCATGAAAATAATTTTGATTTAAGAAGCTAGAAAGGCAAAAAGTTATGAAACAAAAACTATGCATACTGTACTTGTATTAATAAAACCTTGAAGGAATGGTGAATATCGCAATGAAAAGCAAAAGCTTTCATGAGGAAGTAAAGGCAAGAAGAAATGTATTTTAGAGTATGTCGAGCCAATATCCAAACAATACCAGACCAAGCAGGCACCTACAGTTTGTAATTAAGGCTGCAATCCTAGCAGTGTCTACTCAAAAGTAAGTCTCATTCCATTCAACGAGGTTTACTCCCAGGTACTCAGGTAAGTAGGTTAGGTTTGAAGCCTCACTTCGCTTAGGCTATCCACCCAATAAAGTATGCCAAGGTTGTTTCTGTAAGCTACTCAGAAAGCTTTTCTAATATACAACCTGGAAGAGAAGGACATTGGCTCTACTGTATGGATGTCCTAGAAAACACAAGCCATAGGGACAATGTGGCCCATTTCCTCTGTTCTCTGAAATTCCAAAATCTGACCTGTATATTGCCATACATCATTTATTAAAATAGTTATTATGTCTGTTTAATTAGCAAATAATGTCATATGAAAGAGAAGAAACAGATCCAATTAATTTACAATGCATAATTGTATCATTCTCACTTATTTAGATATGGCTTCATGGAGTAAACAAGACATCATAGCCTAATCAAAAGCTGTAACAATATGATTCCAATAAGTAGTCTACTAACAGCAAAATTAGCTTTTCATCATCCATTTAAATAACAATCGACACTAGTATCTCATACCGCAAGCCTAAACACACTTACTAGGGAGTAAGCTTAACTGAACACAGCAAAACTTACTTCCAAGTAAACATGCATTAGGATTTCACTGTCAGATTTGCTCATTTTCAGGATGGAGAAATGCAAGTTCTAGTTAATCAAGACCTGGATACTGTTTTGTAGATCCTGTCTGTCCCATAAGGCTCTCCTTTGTTAACTTGTAATACACCAGAGGATAATTTTTCACTATGTGGAAAACTGTGGTTAACAGTAAGCTCTAAAGTCTAAGACTCTAAATGCATACACACCCCATATCATGAAAGGACTACAAGACTGAGAACTTGACAAGCAATAGCTGCATTCAACTGCTATTAATTCTGTTCAGCACAGCCAATCAATAAAACAGAATTGGCTGTCAAATGCTAAGAGTGGTTCCCTTTATCCCTGAAATACTACTGTATTTAAAGTGACACAGTATAAACTGCCAAACTTTAGTTCACCGAGCTGGCGGGGGGGGGGGGGATATCGTGCAATTTCCAAAGTTTGTGTAAAACTGAAGCTTTTGTCTGTCTCGTGGCAAGAAAGCCATGTCTAGCTTTCCCTTTTACCAAAATAGAATACTCTTCTCAAAGAAAACCCCTTAAAATAGAAGCAGTAAAAGTAGGGAACCAAGTTACAGTATATGTACTGGTACTTAAAATGCTAGTGTACAACATATATTTAGAAAATGCAACTAAACATTTGAAATGACTCAAGTATTAAAATGCATACAATAACTTCAGTACAGGTGCCTGCAAAACATTGTTTGCAAAACACACTTCCTTATTAGCATATATATAAACACTGCTGATAATAACCTTGTCTCTAATCCAGGCTAAATAACTACCCTGAGTGAATACAGAGAAAGCTAATTTTAAGAAATATCTCCTAGTAAAACTGCCCTTTGTTTCTATATTTCTTGACACATCAAAAATACATTACTGCATACAATAGTTCTATTATATCTATTTCTGGCTCTCCAGCAGTACAGCAAGCAATAAGGAGCTGTCTTTAAATTGAAGGAATCCTCCCACTGTTAACAGTCCAGGAAATCTGGTTCATTTCTTATTTGTCGTCTGGGATTGAGTTATCAGATGCTACTTGCATGACTTTTACAGAACTGACAACCTATTTACAGACACAAAAAGGCAATCTACAACTTAAAAACTTCTACCATCACCTTTAGGTTGTTGTTTTTTAAAGGAAACCTTTTACTCTCCCTACAAATTATTCTTTCGGGGTGTTGACACCCCCTTCATAAAATGTTCCCTACCTGTATGCAACATTTTCAAATCAATTCCCTTACTTGTCACAAGCATATTATGTAGTCCTCCAGCTTTAGGCAGGAAAAGCATTATTCTGAAGACTGGGTTTTTAAAAATATACAGGGTCACTACCAATATTTCAGCTTGCAATTAAAATGGAGGAAAGGCCAGCCGATCGGTGCCAGACTTCAGGGGGAGACAATAACCCCAAACAGGCCTGGCTTTAGAGAGGCAGAAAGAGAAAGCAAGCGAAGGAGAAATATACAACATGTTTCACCAGTATTATTACCTCATCCCTTTCTTCCAAGCAGTTTTGAGCCACTCTCTCTTGTCAAGCTCTTGGGTCCAACTTGCACAGATGCTTATTTTTAAACGCTGTGGGGTGGTTTTTGTTTGCTTTTCAAATAAAATTATCAAACCAGAATGGAAAGGCTTGCTATTTCACGAAGTGGAGCTGCTGTTAAAATGCCCCCTTGTCTCCTCTCCACTCCCTTGAGCTGGGTGTTGACGCAGCAGAAATTACCAGCTGGAAAATTCCCCTTTTGGAGGTTAGAGGGAGGGGTGGGGTGGGGGGAGAAGAGGAGGAGAGAGGGGGTGGGAGAGAAGCAGGGAGGGGGGTTAAACCCTGCCAGTCACACAGAGCTGTCCCCCATCTATCCACCCACCTAGCCCCAAATAAGGCATCATGTCCCGAGGTGAAGGAAGATCAGAGGAGCTCCATGCCCCTTCCACACACAGGGGGGTGGGAAAGTCATCTCAGCAAACCGCCCCCCAACCACGTCCCACCCTCCAGCTGGGATTTTACCCAGCTGCCCTTCCAGCATATCTCAGGGAACAGGCACAGCGTGCGTGCGCCGCGCGCAAGGAGGACGCGCGGCCCCCACGAACCTCCCATTGGGCGGGCGGGCGAGGGGCGAGCGAGGGGTTGGGGGGGGCTAAAATCCATGACAGAGAGGGAGGGGGGAGAAACGAGTATGCTTTGCCTTAAATTAGGAGAGGTGGGGCAGGAGGAGGGGGGAGAAGGGAACCCGACGCCCTCATTCAACTGCCCCCAAAGGTCAATTTCTCTTCTCTGCTGTCCCCCAAAGGAAACCCCATCCATAGTGTGTGTGTGTGTGTGTGTGTGTGTGTGTGTGTGTGTGTGTCACTCACCCCACACTATCTAGAGAGAAGGGGTGTGTGGTAGTGGGGGGACAAGTTCCCCCCCCACCAAGAAAAACGCAAAAATCTCCCTACAGGGAACTAGGTTAATGGGAGACTTTGAAAACGCGCTGCTGCGCGCCATAAATAAATACACACAGAGACCCGAGTTGCCAGGTCTTTCAAAACATACTTTTCCTAGAAATAAAGAGAAGAAGGAAAAAGTATCGCGAGCGGGAGCGCAACCCAATGCGGTTAAGAAGTGGGGACGGCGCGTTTTTTAAAAGAAAGCATAAAATAAAAAAGCAAGTTTTTGCAGAGCGCTTAAGGCTATTAGGAAACAACAGCCACCTATTTCCCCCCCCCCCCATTACAGACACCATCGCCTCAGGGCACAGGAAGCGGTCGCCGTCGACCACGGGGGAAGAAGGAAATAAAGGGGGGTGGTGATATTATTGTTAACCTTGTAAGATGTATAAATGGAAAGCGGTTTTTTATTTTTTTAAAAAAATTGTTTTGTTCGTTTATTTATTCTGCCTGCCTGCCCATCTCTCTCTCTCTCTCTCTCTTACCTGCGCTTCATGAGGAGCGCGGCCGGAGCGCTGGCTCCACACGGTCACACTCCGCGTCTTTCTCTTCATGAGTTGTGTGAAAGGGGTGGGGGGGGTCGGGCGAAGAGAAAGAGAGAGAGGGGACGATGGTTGGGGGGGGTGAGAGAAATGTGGGGAGGGCAAGAGAGCGAGCTGGTGCGCGCTCCCGCCTCGCTTTCTTCCCTGCCCCCCCCCTCTGAGGGAAAGGAGGCGCGCGCGCTCCACTTCCCCTCACAACTTGGCCCTAGAAGGGGAGGGGGAGGGGCCGGCGCGCTCGAGCCGGCAAAAAAACCCCCCACAACTAGAGGTGGGCGTGGCCAAGCGAAGGGTGGGCGGGGCTCCTGTGGAAAAGGAAGAGCTGAGGGGAAGGCGAAGTACAGCAGCCGCGTCGCTGATTGGGTGTAGCTGAGCACAGGCCTCCCTAAGCCACGCCCACGCGGGGGTCTTTTTTTTTTATTTTCCTCTCTTTCTTTCTGTCGGTTGAGGCCCCGCCCACCCGGCCTCCCCTCGCGCCGGCAGGGGATTGAGAGAGCGCGCGAGGTGGGAGCGCAACTGTCAAGCTTGCCGGACACGAGGGTTGGTTGCGCGCGGGCGGGAGGGGGGGGGAAAGGAGGCCGCTGAGCATCATGGGACGAAGCCGAGCCTGACAAGACTGTTGCCAAGGGCAAGTTGGGGCTTCTGTCTCCCTGGCAACGGTCAGGGCCTTTCCTCCCCTCCTGCTCCCGCTGTCCTTCACGCCCTCTAACATTGCGGCGAGGGCTTAATGCAGGGGGACAGTTTAAGCGAAGTGAGGGGGGATTCGCGCACGTAGCTGCTTTCCTCCTCGCCGTGAGGGGCTTGGCGAAATTAAAAGGAAATGCATCATGCCGTGGTGTTGAAACGCACCTTGTAAGAACAGACGCTCAGTAACTCACAAGCCACCGCAAAAATCAAAGGCAGAGCGAGAAGAGATGATCTGGATATATAGCAAATGCCTGTTTAAAATAACAATAATTTGGAAGCCAGCTGAGTTTCATGGAATTCACCCATCCAAGCAAATGCACATGTGATTTATTTAACAAACAAATAAATAAATTGGGGGAAATCCCGCCCCCAATAACGTGAGTTCTTCAAAGCTGTCTAATAACTTGTGCACATAAATTCCACAACATGGCAGAAATACCTGACATGTCGCGAAACAATATAATTTTCAGCTTTATATTAACGGCCGGGAAATTCACAACTGATATATATCAACGTATTCCAAGGAGACCAACTCTCAGCCTCTCCTAACTTCAAAAAAGAAAAAAAACACCTGTCTGCGCGACTTTGAAAACTTCCTGATCTATAAAGTGTGTGTGTTTGCCGAATAAAATAATTTTGGTATTCCCCCAGATCCTAGCTGTGTTTTGTTTTTTAATTTTAAAATTCAGTCCATGATGAACCAAAATGCTGAAATCAAATAGCTGCCTGATAAAAGCCAAACTTACACACTCAAGAACAGTACTCCATATGTTGAGATGGCTAAAACACCTGCCTACAGGAGGGGAAATCAAGTTTTGAATTTTAAAAAGAAGTGCAAAAAGTAATAATGGCTTCCTGTCTATGCAAATACATCAGAGAATAAGCATATAATAGAATTCTGAAGTTTAATAAAATATGCTCCAGTCTTTCCATTACCTCTTTTTAAATCATGTTCACCTTTCAAATCTATACGCTAATTTATGCCACTGTGGTTAAGAGTGTCAGGAATGGAAGAGTGGATATACTGGTGCCAAATCCCACTACAGCTACACTACCCCTAAAACCAGCCACAAGAAATAATTGTTCCTGCTCTTTCTAACTTAGTTCTAACTTTCTAGCTCACTATAAACCTGCTGCAGCAAATTCTAAAACAAATGCAGTTTATTGTCCAAGCTGCAGGGTGGAGGAGTCTGTGGGTTGCAGAAAAGGTCAATTTACTCAAATTGCCTCATCAGACTTCTTCCAAATCACGCAGCCCAGTTGCATTCAGAAGCCTCGTGCTCATTTGACATGCATGCAGTTAGTTTTAAAATGTTCAGAAACTAAATTTCACGCATGAAGTTAAAGCCTAGACTCCTGTCATTCATGCTGACTAAGCCCCTCAGCCACAGGGCTCAGGTGATATAATACATGCACATCAGGGATGCACAGCAACATTTTGTTACAGGGCACACTTGTTTATGCCAATAGTGATCTCAGTTCTCTGAGTGTCAGCCCTTATGTAGCCAAAACAGCACCATCTATGCAGAAGAGGGAGATACCAGCATGCTCAGGGGAACCCAGAGGTTTGCAGAAGTTCCCTCTCCCTCTCTCCCCCCCCCCTCTCTCTCACACACACACACACAAACACTCTAGAGGAAAATAAACTAATGGGGTGACACCCCAGAAACTGCCAATAAAAACTGAGCATGCTCAGTGGGCATGGGGAAATCCTGAGTGAAAGTCTGGGGCATTGGTTGAAAACTGGGCTGGTGGCAGTATGGAGTATTCTGGAAAAGGTTGGCTGGAACTCTGACCGGGAACACATTTTGTTGCAGGTCCCACTTCTGCTTCACCCCGTAGCTCAGTCAGTACTAGAGCATAAGACACTTAATCTCAGGGTTGTGTGTTCCAGCCCCATGTTGGGAAAATATTTACTGCATTGCACGGAGTTGGAATAGAATAGATGGTCTCTGTGGTCCCTTCCAATTCTATGATTCTATGAACCAGAGCCCTTCACTTAAAGCATTTTCTTTTTTCCCCCTTTTCTTTTTTAAATCTGAAAGCGTAATCTTATGCTAGGCCCTGATACCAAATCCTGGTGTTACTCTGCCTGAGTGAGTAGAGCCATTCGCTGTCCGTGGCATCCATATGTAATGGATTGTAACTTTCGGCAGGCATGGCCCCAGTGAAAACAGACATTGGATCAATATCTGTGCAAGAGTGAAGAAACATCGTTTCACGCATGCAAAAGCCGCCGCAGCTTCGCTTGAAAGCCTGAGTGAATTTTGTTAACCGTCCTTCAGATCCGCTCATTCATTGCACTCTGAACGTCTTTATTTTAAGAAAAGAAGATCAATACAAATTGATTAATGCAACAAAGCTGTCTTTCAAGGCTGACATAGTTTTTTCTCAGCAGCCTTTTCTGCCGGGTAGCTGAAGGCAACTCTTGCTAGGAAGAGTTCTGTTGCCAGTCAGATAAATCATGGTTTGCCCGTTGCAATAGCCCATGTACTTGTGCAAATCTAAAAGCGCGATTGAGGACATGAAAAAGCCAATTTATCACTTCATGGCATTTCAGCCAACAGCTCTTTGAAGTCGCCCAGTATCAAGAGCTGTGATGTGGTCTGGATCAATTGCTTACTTCATTGTAAGACTATTTAGGATGCATGTTATGGCCCAGCTTCCAACACTGACTGAGTGCAGGATGCAGAGTCCATGTTCTGCCATGCTTCCACCCAGTGGCTGCTGCTGCCACTGAACATTTATTCACACAAAAGTCCTGTCCATTCTTACAGACTGTTCCATCACACTCCCTCCTCTCCCTTCCCTGCCTCCTGCTTGCAAGCTTTGCGACTGGTCAGCAGCCGACAATGTAGCAGTGAAGCTGGAAATCATTTGTTCCCCAAGTATGGTTCATGCAGATCAGCCTTCTCCTTCCTGGTGACCTCCAGGTGTTGTTGGACTACAACTCCCATCAGCTGGCTGATGGGAGTTGTAGTTCAACAGCACCTGGAGGGCACCAAGCTGGAGAAGGCTGGTGGAGATGAAGTGTGATTTCTATTCAAAAAATAAAATATTATGAATTATGATGAATAATATAATTATAGGGACGCGGGTGGCGCTGTGGGTTAAACCACAGAGCCTAGGACTTCCTGATCAGAAAGTCAGTGGTTAGAATCCCCGCGACGGGGTGAGCTCCCGTTGCCTGGTCCCTGCTCCTGCCAACCTAGCAGTTTGAAAGCACATCAGAGTGCAAGTAGATAAATAGGTACTGCTCCAGCGGGAAGATAAACGGTGTTTCCGTGCGCTGCTCTGGTTCGCCAGAAGCAGCTTTGTCATGCTGGCCACATGACCTGGAAGCTGTCTGCGGACAAATGCCGGCTCCCTCAGCCAATAAAGCGGGATGAGCACCACAACCCCTGAGTCGGTCACGACTGAACCTAATGGTCAGGGGTCCCTTTACCTTTAATATAATTTTACCAACCCAAGCATAGCTTCAGTGAGAACACTTGCAAATAAGTGGTTTACGAATTGCATTCTTAAGGTCTTCTCATTCCAGCTGCTTATGACTGTATTTTCTCTGTAGACTCCTCCACTTCTGGGAATGAATTCCTCCATCGCCCTTGCGTGTCTTTGATTTCAGGCATGCATGCCCTAATTCCCACCCTACAACCCCCAGGATTTTTTACTCCTCCCAGCCCCCCCTCCTCTGCTGGAAGAAGGTATGTACTGTATTTATTTAGCTCTCTGTGTCAAGCGAGCATCATTCCCTTGTGAGCTGCAGCAGCTGCAACCTGACTTCTGCCTTGGGGAGTGTGCTCAGAGATGGAAAGGGGAGTTCCGGGAAGAATCTCCCTCAAAGGGTCTAGAAAAAGCTGGAAGGGTCAAGTCCCCTATTCCCCACCCCAGTTCTTCTAGCTTGTTCCAAATTTGCTCATCGTTTATTTTCATTCTGGCTCTTTTAAATTTGGGTATTGCTGACTTTTGAACAACCTTCTCTCTTTTGCAAATAACAGCAGGGGAGTTAAGAGATGTGCATTGTGCCCTTAGCATATGTGATCTACATTCAAGGCCTCTCCTGGCATGACTTTCAGCTCTTTCAGGATTATGATGAATTGATTAATGAATTAAGTGTAAGTTTGGGGAGGAAGAACTAGGCTCAAAGGTACGGCGTCCTCCAAAGCCCAACCCCACGATTCATGGAATGTCAAAGGGTAAGTCCCCCTCCCTTTTGGAAGGGAGAAATTATTCTCCAAGCAAATCCTTTAAAGCTGCAAAGTGTTTGTCTTCTGGCCACTTGGAGGATTCACAAGCAGTCTGTGTGCATCCTCCAAGCTTTTTGAGCCCTAGGCTTAACGCAGGCGAGTAAAGGCCTCTGCTTCTTTTCATCATCTGTACTCCAGCCAAGGATTCGCAACCACACAGTGGCTTCTATTGCCAGGAGTGTGCTCTAGCAGCAACAAGCATAGCTGTCAACTTACAGATTTGAAAATAAGGGACCAGCAGCCTTGAAAATAAGGGACCTGCAGCCTCACCTGTTCCAGGCACTCCAGTCTTCCTGTCCTCCTGCAGTCTGGTCAAACTCATGCTGGGTAGCTTCGAGAACACTGTCCAACCAACTTTGTAACCAGAGGTTCAACTGAATAGAATCTGAATCACACGCACCACAAGGCCTATGCAGCCTCAACTTAAGATGGCTTCCCGGCCTGGCTTTGCACTGCAAAGTTTGCAGCAGCACGTGCAACAAAATGGCGTCCAGCATTCAAAAACCTCCTCAGCTTGCATTAACTAGCCACACACAAGGCATGCAAGCTCCACCCCCCAGTCGTTCTTAGACTTCTTATTGGGTGAGCAACACAGCCAAGCAACACAGTTGGAGCCTCCCTCCTCCCTGGCCGGCAAGGAGGGAGGGAGAGGAGCTGCTTCCTTTGAAATTTAAGGGACATCATTTAAGGGACATTTAAGGGACATCCATCAATAAGGGACAGCAGCGGGACATGGCACTGGAATAAGGGACTGTCCCTTCAAATAAGGGACACCTGACAGCTATGAACAAGGGTGTGGTGCGCGATCGACCTGTGGCTAGTGCAAGTTGTAGAGATTTGAGGGAAGACAGTACTGTCCATCAGCTGTTCCCAGGGATTATTTCCTGACTAGCTTCCCCACACAGTCTAAGGAGATATTTATGTATGTATATGTACTTTTGGTGTAGAGGGACGTGGGTGGCACTGTGGTCTAAACCACTGAGCCTCTTGGGCTTTCCAATCAGAAGGTCGGCGGTTCAAATCCCTGCAATGGGGTGAGCTCCCGTTGCTCGGTCCCAGCTCCTAGCAGTTCGAAAGCATGCCAAAAAGTGCAAGTAGATAAATAGGTACCGCTCCAGCAGGAAGGTAAATGGTGTTTCTGTGCGCTGCTCTGGTTTCGGTGTTCCGTTGCGCCAGAAACGGCATAGTCATGCTAGCCACATGACCCAGAAAAACTGCGGACAAACGCCGGTTCCCTCGGCCTGTAAAGCAAGATGAGCGCCGCAACCCCAGAGTCTTCTGCAACTTGACTTAATTGTCAGGGGTCCTTTACCTTTTTACTTTTGGTGTGTGGCAACAACCACCTAGTTTCAAGTAATCCCCTTTTGGGGGAATGTGATTGAGAGGGTTGTGTCAGGACAATTGCAAGTTCTCTTGGATGAAATTGATTATCTTGACCCATTTCAGGTTGGGTTCAGGCCTGGCTATGGGATTGGGGCAACCTTGATTGCCCTAATGAATGACCTTTATTGGGAAAAGAACATGGGGGCGGGTACAACCCTGTCAGTGTCCTTGGAAATCATTGACAACAGACTCTCCAAGTGCCCCCATTTTCCAGGTGCCCCCATTTCACAGAAGCCGTCCTGGTTTCTGATTTGATCCAGGAACATAACGCTTTTCCTTAGGATGTCCCTTTTCTCATCTCAGGAATGATGGTGGGGGTATGGTAGGACATCCCTGTTTTCATTGGAGAAATTTTGGAGGGTATGGAGTTGTGCGACCCCCGAGCCAAGGAGATAAGTAACTATAAACCTTTAGAAGACATCTGAAGGCAGCCCTGCGTAGGGAAGTTCTGGCTCAGGCAACCCAGTCAAATGGGTGGGGTATAAATAATAAAAGCATCATCATCGTTATTAAATAGTCTGTCCCTATTTTCATTGAAAGGATGCGGGTGGTGCTGTGGGTTAAACCACAGAGCCTAGGACTTGCCAATCGGAAGGTTGGTGGTTCGAATCCCTGCAACGGGGTGAGCTCCCATTGCTCGGTCCCTGCTCCTGCCAACCTAGCAGTTCGAAAGCACGTCAAAGTGCAAGTAGAAAAATAGGTACCGCTCCGGTGGGAAGGTAAACAGTGTTTCCGTGCGCTGCTCTGGTTCGCCAGAAGTGGCTTAGTCATGCTGGCCACATGACCCGGAAGCTGTTTGCCGGCTCCCTCGGCCAATAAAGCGAGATGAGCGCCACAACCTCAGAGTCGGCCACGACTAGACCTAATGGTCAGGGGTCCCTTTACCTTTATTTTGATTGAAAAAATGTTGGAAGGTATGTGAAAATGGCTTTCTCTTGAACCAACTCAGTGAGACGGGTACCGGGAGCACTGTGTAGATTCTTTTTATTATTATTATTGAATTATATTGCAAATACATACAAATCAAAACTTTTAAACGTGAAAAGAAGAAAAAAGATTTTAACAGCTTACAAAGAACAAAAAAAGAAAAGAAAGAAGAAAAGCAGAAATCTTAATAAATTACATAAACTAATACAATTATATCTTAATGAAGATAAGAAAAAATCATAGATGGAACAGCGTTAATTCATTCATTATAAAACAAAATAAAAAAATTCCTTCCAGTAGCACCTTAGAGACCAACTAAGTTTGTTATTGGTATGAACTGTCGTGTGCATGCAAAGGAATTTTTAAATTTTGTTTCGACTACGGCAAACCAACACGGCTACCTACCTGTAACTATTATTAAACTAAGACTGTGTAGTACTGTGTAGATTCAATCATATCCCTATCCTATGGAACGGGAAGGAACTATTGTTTAAGTTATTGCGACACAACACTATAAGATTTTGCCTTCTGCGGTCCCATTCTATGCAAGAAGCTGACGTCAACTGCAAGAGTTAAGGACTCCACATTCCTAATTCATATTACACTGGGGCAAAGGTCATCTGGTTTCTTTATCAGGCGTTCCTGGAGGGGAGAGAGGAGGAAGGAAGGGGGTGCTGATGGGGAACCACTGAAGTCCGTGAATTATAATACTTTCAATGGTGGGAGTTGACAAGTTGACTGTAACTTTTTCCATGATGTGAAACAAGGCATTTGTTGGTTTGTGGGAGGAACCACTCAAGGGAATTCTCTCCTGAGATGTCTCCAGGAGAAGAAAATAAATGGCGATGTATATGTGTGTGTGTGTGCGAGCGCGCGCTCTTGCTTTGCAGCCAAATCCTAAACCTGCGTATTCTGGAATAAATCCCACTGAGTTCAATGGAACTTATATCCCAGTAAGTATTCTTAAAACAGGAGCCGTTGTGAGCTTCCCATGCCATTTTGTGAAAGAAAAAATCACTTTGCATTGCATTACTAAGCCCATCACATTGCTGTACAGCAGCTCTCTTGAGGGCCAAAATGTCCAGATGTCCCTTTTAGTGTGCATTCACGATTATTATGCTCATGATGGTTATATGCAATCCTGCTTTCAGTTCAGTTTGGGGGCAAACATACTGCTCTTTCCCTGGTCGTTGCATGACCTGAAGTTTCCTGCTGAAATGCTGAAATCCTGTAACCTTTAATAGTACCAATGTTCCACAAGACGAAGGGTCATCCCTCTTTAGTTGCCCTATAGCGCCAAAGAGCCCCCCGAGATGGCAACACTGGGGAAGCTAATACAGTGGTACCTCGGGTTACATACGCTTCAGATTACAGATGCTTCAGGTTACACACTCCGCTAACCCAGAAATAGGGCTTCAGGTTAAGAACTTTGCTTCAGGATGA